ATGTGCCACTCTATACCGCTGCGAGCGGTGTCTTTGCATTGCCATGCCATACTCTACTATGGAGCAATTTCAGGTGTGGTCTCTTTTATTTGCCACGTGTGGGTGGGGAAACCAGAAAATGTCGTCTCCTGTGGTACTCCGTGTACCGCCTCTACTGCCGCGTATAGTTGCGGGGAACGTGGAAATTTCAATGGCTGTGTAAATCCCTGTAGTGACATAAAGAGCGATGTAAACCTGGAAATCACGTTTGTTCAAGCCATCTTCTGTGTGTATATGTCTTTGCCACTTTATTGTAGATACAAAGAATAATTCTGATACATTTCACAACCGTGCATATGGAGCCAGTGAACTTGGAATGGTTGTGCACTGGGTCTGTTGTAGTAAATTTTGCTACGGTAAACTTTGTATCATTGTTATTGACTTCTGTGAGCGAATAAATGAACCTGCACACTAAGTTCCCTGTGCCTATCTCGCGCATGACGCATATTACCTCATCAATGGTGGTTAGCGATGATCCCAAAATGAAATCTTGTAGCACTTAAGGAACCCCGTCGTTCCGAAAGCACAAAAATGGCATGACGTTCGTTTCTTAAGCAAGCATTGTTACTTTACAGACAAAAAGGTTCGCGTCATTTTGCTATGTTAGTTAAAACATACGTCTTTACAGATATTTTACGCCATTTTTATTTTTTAACGCGAAAATTCTGAATTGCTCAAATTCAGAAGCGCGTCGAAAATTCTTGTTCAACATGTCTTTTCGTCCGCGGACGCGATCTGCTAGGGCCTAGCCTTGCGGTGTAAATGAGACCTGAGGAAATAATCGGCTTGCTTAACGCTTTAAGAGTCCGAAAAAAAATTATTACTGTTGTCTGCAGCAACAATTAAGGCACCTATCTCTTTGCCACGTTCAGGTTAAGAACCTCAAAACGCCTATGAGATTGCAATGTACTGCGATGCAGCACCAACAGACAGTGTAGAGAGTACACATACTGTGTTTTTTAAAGACGACTGTATTTCTTGGAATGCTTCGACGGAAAAATTTTGGTCTGACTGTCTGTTTGTTTGTCTCTCTGTTACCCAAAATGCCTTGTCTATTTGCCTTTTTTTTTGTTTGTCTTTAATTCCAAAATACAACCACATCAGAGGAACCCACCAACATTTCTCTGGTTTCTGCGTTCATACTTGAGCGTAGTATCGAATAAAAAGTAAATTGTCGCGCATATCTGAGGCGTCACCATATACTGTTGTGTTTTTCTTTATACTACAAAAATCATATATATAATTACATTTAAGAACTTAGCGTTTATTCGCGGTAAGCTGAGAATGCAACGCTATGCCACGGAAAGGCAGGTGGGGACAGGTGCCACCACCATATCAAACGATACGATGGTGGCACCTGCCGCTGCGCGCATTGAGGCAGGCGCCTACAGAATCAATTCACCGAACTTTCTCGCGCAGAACATTAATGACTTATTCACTTATCTACAGACGGAAAACTATATGTCGTCATTCGACGACATTTACAGTGAAGCATGCTGATACGGGGCTCATTTTCGTTTATTAATATGTTGTCTCGCACGCTTACTTCTTTGTTTTGATGTGATCGCGTTTCACCCGCAAGAACTGTGGGAGGCTTTTGATAAAAAAAGAACGCACCTAGCGTCTACAACCACGAAATCACGTCACTGTCAGAACATTAGCCACAATGTTTTGAGGCGAATCTCCTGAAGGTGGAGGCTTGTACGTTGGCGTATGGCGCCGTACAGCTGCCGCTAGCGATGACGAACAAGTGCGTTCTAGTCCATACATTCTCTCTAAGCCATCACGGCAGAGAACGTGCGAGGTTTTGTCTTCAATACTTTGTCTTCAATTATTGTCTTCAATAATGAGGAGTTATTAGACGACACTGAGAAAGCTACCTGTTTAAACAACTACTTCCTTTCCATATACTTGCCGAAATATAGCTCTAGTGTTTCGCAATGCACAAGTTCCCTGCCGAAAATGCAATCAGTAGAGTTAAGTGTGAATGGAATTAGGGCATTACTAAACAAACTTACCGTTAATAACGCAATCGGACCGGACGGAATTTCACCTCGAGTCTTAAAGCAGTGTGCTGAGTCAATTTCTCTTTACCTGCACGTAATCTACACAGTCTTTTTCTTCCGGTGCCCTCCCAGACGACTCGAAAATTGCACATACAGTTCCTATTCCTATAAGTGGGTCCAAGAAAGACGTAACCAACTGTAGATTTATTTCACTTACGTCCATACCCAGCAAGTTATTAGAGCATATTCTGTATAAACAAATAATGGCACATTTATCAACAAACAACTTGCTGGCGTCTCAACAACATGGTTTTCGTAAGGGCTTATCTTGTACAACACAATTTATTGAGTTTAACCATGATTTAGTATCTGAAATAGACAATAGCGGACAAATCGATTATTGCCTTTTCCTGGACTTCCAAAAAGCATTCGACACTGTGTCACACTCTTTTCTTTTAAGTAAGCTTGCAGCGCTAAACATTGACCGCGAAGTTCTGGTGTGGATAGAAAATTACCTTTCAGGCCGCCAACAGTGTGTAGTATTAAATGGCAAAAAATCAGGTTTTGTAAACATCACTTCAGGGTTGCCACAGGGCTCAGTCCTAGGGCCACTTTTATTTTTAATATATATAAATGACATTTGCTCAGGAATTGATTCTAATATACGGTTGTTTGCAGATGACTGTGTCTTGTATAGAAAAATTAGAAATGAGAGTGATGTCGCCCAGCTCCAAAGCGACTTATCGCGCATCCAAGAATGGTGTTCAAGGTGGAAAATTACATTAAATGCCAATAAGTGCATTCATGTTACTTTCACGCGTCAAAAAAAAAAAAACAAGTTAGCTTCAGAGTATGTAATCTGCAATAGTATAGTAACACAAAAACCGTATTATAAATATTTAGGTGTAACTTCTTCAGCCGACTGTTCATGGAATGCACACGTTGATTCAGTTGTTGCGAAGGCCACCAAGTCACTAAATTTTATACAGCGCAGCTTGACCCAAGCGCCGGCATGTTTGAAATCAAGGGCGTATTCAACATACATTCGCCCTATGCTTGAATACGCCTGTGCCGTGTGGGACCCCTGGCAAAGTACTTTAAGTTACAAACTTGAAAAAATACAAAGCAGAGCTGCAAGGTTTGTCCTGAGCCGGTGCTCAAGAAATGACAGTTGCACCAATATGAAAAATGAACTAGGGTGGGAATTACTCTCATCGCGTCGAAAGAAACTGCGGCTAAAGCTCCTGTACCAAATATTTCATGGTAAAACCGGCATTCGAAAAGAAAAGTACCTTCACAGTTCTCATTTTATCTCTTCGCAAAATGATCATTGTTTCAAGATTTTAGAGTATCGTACCAGATCTAATTTGTATGCTAATTCGTTTTTTGTTCGTTCCATTAGAAAATGGAATCACTTATCAAATGAACAAGTGCGCTGTATTAATGAAGATGTGTTTTTCTCGACATTGTAACTCGCTGATGCAGCGCGTTCGTGCTAAGCGGAGCAATCATTGAATAAAGAATAAAGAATAAATAAATAAAGGTGCTCTCTATATACGCCATGACGATTATGCTGATGATGATTCAGATGACGACGATGATGATCAGGTACAACGACTGGCAAGACGTGACGTCTCTATATGCTCTACGGCGCATTCCGTACGACGGGAAACAGCCCAACAACCGCCAAGACAACGTGCTCAGACCTCGTCTTTGCCAAGTTCTGGCTGGATCCGATAGCAAAAAGCAGTAATAATGAAGGCGAAGCGAAATTCACACCTCATCACAACATATACCATTTATGACCAATAGAGCTTGCATATGAATGTACGCCGCTTTGTCACTCATTTACATGCGTGATTGGTCCGAGTGACAAAAGTGATTCATGGTAGCACCGAACAATCCCAGTGCTTGTCTCACTAATCATCATTCAATTTGTGGATATACCATGCTTTTTTGTCTGTTCTTGAGTACTTTTTGTTTTGTTTTTTTGTCTAAAGATTTAAAAATAAATGCGTGATGAAGTTATGGAAATGCTTTTTTTTTTAGTTTTAGAACTCTGAGCAGCGAGATTTTAAACGGTAAGTCAGTCACGACCATAAGGTATAATCCGAGAAACTTGGCACATCAGTCCTGTGGCACATACAGCATGTATTTACATAAACAATCTTTTCATACACTGCCATGCATCCTTATTTCGTTGTTTTGATGGGGTCAGGTCTCACCCACAAAAAGTGTTAGCACTGCTCGGCACAGACCCCGCAGCAGTGTTTTTGGAAGTTTCACGATTACTTCAGACTGTTCCGTTCCGATTACACGCAGGATGGAATAAGTCGAGTGCGCTTGAGAACTTGCGCGAGCACCTGCACTGGAAGGTTCAATCACCGATCTATAAAACCTGCTGACGATTAGATTATTGACTACCGACAACTGTGATTGCTGCAATACGGCGTGCATTGCTCGTGCTTTCAGTTACCCAGTTTTCTGGGCTCAGGTTCACCCAGTAAAGACTTTCATCTCCGACAGTGTGACTGTCGTCTTCTTTGCCGCCGCTACCACGTGAGAAAATCCAGGTAGTTGTACCTGCACAGCACTGAGGTATAGTAACTGAACACATCGTCTGCTGCACGGCTTCTTCTAACAGCGTAAATGTTTCGCAGCGTCGGGAAAACCTTGTAAGGCATCGTCTGCATGCAGATTTTTAGACGCCTTCTGTTTTTCGAAGAGCCGTCGGAGATACTCAAACGTTGGGAAACCTGAAAGAGCGTCGTCTGCTACACGTGAGCCTGAAACAACGCGTCTGCTATACTTAACACGTGTCACACCACGACCGGTATTATGGCGAGTGTTTTTCTTCCTCGTACTAGCGCGGTGCCCGGGCGCCCGCTTAGGCGAGGAGTCGACCAACGCTTCGAGTGCCCTGACTCGTTTCTTTGCCTTCTTTCGCTTTTACAGCCCGTCTATTTGTGGGAGTGTCCGTCATGGCTGCCGCCTCGTTGACCCAACTCTTGGCCCTTACCCTGGTGGCCTTCGTCTGCAACTTGGCCTCCGGACAGCAGCTGGAAGGTGAGCGCATACGGCGTACCAAATGCATCAATCTACTATGTCTGCACAAACGCGCACAAAGCTGAATATATCTGAATGACCAACCTCTCGCAACCATTCTAATCACCTTTCAAGCCTTCCATTTAGCGTCCGGGTGTTTAATGGTTGTGGACTTGTTGTCCTTACCTACCAGTCTTGACCCGCGAATTGGCATCTTACTGTGTTTTTTTTTCCGCGCACAAAACTGGTCGAAGGGTTCTGGAACGCGCACCGCACGGTTCAATGAGATCCCGTGCATTCTTGACCCCGCGCATACAGGCAGATGCATGTGCGCATGCGCAGTGCACTCGTAATTGACCACGGTTGCCCTCGAATGCCAGTCGTGCCCGAAGAAGCCGCCAGTGTAAAGTCTTGAAACACAGCCTCTCCGAGGGATATAAAAAATATATAACCGTTACTGGACATGCATGCACGCCGGCAGCGTCATTGATTGGCGACTATAAGATGAAGCGGAATCGTGAGCAGTATATGGGGGGAGGTGTTTCCAAACAAGCTGCAGGTTAGGCGTTTGTTTTTACCGAAGAACGCTATTTGGCAGACTGACCATGATTTTGCAGTTATTGTTGTTCATTGGCCATCGTCCCTTCGAAGCCGTGCCAAGCATACTCATCCGTATGGGTATGGATACGGAGCGAAATTCTGGGACAATCTAACAACCTCACATAAACTATTGATCGCAAACACCATAGTACGGCAGTTACTGGAACACTTAATGTCTCATTAGACAGTTTCTAACCTTCGTCTATTAAGTATTAGATCTATTTTTATTTACTTCCTGTAGATGCCTAAAATAAAAAAGAAATACCCCGTGACATACTTGATCCTGCGTTATAATCGCAGCGTTTCATGACATTCCACTTCCATACGTCAGAATAGTTCTGCCTCATGTTCTGATCCTCAAATGAAGACAGGACAGTGACGAAGGCTGTGCGATGACGAACCTGTTGCTTGCGGCAGAGAAAGTGATAACCGCTGCGTCTGCTTATCACTGTCAAAAACCACGAAAGCTATTATATTTCACTGCAGCCTTTTATTTTAATGAACCGTTAATTATACAGGGTGTTTTAAGAAATGTGTCCACTATTCTTTGAATATCACAGAAAGGAGGTGTCTGCGTGTTACTTGCGGTGTTGCCTTTCCTGTCGCAGAAGGCATCTTCAGATGCGTACAAACATCAATTACGGCAGTAATTATAGAAATTAACACAATCAACTTTTTAACCAGTGGTAATAGCCGGTCGAGTCAAATGGGCGAATTCAAGCCCTTTTTACGAATAGTCCATAGCCACCTTTAAATTTTGGAAAAGCGGTCACTGGTAACCACCGCGGAGCGATGCAATGAGACTAATTTAGCCAGAGAAACCGAAATCGACGAACCAAACAGCGCATCTGCCAGTGACTTTGACAACGCCCTCAGTGACAGCACTGTTTCGCTCGCCGTTATCAACCATGAATTTGGGCACTTTGCTTCGAGGCCGCTTATCGGCGCTCCCTTATTCTTTTCTCCCAATGCGCGGGAAACAGTGTCATTATCAAGGGAGTTGTCGAAGTGATTGGCAGATGCGTTGTTTGGGTCGTCGATTTCAATTTTTCTGGCTAATTAGGCTCATTGCATCGCTCCACGGTGATCACCGGTGACCGCTTTTCCAAAATTTGGTTCACTTGTGGGGTTTAACGTCACAAAACCACCATATGATTATGACAGACGCCGTAGTGGAGGGCTCTGGAAATTTAGACCACCTGGGGTACTTAAACGTGCACCCAAATCTGAGCACACGGGCCTACAACGTTTCCGCCTCCATCGGAAATGCAGCCGCATTACCAAAATTTCAAAAGGCTATGGATTATTCGTAGAAAAGGCTTGAATTGGTCCGTTTGACTCGACCGGCTATCACCACTGGTTAAAAAGTTAATTGTGCGAATTTCTATAACTACTGCCGTAATTTATGTTTGTGCCCTTCTGAAGATACCTTCTGCCACAGAAAGTCAACGCCGCAAGTAGCACGCAAATACCTCCTTTCTGCAATTTTTTTTAAAATTTCGACAGATTTCTTGAAACACCCCTGCATGTATGTTGACAGCTCAAAAAAGAAAAGAGGCATACAGGAAACGAGCGAGAAAAAACTGCCCTTCCAATCGATTCCTGTAGCGCCATAATTTTTTATTGCTTCAAAAGTGTCATAAAGCCATCCTTTCAGGAGGGTGCGGTAGTTTTTCCTTATCGACCTTCCTACTCTTTCTTGGCGCAATGTCTGTTCTTTTTGGCTCTTTGACTTACTCTTCTTTTATTGACCTATAGTGGTTGACCAGAATGCCGTTTATTAGGGACATGTGCCATGGGCCGGCAGGTGGCGTTTCGTACAAATACACCTTCGCGAGTTCGGCCTTGAGCCAGTATTGTCTTGCGCTAGCCGTTAGCGGTTCTTGGCGATCGTGCATGCGTGTTTTTTATCGAAGCGAGATCCTGTTAGTCATCGTAAGGTTGCATAAGAGGAAACCCATTTGCGGCTTCATACATCTCCAAAGCTTGCCAAGAGTGTTCGCTGAAGCCGGCACTTGTTTTCTAGCAAGATGCCAATTAACGTCCGTGATTTTTTTAAGACCTCTGTTGCTGAATGACCCCCTCATTTCCACAAGATCTGTCAAGCCAGCCAATAACTAGCAAACTCTCGCACCTCTCTGCGTAAGCCTTTCATTGGGGTGCAAATGCTCGGACCCGCCGAAGGTATAGGGGACATTAGAAGAATGTCATGCACGAAAAATTCGGCAGATCCCATGTACCTGGCAATCGACGTTATGCGAAGGGAAAGTGACCGTGTTGCAATGTTTTTGTTGAGCGACACGTCATGAAATGACGCTAAACATATGTACAGATGTTGCGCGCACAGACATATGTTGCAGAGTTACAGGTGTTCATTTGAACAGTTGTTTGAACTTGCGCAACGATGCCAAATAAAGCATGCGTATAGCAACACCAGAAGCTCATATGAAGCACCCATGCTCACGAGGATGCTGGCACTGGGCACTGCCACATAAATCAACTTCAGCGCACGGCAACTAACCACAATTCACGTTAACCCGACGTGATGACTGTATCAAAGGAGTACATGTGCAACGGTTTATGAAATTGGGTAAGCAGCACTGCAACCACTATTGACGTTTCACGACGATTAGCGTCTATTTGAAAAGTAGTTCCGAGACCTAGCGTAGCTCTCCGGTAAAATGTTTCTTTTTCACGCGGAATGCTTGGGTTCGATTCCAGCTGGGACCCTGACATTTATTCTTTGCGTTTGTCGGTTCGACACTACCGATTGATTGATTGATTGATATGTGGGGTTTAACGTCCCAAATCGACACTACCGATGTCGGGTATTTCTTAACGCTCGCAGGTTAAATATGCCCGTGTGTGTTCTCGTCGTTCTTAGGTAGATACTAAGTGTCAATCACCTTTGGCACATACCCGCAAACCAGCGGCACATACTCGCCCATGGGTATGTGCCACTGTCTGGCGAGAAGTGTTTGACGACGTACGTGACGGGATTGTCACATTATTCATGTCCTGACCAGCTGTCATAATCGTCAAACCATCTTACCCTACCCTGCTGATTTGGGTTCACGCCAAATTAAGGGTGTGGGCTTTCGTTTAGGTGACCACGAGAGCACCCAAACGAAAGCGGGTAGATAGATAGATAGATAGATAGATAGATAGATAGATAGATAGATAGATAGATAGATAGATAGATAGATAGATAGATAGATAGATAGATAGATAGATAGATAGATAGATAGATAGATGGATGGATGGATGGATGGATGGATAGATAGATAGATAGATAGATAGATAGATAGATAGATAGATAGATAGATAGATAGATAGATAGATAGATAGATAGATAGATAGATAGATAGATAGATAGATAGATAGATAGATAGATACGCTCCAAGTCACTGAAGTTGGCTAAGAAATGCTTCGCATTAAAACTGAAAACTCGGGCTTAACAAATCGGTCGTATACTCACTTGCCATCGATACACCGTCGGAGTGGAAATTGTCTGCGCAGAAAGTTTACTTGTATTTGGCGGCATGGGCCTGCCCAAGTGATACTGCCTTAGACACTAAAGAGCCGCCAACGCGGGAAGGTATAGGGAGGCAGCCCTGTTCAACTAGACCTTCGGCGACCAGAAGTTTCCCGTATAAAAAAGCCACAGTGGCGGCCTATGATCCAGCGAAATCCCGGATTAAGGAAGCGACTTCCCTTCCTCTAATTCTCCCTCCATTTCTTTTTTGATGACTGGTTTGCTTTATCGGAATGTCTTCACCCCTCAATTATTGCCATAAAAGTATACTTCATTAGCACCGTTCAAAGCATTAGCTCGGGACATCAACTTTGTTTTCACTGTTAAATAGTGCCCATCATCACAGGCTTAATTTCAGATGTCTGGAAGAGTCTTCTGTTGACCTTCGCTGTAATATTTCAATACAGGACACAATGCGATATAATACAATATCTGACTTGCTGTATAATTCTTCTTGACTACTAAAGCAAACTATAAAAAAGATATGACTGCCTTGCAGCAGTGAAGTCTTCGAACAAGTTCAAAAGGACAGACTGATAGGCTTAGTACATCATTCAGGTTGGAGCGCAAAGAATCACATGAACGGCGAAAGTATTGCTTCGGTCTTTGTCATTTCTTGCTCTTTCGCTGTCCAAGTGACTGTTTGCGCTACTGCCTGAACTTCGAACAAGAATCCTTGTTTCAAATTCAGGGATCGCTAACATCGCTAAAGGTATACTGTTCCGACGAGGACAGTCTTCGTAAGACTTCATCTTCAACCTCCATATTTTCTAGATTATCTCTGTCATTTAGATGACACTTGAAAATGTTTTTGCGAAAGGCTCACAAGAAAAAAAAAGCGGAAGACAATACCCGCGATATTTCTTGAGCATTTAAACTCGGGTCATCGATTTCGCATCTGAGACACAGCGCTTTTTTTTAATTCAGCGTATAGTAAGACCACCACCCCTCCCTACTTCGCATAGGGACGCAAAACAGGAGCTGTGGGGTGGTAGTATCAGTGTGCGCCGTCTGCTCAGCAAGAGGACTTCAGTCCGACAATCACCCTACGCAACTGGACATAAGTTGCGAAGCTCCTGCTTGCGACCCCACAACAGGCTTCAATCAGGAGCGACCAGGACCCTTCTGGGAAGAGTGAGTGGCCTCGTTAGCCATTTAATGTCGATGGCCTTCGGACATTTGGTGGGTCACAGGTTGCCTGTCTTTATTCACCCTGTGCATTTCGCCCCTCTGTTTGAAAAACAAAGGTACAACCCGGGAGACGCGTGCCCACACGAAGAACTGTGGGGCGAACGGCCGCAGGGTCCTATATACTTCTATTCAACGCACATCGTGCTGCTTATGGTAATATTCAAGCGTGGTGTCATGGCTGTGAAAGCGACCGTGAGCAATACCGCGCGTGCACGATACAGCAATAAACTACCACACATAACACTAAAGCACAGCTATTGCTCCACCATTTCGCTTTAAGTTTCATACTGTAAGTCTTACCTAATGTTTTTTTTTTCATAACTGCAGACAACTCCTGCCATTTCTCGCTTTGGCTCTTTCTTTTTTTTTTTTTGGGGGGGGGGGGGGCTTTTGGAATAACAGTACATTCGTGTGTGTTACTGTGCATCCCCGAGCGGTATTGCTATGCTTACGTCACCGCCTGCTTCCGCACATGGCGTCGCAGGTCCCTCGTCATGTAACTCCAGGACTGAGGTCTGGAACCCCAAGTGCAATGCCCACTGCGAACCCACGTGCACCGAGGGTGACCTGGTGCCGTGCAGTCGTGCCGGAGGATCCGGAGCCGCACAGGGGAGTTTCAGCCAACGCATCTGCCGACCCAAGTGCAACTGCAAGCCAGGTACGCTTCTGCGTTTGCCGCTCTAGCATTCGCCGATTCACTGCAGACCAGGGTCTGCATCAGGTAAAACGGGCTGCCCTAAAACCAATTCGTAAGAACTGTAGCACACTCTAATAAGATCCAACGCCATCGATTGTCGATATTATGCATACTATCGAGCGAGTGGCTCATTATACGGAAAAAACTTCGCCTTTCACAGACGAATGAGCTGTGAACGAAAAGCTTTGTGAATTATGCCACAGATAGACTTTAAAAGAAGGTGTTTCTTTTTCTTCTTATATTGTTATTCAGATATTTTATGGAGACCCAGAAGGCATCATAGAGGGGTAATCGCAATAGATGAGGCAAAATTCTTGCAATACACACTAAACAAAAAAAACTGGAATTAGAACAACAGGACTTAGTAAACATGAAATGGCGTAGAAAAACAAGCATGTATTACAGTAATATACAACACCTAAAAAACAATTGCAACGTGAAAAATAATTACAAGGCGGATGTTCACAATAAACAAAAGCGTTTGACAATATCTATCAGATGAATCACGTGGAACTAATAAAGTAACAGTGTGTATTCGAACAAGGCAACGGAAATAATAACGAAACAGATGCACACTGCTCGGAACGTAGCCTCAGTGACAGTCCTTGCTTCGCAAGTTCTCCTCAGTTCGACTCCATATACAACTGATTTTCTGTTCCGTTCGGGTGACATTTATCTGTTACATTTAGACCTCGCGATGTCACTAGCCATCGTTTGGACGTAGAGGCTTTCTTTTTCAGGAAAGAGAGTCAATTGTACACTTCCCAAAATGTTGACTCCAGGGGCAATCTTTGTACGATGACATTTCCTTACTTGAAGCCTTCAGGTAACATTGAACGTCCCCATACTTTTTGAATTGAGCCTCATCACATTCTCAAAAAGGACTCTCTGGGTGTCGCCATGTTCCCCTCTGGGCAGTGGTGAATATGCGCGTGCCCTCAAAAAACGCATTGCGGAGGCAGTGACGTCAGCATTCGTAGTTGCGCTGCCGTGCCATGGTCCCATCCGGGCTGTGGTGAATTAACGTGTCCCCTGAAAAAACCCACTGCTAAGGCAGTGACGTCAGCCTTTAGAACGCAACGTACTGTCGTGCCACGTTCCCATCTTGTTGTGTTCAGTAGACCATTTTCCTTCAAAAAACGCACTGCCGAGGCAGCAACTTGAGCCTTTAGAAAAACGCACGGCCAAGGCGGCGACTTGAGCCTTTAGAGCTGTGCTACCAGTGTCATGTTCCCATTGGAGCTGTGGCGAAATAAGTGATGTCCTCTAAAAAAACACTCTGCTGGGGCAGTGACGTCAGCCTTTAGAGCGTATATACTGTCGTGCCACGTTCTCATCATGGCTGTGTTGAATAGGCAATTCCCCTTTAAAAAATTGGCCCCGTATCTGCATGTTACACTGCAAATGTCAGTCGAAAGACGATAGTCTTGCGTCTGGAGAGAGTGAACAAAACGTTTATTTGATGTTCTGTGAAAGAAAATTGGTGAATGGTATTCTGGAGGCGCTGCGTTGGAGTCTCTCGAGCGTGCAGCGCAGGTAAACGAGCACATCAAGTCACGTCACACGTGAGACATGAGCGCTAAGTGGCAGTTGTCCTGGAAAACGGGGCGCGCACCCTGCGCGCCTGTCTCTGATGTGATAAAATGTAGAACGCAAGGCGACGGGTAGGTGCCACCACCATGTCGTCTTAGCAAAGCGTTGGAAACACTTGCCTATTCGTGCAAGCGTTACATGGTCAGCGCAGCGGGATAAACGCTATGGTCCTTAGAATTACCTATGTATGCGTTTTGTAGTAAAAAGTACACATACATAATATTAACGTGTTGTTATGGTGCCTCAGATATGCGCAATGATTGCTTTTTAATTGACAATTGCACAAGACAGACAGACAGACAGACAGACAGACAGACAGACAGACAGACAGACAGACAGACAGACGGACAGACAGACAGACAGACAGACAGACAGACAGACAGACAGACAGACAGACAGACAGACAGACAGACCAAATTTTTGCGGCGAAGGTCTCCAAGAAAGACCATCGTCTTTAAAAACGCACTTCCAAAGCATCGATGTGAGCCTTTAGAGTTCTGCTACCGTACCATGTCCGCATATGGGCTGTGGTGAATAAGCGTGCCTCCTAAAATAACGCTGTGCTAAGGCCGTGACGTCAGCCTTTAGAGTTGTACTACCGTGTCACAGCACGAAAACAGGCTGTTTCATCTTTCCAGCAAAACGGTGAACGCTGAATCCGTTTTCTTTACTTTATCCCCTCCCCGTAGGCCTGATCCGTGCCACGAGGGACGGCCCTTGCGTGCCCCGAGACCAGTGTGCACCCGTGGGCGGTCAGGGTGACCAGTGCAAGCGCAACGAGGAGTTCCGAAGCTGCGGCAGTGCCTGTCCCGCCGTGTGCGGCCAGCAGGCACCCGAAGCGTGTACGGCACAGTGCGTGCCCGGATGCTTCTGTGTGAGGGGATACATCCGCGACAAGAACGGCCTCTGCATCCCCACCTCCGCCTGCAGAGGGGGCCGCGGGGGCAAGCCCGGCCGGCAGCGTAACATCATCAGCAACCAGCACCCTCCCACCCACTTCTTCTGAATGAATCGCAGGAGGCACGATGGAAGCGGCCTCTCTACGCAGACGTCCGCGCATTGTCCATCGAGCTTGTTCGGGTAGCACGCCGGGTCCAGGATAATGTGAAGATTTTATACTAGTTCCGTTTGTTTTGAAGGCAGTGGGCCGCGACGGAATCTGCTCGAGGCGGATGTGAGTGACAGATGGTAAACATGGAAAATAACTAAGTGAAAAGAATTTTCACGTTATTAACGACCCAGGTGTCGACTTCTTGCGATGACTTTCTGAGCAGCGATCCATCCCATTACTGCGGATCCCTATCAAAGGGAGATGGAGGGGGGAGGGGAGGCTTGCACCATACGATTCAGTTGTTCAGACACGGGAGGGAGTAAAAAGAGCGAAGGACATGGAAAAAGCATGAGGATCAACTAAAGTTAATTCTGGTTTTTCACTCGGTGCGTCAGGTCGGCTACCCCAGCCCGAACGACTACTCCGGTGGGACGCCTTTGAACACTGCCATGCACAGAGTACATTCGTGCGTTGAAACTTATCTAGGTAGGCGCTCTTTAGCGCTATCATTATCTAGCATATGGCTCATCCAACGCGATTGTTACTGAGACAGCTTGCGGCACTTACCACTGCAAAGGCACCATGTCTTAGAGACGGACACTGAACTACAAGGTTCGATGAACAGTGCGTGCAAGCCAACTTGTCGTTTCAGCTGTGTTATACATCTACCATGCAACCGCCATTCTCCTTTCTGATATATGTATTCGTAATAAAGTTCAAGGGCAACTGCTCTCTTAAGCGCGTACGTTTTCTCATTGTCAAGTGCAAAGAATGCGGTGACACCATTGACGTATAGGCCCCGAAAGAGGCCGGTGTCACGTGCCATGAACAGTTGGACGTGCTATTTTTTCACGTGTCCAAAGTGTAGCGAGCAGGGGCAACAGCTGCGTCATATGCTGTAATGCATGTGGCGTGGCATGTTGTCACATGTTGCTAGATACGACGTGGAGGGCAAGGTACTTGAACCGATTGCATACACGACCAACCAAACAACATGGCGGACGAATGACAGTAGTGTGATCAACTCTTAGTGGCGTTAGTAACAGTAAACGCACCCTCTACACTACATCCACCCTTTTAGAAGATGTAAATGGTGATTATAATAAGTCCACTCTCTCAGGCATACAGATACGTCGTCCCGATTGCGTCTACCGAGGACCGCGGTGTAAAGTTCCGGTGTAAATGGACATCGGGTACTGAGCTCATAGTAAGAAAGGCGCGCAAGTTCAAGGAGCCTCACGACCAGGTATAACGCCACTCTACTCGGCATCGCAACTCAGCGGCTCTCCCGTCCCGTCGAATGTCTATACGCCTTCCCCAACGCTTGACGACGCTCCCGGACCAAGTGTCCTGATAGGAACACTAAACGGCACAAGCAGACAACGATTGGTGCGACATTATATACCGTTGGTTGCTTCCGCAACGTGGCATCGCTGACGCCCACAACTCCGTACACGATAAGCACGCCGAGAATCTGTCACCTGCAGGTGCACCTTTCATGGTTAGAGACTGTGGTGATATCATCGCGTTCTTTAGAAAACTTGTGCGCCGGCTGACTCGAGATTATATGGTTCTCCTGACACGCATGGACAGGCACCGACTTTTCAAAGGTTGAGCGAGGCTGAAACTTGTGGAGCCAAGAATGTACCTGCATGGTTCCGCGACCACGCCTTTCTAGATCGCGCAAGCAGTCAGTTTCTGCTCGGTGGGGCGACACGTTGAGGCAACTTCGGGCCCTGACTCAATCAGTCCGACTACTAGGCCGTGCATGTATACTCCCGACTCAACACGTGAAAGCCCGAAACTGCCTTAAGGTGTCGCCCCGTGGAGCGGAGGCGAACGAGCGCATCGAGGCACTCTTCGGAAACCTAAGCGAAAACCGGCTGCTCGCACGCTCTACAAGGAAGTGGCTTCGGCTGTACACATAAAAAGAGCCATGTGATGGTCAACATTTTCTCTGCACAGTTACTCTACTATTCTCACTGCACGTTTCCCTTCTCCGTTTGACTGTTGGAAATCGGGGCAGCGGTAAAGTTGTATACGTCTACTCGAATTCTTTTGACGATAACTGTGGAGTTTTACCACTCCGACGAACTTCACACCAGTGCCGTACACGTTCCTCTTAAACAGGAATAAAAGCTCGTTCCTTCGCAATTTTAGAATGAGTTCTCGTTACAAGTTCCATAAGTTCTAAAGGAACATAACTCAGCACTATCAACTGCCCTCCACATCATCATCAGCAGCAGCCTGACTACGTTCACTGCAGTACAAAGGCCTCCCCCATGTTACGCCAGTCAACTGGGTCCTGTGCTTGCTGCTGTCACTTTATACCCGCAATCCTCTTAACCTCATCCGCCACCTAACTTTCTGTCTCCCCCTAAGCCACTTGCGTTCTCTGGAAATCTAGTCTATTACCCTTAATGACCAGCGGTTATCCAGCCTACGCGCTACATGCCCGGCCCATGTCCACTTCCTCTTCTTCATTTCAACTATTATAACCTTTTAGTCCCGCTTTGTGCCCTGATCCACTCTGCACCTCAAGCTAAATCAGGCCCAGACCGTTCAATAACCGCAGCTACAAACACGCACACGAGCCCCGTCATCCTGCACCACATATATTCCGACGTCTGAAGTTCCAATCTCTGCCAGTACTATACCACTAGAGGCCATATCACATGGGAATGTCCAGCATTAATCACAAATTCTGGGGTCACGGCCTCCAATGAAGATCGGGCGCGTTGGCGGACGGCGCTGCTCAGTTCTGGCCAGGACAAGCAAATTGGGGCGATCCACCAGGCCAAGGAAGCTGCTGGGAGACACGGTCTTTCTGCTAGCTTATAGGTGGGAGCCAAGCCCAGTAATCTGCCGGAAATCAATAAAGTTTACCTCTCTTTCTCTCGTTACTGTTACATTTCGCAAATTGGAACGATGTCGTTACATTAACGTTTCATTTAAATTTTTGATCAAAATATAATGCCAGATGGTCTTGCGGCCAAATGAAGTGAAAAGTTTAATATTACTTTGGCACTACGCATATTTTGCGCATTTAACAACGGCGATGGAAGGTTACATGTTGATAGAACGATTGTAAGGATACAACCCTATAGACGAACGTTTTAGAGGTCACCAGCCATCCTGCATATAAGTCGAACTACAACTTGCTCGTCTATTACAAGTGCAACAGACATGGCACTTTCTACATTAGTCATCAAATGCGCAGTCAGAGTACTGCACTTAACATATTAACATGATAGCGTTACAGAGCTTATATCACTGAAGTTCTGGTGCCGGCGGATGCGTTAATTTAATTGTTGGTTCTGAGTGGAAAGTTATGTTTGCCCATAAGTGAAAATTCGAGATAAATACAAGTAAACAAATATTAAAAACAGTTTGAGTGCAAACTGAACCCACGCATTCTGCGTATATCAAGCATATGTTCTATCAAACAGTCAGGTAACTGCTTGAAACCGCTTCAGAAAAAGAAATGTACAAATAGCATCTAATTATAGTCGAAACTTCTCAACGTTTACGTATAGTGATGCACGGCAGCAGCGTACAATCACGCCAGGCGTGCTTTAGAATTGCGCAACGAGCGAGTGTTTTAGAGGCCCACCCACCCATTACAAAGCGCTCAAAGTCAACAGCTGCCGGGTTCGCGTTTGTCTTACCGACGCGTATAGTGGACTACTCCCTAATTCGCAAAAGGAAGACGGTGGCCACTTCGCAAGTGTACTTCCATTAGGCATTCTAAAAAAATTGTTTGAAACAGTGAATGTTACGCGTGCTAACGTTATTTTCCCATGCAGCATAGTTGAATCATACACCGTGAACCGAAATCACGCTAGCGACTGAGAAGGCGTCATCTATAGAGCCTGATTACGCTATCGCATTCTATATATACACTATTGAAAGCGAATCTCAAGTGTCGTGGAAGATTTTTTTTTTTTCGTGTAGAAATTGCCACACGTGCACCAATATGAATAAGATTCATGCACAGAAAACCACAGCGAGAAAAATAATACGTATGAATTGAATGAGAGCTGATTCAATATTGCAGTCTGAGTATATGAAGTAATGTCCAGGATACAAGTACATGTTCACACTAAGCAAGGGTTCCATCTCAACGTTGGTATACGACAGACCAGCTTTGTTTTGTCGTTAGCAATTGATTGGTATCGTTGAAAAGCCGCTTCATCAAACGGTACAGGGTTCTGTCATGCTGTCACACAAATAAGAGTAATGTCGATCAAGGTAGTAAAGTGAGGGCAGGCTCCGCGGGTGCAACAAGAATGTGTCGCTGGATGTACTTGTATGGTTCATTGCATGACAGTCGTTATCGGTGTGGGTGGATGTTGAAATGAATGACAATAAAAAAAAACTATGGACTGATAGCCACAGTGATAACTGGAATGTCAAATATAGATGCCTGGCCAAACGCAACCACCGCAGGCACCGGACAGGCGCCGCTGCCGCACCCCCTTCCATTACGTTTCGGTCCTCTTCCCTGCAATCCATGCACCCGGGTGTCAAAAGATATGTTTCTTGCCGGCGGTATATACGGGATTCTAAAGAGACGATTGAACCATGGAGTAGCGGAAGTACACGTGACGAGAAAAACACTCCGACTATAGTTCGACGCGTTCCACACCGTAAGTGCTTGAACATAAAACATATGTAAACGTCCGAAGCATACACTGCACGCGGCAAAAGGGCTCATTTCCAAGGGATAGAGTTCCGAAGTGTAGCTTTGTCATTGTTATGTTTGGGCCCTAGACCATTCATGAGCAGTGTAAAGTCACTGCGCGGATTATGGTGTTTGGTACATCGGTGCTTTATTGTGCCTCAAGCGTTGTGATTGGTTCCTCTGTCCTATGCGCGATTAACCAGTTTCGCGACGATAATTCGCACTTTTCAGAGACTCGATGAAATCCCGCGCAAGTGTCTCGACTATGTGGACAGGGTCATGTGGACGCGTTGCAGAACCGCCAGAATGCGCACGCACGCACGCAGGCACACACACACACACACACACACAAGTATACTTATGAGTTAGCCAAGCAGACAAGTCCCCGAGATAACAAATAGTGCGATCTTTCCTTACAGCAGCTCACAATGGGGTTCGATCATTATCGATGTCCAGTAAAAACTCTCCACGGTGTGTCAACACTCCTACACTTCATATCGGTCCTTTATTGCTGTCAGAATGGATCATACTAATAGGAAAAGTAATCAAATGTTCTTCCCACAAGTGGTCGGTTTCGGCATCGCCCCTCACGCAGTCGCCAATTCGCTCTGTCCTGCATTATATGCTGCGTGCGTTCAAAGCCGAGGAAATGAACGCCGTTACCTAATTTGCCGTTCTTACGTAAACGTAGCGCGTTGCCGTTACAGTTCCACCGATCCTTCACATAACGGTGTCGTTTCTTCGTTCCTCCAAAAAGTAACTGGTTCCTGGAACGTCGTTCTTGGAATGCATTTTCATACAGCACTGATTTCAAGAGGGCACCTTCGCATTAGTAGGAAGCAACGCGCTCAGCAAAGTTTGGGCAGTGACCCTGATTACGGGAAAGGAGACCTTTATCGACGGTGCACGTGGCCTGGTAAAATTCCGCCTAAAACATCAGCGCTTGTTTCTCCCCTAGCGGAAAGATTGGCGGGTATACATTTCCGCCGCTTCCCTTCAGGTGCCGGTAAGGTTGCACTCGCCCAGTATCTTAATCTGCGCGCGAAACCTCTCGCGTTAGTGAATGCGTCCCTACGGAAGGCTGGTAGCTTCTGAACATTGCGATCCCATACCGCAAGCATGAATGAAGGCGAAGGAGTTGATGCAAGCAGTGAAATTACAGCGATTCGCATCAGGAATGCCCGAAACAAACAACTGAGAGGCATGGATGGTGCACAATACAGCGTAGATAAAATCGTGTTGCTTGCGCTGGCAGTCCTCCTGAGGCACTGGCAGTCCTTCTGAGAAATTGGTTATGGTGCACTATGCTCAAGACCGGAGTTCATTCCTTGATCACTATAGTGAACATATCACTCGACATTTTGTGTGGTATGAGGCTGCTCCTGATAGCGCCGGCCTGAATGTACATTCTAGTTACAACAGTGGCATATCTATGCTGCGCGGTGAAATACTCTATACAGTCCTGAATTTTCTGACGTACACGGCAATGACGGCTGCACGCATGCAAACAACGGACAACACCTTGCCGCAATGCTATCGTTTCAGAGAGCACAGCGACTAAACCTACGAAAAAAGAAAAAAGAGAACATTACGCGTTTTCGTGCGTACTTAAGTTTTCTACTATTTCTAGCTATTCCTGTGTGAATAGCTATAGTCTGGTCCCAGTTGTGTTTTTCCAAAGTATGATTTCGAAAATCCCGCTAATTTGTGACTGATGACGACTTGCTTCAACGTGTCAGCAGCCGCGTGACGCACGTTTTTTCATTGAGCGGAGGCGCCGCCTGGCGGCAGAAACGCGAACGCGCCCCGTAATTTCACAAAATGGCGGCGCCTACGCTAGTCTGCCGTTATTGCTGGTGCTTCCTCAATTTTTGATAACGCGATTTTTGCCGGGCCTCCTTTATTTACGCCCCGAGCTCTCGGAGCCGCAACCATGACTTCCATATCGCTGAACTGCGAGCTCGAAGAAGGCGAGATAAGCGACGACGCCGAAGAGTTGGGCGACTACGATGCGAGGACCGCCGCTGTGCCTAGGCCTCCGGCCAAACCGTTCGGCATCGAGGTGTCGTCTTCGCCGTCTCGCGCCGCTCCACCCTCCCATCCGCACAAGAGTCGAAGCCGAGTCAACAACAACTCGACGGCTCGCTACTACAAGAAGCCCCTGTCCGTCTTCAACCCGCCCAGCGGTCACTACGACCGCAACAGCGGGGGTCACTCTCGTCCTCCCTTTGGCGGTGGCTTGCGGTCGGCCGTTGCCAGTCGACCTCTGGCGCCAAGTCGCGGTCGTGCGTCCCTGCCGTCGTTCGTGGCGTCGCACGACTCTGGCAGGACTAGTGGTGGCGACGATCGGTGCGGAGGCCGGAGGTCCTCGTCGCACCTCGACCACTACTCGTGGTTCCGCAGGTCTTCCTCAGGCCACTTCAGTCGGGACGTCGAGAGCTCGACGGCGTCTTCTTCTCACGGCCGCTTCCAGCCACCGTTTTCGCAGCGGCCGCGACCCGAGCGGAGTCCGCCGCCGCCCATTTCACACTCTGGGAGTGCGAGGAAAAACCGTATCCTACTGCGCTTGCTGGTGATGGTGCGATCAATCAGCTATTGAAATTCATTGTCTGCATGTCTTCAATTACGCAGCGATCTATTGTTTCGCGGGGCTGCGTCACACCTCTTCACTGCCAGTTGCAGCTGGGGCAGTGTGTGCTTTCACGTTAATGCTCAGTGTTTGCGTCGGTACGTCATGATGAGCGCTATGACGCAACGTTGTCGTTTGTGTTGTTCGCAACGAGTCCGAAACGGTGAGACTCGACTGAGAGGTCAGTATTCCATTGGCGGCCAGGGTCGCTGACGACCGCTGTGGTATAGCCTCGGTGATCGTTTTGTTTGTTTTTCTTTCGCGTTGTGGTGTGCTGGACACGCGAACGATCAAGTGCCACGTCGTGTCACACGTAATCTCTGCCACGCATCCGGCGCGCGCGGTTGCTTTTGCGATAAATTAATCCCGTACTGTCCCCAGTCCTTTACCGTGCTTATGATTCCGTCGGAAGCCGTGGGGTCGATTCGCTGCCGTGGCGGCAGCATTTTGATGTGCGTGTAATTACAGATAGACTTGTATGTCTGTTGCAGGTAGACATGTATGTTTGTTTATTTCAGATGTGGCATTGTGAGAAGTCTAGTTGATAGTTATTTCACATCAAATTTAAACTGTCGGGATATGTTATCGGGTGGTGTACAAGTTCAGGAAGGAGATACAATATGTTGCCTTACCATTAGGTCACGAAAGGAAACTACATATTGAGTATTGGAAATTTTTTTTTCTTCTTAGTACATAATGAACAGAGCAACATATATAGTGGCCATAACCAATCATTTCTTTTCATGACCGGGACATTTCCTCATGTATATTAGAAGCACTCATGTTCCACAATTCTAACTAACTTGCAAGTTGTAGCCCTTAAAACATTTATGATATGGGAAATAGCTAATTCCTAAAAAGGCACCTCCGAACTGGAGCAAAGCTGCTACTTTGAGAGATGCGCCGAGCATTACTTCGACAGCTGCGTAACTTGTGTAGCTTTTGCAGCATTGACTTGCTATGTACGAAATGATGCATGGCATTATCTAAGGTCCCCAGATTTTTCCCTTTTACCTGAGCACGGACAACTGCCCCCTCTTCCAGCCCTCTCTCACTCGCAGCCGGTGTCCGTTGCCATTATCTGGAAGATTTACAAGACCAGGTTCGTCGTCAAAAATCAATTCAGGCGGTGACGCTGCCTCGCGCTCCTACCTCCAGTTAACGAGCCATGATGTTTCACAGACAGATCACATTTCCTCCTCAGATTTTAGTGGTATTTTTTACGGTCTAGACAATGGGTATCCGCTAGAAAGATAGATAGTAAGTACTTAAGGCAAAGCATATTTCAGCGCACGTTATCACGAAGCGTCTTTCTTCAGTCGCCAATGCCCAATCATTAGTAAGTGGGGCACGCGTTTCACCAGGGCTTGAAAAAGTGTTGGGAACAACATGGCTACTGAAAATGAGCATTAGGCAATGAAATTTGTCGGTGGGGCTTCGGTGGTTGTGGGTACTTAAAACAAGAGAGAGACAAATGTAGGGACCTGAGCCTTTCGGGCTAATATGAACGTTGCGATTATTTCAAATGAGCAACTTTGAATGTGACTGCAGGGGACAGAACATTTTGTAAGCATTTCTGTTATCACTTTGCACAGTTCATTTTCCTACTGCTCTGTTGATATTGGGCTAGCGGAGACATCCAGCAATCGCTTGTACTGAATTTCACGCCTTACTGTAACACTCTGTTGATCCTAACTCTAATGCCGAATGACTCATCGAGCCTTCCCTGTTTTTGAAGCCACGAAATGCATAGAAAATCAAATCTAAGCATACATTGTCATTATCGCTCCTTATAGTTTGACATTACTTTCATGTGTGGGTAGCTCGCGAAGCCAATTAACTAATAAATTTTTACACAATGAGGTTACAACTAAAAAAAAGTTCATTTCTATCTCCCTGTACAACTCTATACCCTCCATCACCAGAAGTAACGATGAACAGTGGAACTGCGAAGGAATAGCAGGAAAAATGAAGTTCCCACAGTGAAAAATGCTCTTTTCTTCTCGGACGGATTCCTAGATGAGCTGTAAATTATCTGTTGGAGAAATCATGATATCCAGGTTGCTGAATACGTATTCACATATTGTCCCTACTGTTCACCTTAGGCAAAATGTTGCATTTATGGAATCGAGGCCATGTAGTAGCCGAAACAAATCTATCGACCATGTTTCATTGAGTGAATACCTCCATTTGAAGTATGCGTCCTGAAAATGTGCTACTTAATGCGTCATTGGTTCATTCAGTGCTTTCTAGAAACTTCTTCCTAGAACAGTGGATCTGAAGTAGGGGCCTGAAAACTGCAGGAACTCCGTGAAGCTGCTCTAGTTGTCTGTGAAACCCATCCTCAAATAAAAAAAAATGTATTTTTTTGGAGGCCCACTATGTCCCATTAACTTTTTTGCTACCGTGCCTATACAAATCGTTCAATTTGAATTATGCATTTCAAGTTTAAATTTCGTGCACTCGTGTCGTTTTTGGGCGTCTAATGCCATTTAGGTAAGAAAGTGGGAACCAAACAAGAACTGCTATGTTATGGTTGTTTTTTGCTTTAGGGAAGTTTTTCCTCGCCGCTTAAAGTTACGGGTTGTCGCGCAAGTGCGCCAGTCATGGCATCGTTTGCGGTGTGGATGTTCAGAAAAGACATGTTTCTTGCGAATCGAGCGCATGAACAGCAGATTTTGAGGATGAAATCAGCAGCAGTGAGCCTGGAGAAAATTTTGACACATCGAATTTTAGCACGGATAATGAGAATGCGTCAAGTCAAGCTGCAACATCGAACGAGTGTCGGTTGTTTGTGTGGCACACTTTTTGTTGTCTAATTTGTAGTTGCGGGTGGCGGAGCGTGTACTCACAGCAATTTTACTCATTTTGAGGGTCTCAACTTCCTACAGAAATTATTCCTTGCTAGAATTTATTAACCGTGTGCAGTTTCTTTCGAGATGAAGCCTGGGAGTCAAAGCCTTGGGTGTGCTCCAGAGTAGGGCACGCCACTTAGTTCAGACCGTCGATTTTTTTCTAGCTGTCTCTCACTGCGCAGCTGACGAGCACGATCTGCGACTACACCAACAAATATGCGTGAAGGCATACTTTGAGAGGCACACATACGCAGAAAGAGAGGATCCGTGGAAGAACTTCAGTCCCGATCAAGTGATGAAGTGCATTGGAATCCTCATCATCATCAGCCTGACTACGTCCACTGCAGGACAAAGGCCTCTCCCATATTCCGCCAGTTAACCCGGTCCTGTGCTTGTTGCTGCCAATTTATACCCGCAAACTTCTTAATCTCATCTGCCCACCTAACCTTCTGTCTCCCTCTAACCCGCTTCCCTTCTCTGGGAATCCAGTTAGTTACCCTTAACGACCAGCGGTTATCCTGCCTATGCGCTACATGCCCGGCCCATGTCCATTTCTTCTTCTTGATTTCAGCTATGATAACCCCCGTTTGTTCTCTAGTCCACTGTGCTCTCTTCTTGTCTTTTAAGGTTACACCTACCATTTTTCTTTCCATTGCTCACTGCGTCGTCCTCAATTTAAGCTGAACCCTCTTTGTAAGTCTCCAGGTTTCTGCTCCGTAGCTAAGTACCGCCAAGATACAGCTGTTATATACCTTCCTCTTGAGGGATAGTGGCAATCTACCTGTCATAATTTGAGAGTGCTTGCCAAATGTGCTCCACCCCATTCTTATTCTTCTAGTTACTTCAATCTCGTGGTTCGGCTCCGCGGTTATTACCTGCCCTAAGTAGACATAGTCTTTTACAACTTCAAGTGCACTATTACCTATCTCGAAGCGCTGCTCCTTTGCGAGGTTGTTGTATATTACTTTCGTTTTCTGCAGATTAATTTTAAGACCCACCTTTCTGCTCTCCTTGTCTAACTTCGTAATCATGAGTTGCAATTCGTCCCCTGAGTTACTCAGCAATGCAGTGTCATCGGCGAAGAGCAGGTTACTAAGGTACTCTCCATTAACTCTTATCCCTAACTGTTCCCATTCTAGGCTTCTGAAAACCTTGTGTAAGCACCCGGTAAATAGCATTGGGGAGATTGTGTCCCCCTGCCTTACACCCTTCTTGATTGGTATTCTGTTGCTTTCTTTATGAAGCATTATGGTAGCAGTTGATCCCCTGTAGATTTCTTCCAGAATGTTTATATATACTTCATCTACGCCCTGATTCCGCAGTGTCTGCATGACGGCTGACATTTCTACTGAATCAAATGCCTTCTCGTAACCTATGAAGGCTATGTATAGTGGTTGGTTATACTCTGAGCATTTCTCTATTACTTGATTGATAGTATGAATGTGCTAAATCGTTGAGTAGCCTGTTCGAAATCCTCATCTACATGGAAAATGTTGAATTACCCGACCTTTATCTATACTGATATACCTCAAAGTTATTTTCAGGCATCAATATTTCAAAAATTATGTCCAGAAGCAGTTTTTTTTGTTGTTGTTGTTGTTGTTCCTTGCTTTTTCAAGTGCCATGAACTCTGAGCACAGACCTTGTCCGCGGCAGCAAGCTGCACAGTATAACCCATATACTGCTGCACCCTCACTAACTTTCTTTTTTGTGGGAAAAACAGTTCTTTACAATATTTTTTAAACCTATACAACCTTTTTGCACCATAAGAAGTTTCAAATTGTATATCATGAAATATATTAAACTTCATTATTTTTTAAGTTATCCTCCTTTCATTCTATAACCACTATATAAACTTCTCATTATAAATTTTTTTCAATGTGTGTAATAAATACATATGCAACATTTGTGTTATTGCACAGAACATTCTTTTAGCTACAGTTTTGTACCAAAGAATGTAAATAGGCCATTAATACCTAGCTGCAAAAAATTTTTTTCGCTTATAAAACGACCCCTTTTCCCGCGGTAGCGAAAGAGTTAAAATGGCAGCTTTGTATTTTTAGTATGCGTCACTGCATAACATTGTAATGTTGCCTTGCAGCTGAGCTGCCTGATATATCTGCTCCATGCTGTACAGCTTTTGTTTCAGCTTATTCAAATTAAATAGCTATATTTGAAGAGCAAACGTGGCTAGAAAGAAATGGAATTTGGCTGCAGACCGCACATTTTATTGACAAGTGGTTGAGGTTGAACTAGTGTGGCACTTTAGTTCGACCATTCCTTGTCAGGGACAAATGTTCATGCACATGCGAGCTAGATATGCCAACTAAAAGCTATCTGCAGCAGATCTGTGCGACTTTTCTGTTATGAGAGGGTGAAATTCGGGCATGCCCAGTTCACCAGCGTTCCCTTTTGACAGTGTTTCCTTCTGTACGTGTAATATTGTCGTCTCTGAATGACATTTGAGTCTGAGGATGTTGTATCAGCATTTTGAAATCTGTATTTCATTTGCTTTTGAGTAAACAGTAACAAGTTCCTTTGTCCTTTGATGATGCAACATTATTATTGGAAAACTTGGAAGCTTAGCTTGTGTATGGTTTACGGTTAATCGCTTTTGCAATTGTCAAGAGTTGGTTCACTAGAAATACAGGTGGCCAAATTTCATACGTTGATGTGACAAACGAACACTTGGTGTTCAGCATGGAACGGGGAAGCACGGTTAACATGTCTATCAAATCATGTTTTTGAAGTTCCTTGACTGACGTGAATACCCAGAATCCCAACCCAAGTTCCTACAGAGCTCCGTCACAAATGACCCATCGTACGAGGATTTGCTGGCCCAGTACAAGAGTATTCAGCATCAACTCGAGGATCTCAACAAGAGCGTAAGTTTGACTTTGCTGATATGCTAATATTGTTTTGCAAAATTTAATTTTTGTTGCCATATTTGATGCCACCTATGAATGTGTGATCTAAGAGGAAAGAGCTCATGCAAAATACATAGTAGCATACAACTTTCATAATTTAGGAGGTTACAATGGCTTCAGCGAAGTTTGTAGAGAGTCCAATGTTGTGAATCGGCCCATAGAAACACTCGCCTCTGTGTAGGTTCACCTCCTGCCGCAGTGGTTTAGTGGCTAAGGTACTTGGCTACTGACCTGCAAGTCGCAGGATCCAGTCCCGGCTGCAGCGGCTGAATTTTCGATGGAGGCGAAAATGCTGTGGGCCTGTGTGCTCAGATTTGGGCGCACATTAAAAACCCCAAGTGGTCAAAATTTACTGAGCCCTCCACTACGGCATCTCTAATAATCATATGGTGGTTTTGGCATGTCAAACACCACATATCAATCATCAGTGTATGTTCACGGCCTTTGAAATGTGAGGGAAAGAGGAAGCTGGCACCATTGTGGATTAAGACTGGGAAATGCTTCCACGATGAATACAGTCATCCCTTGTGGAAGAAACCGAATCGGTCCCGAAACATTAGGCAATAAAAACTTGACCGAAGTCATTTTAGCTTCCTACATCTACTCAACCAGACAGATTTCTGTTGCAATATTTATATTTAACTTTTGTAATACTTCTTCAGCAAGTTGGTGCTCTTCAATCATAAATTATTTTTAGGTCACATTCGAGGCACATGTAAAGAAGAACACCCAGACTTGCGAATTACCTGTTCTCTCTCTTTTTTTTACACTATGAAGAGATTTGTTGAATTGTTAGATGGAGCATGGCATCATCTGAGTAAATGTGCTTAGGTGTATATTATAGGCATTCAATGTTTATCATTGTAGTTATCATTAGGCAAGTGCAACTCTGGAGAATATAATGTGACGGAAGTTTTGCATTCTCGGGAGAGTTTTCATTTTGATGTGTGCTTTGAAAAGTTCACTAGCTTTTTCTTTAACACTGGTGCCCATTAACAAGACACTTTATACCTGACCTGTGTTATTCTCTGTGTTATTCTTAGGATCTGTGTTAGCGGCAATCTCGTTTAGTATAGTATCGTATTTTCTCATGTACGACCTGCCCTTGCATATAACCCGAACATCCAACTACAAACCATTAAAAAAATAATAGAAATAAATGTTTCTTGCTAATTGCTTAGAAATTGTAATTCTTGCATTACCACGAAGCTGTGTTAGGAAGCCAACTTGCAAATCGTAATTCACATGTAACCGGTACGTTGTCATCACCTCTCAATGTCCTGTATATTTTATGCGGGTTATATGCTGGAAAACACGGTAACTAGATGTGACAGCGGAGATGGTTCAAATGCAGGCGATGCACATAGAAATTACTCTCCGAAGTATTTCTGTAGTGCATGAACAAAGGAATTTTCATGAAGTGAGTGTGCAGGTTACGAGCTGCATGCTGCCTGCAGTAGTATCCTATTTGGCCACGCGTTGTGTTGGTGAGGCCAAGGACATAGGTTGGACTCATGTCATGGTGCATATTACGAGAGATGAAGAGCAGGAACACCTGTACACATTGATTTTGGTGCATGTAGGCATGAAGTTAATAAATTATCGAACTAATTTTTCACAAATTAGAATGCCAAAGTGTTCTAAATGTCGTTTCAGTATGGTACTCTTCAAAACGGTTGCCATACAAAGTGGCACCTGGCAGCTAAAACATAGGTTGGCTGCTGGAACATAGACTGGCTCCTGGAACTTGCCATGGATCAGCTGACGAGGCCCTTACGCGAAGGAGGGATGCGACGTGGGTCTAGAAAAATGCGGGCGATCTTTCTGCAATTTATAATTGTTTATTTGCAATCTCTATAGATGGTGGGACAGGCCCAAAATTTTTTTTCATTTACAAAATCGTCCAGTGAGCGGCATGGAGATACTTAAAAAGGCAGAACGAGTATACTCGAGCTTGGTAAGGACTAGTGTGAGTGTTGTAGTCGGAGTTATGTCTGGCTTGGCACTGAAAGACTTAAAAGCTGCAACACCAAATTTATCTCATAATGAGCACTTGAACAAAAGCAACGAAAGTGACTACCATATCTTGTGTACTAAGTGCGAGCCAAAGGCATACAAATATCTCCGTGTATCCACATATATATCAAGTTATAGAATAAACCTGTGGCAGGTACTCACTCCAGAAATTATGATAATTATCTTTAGAAATGAACCAATCTACACAGTGTGGCATGTCACTGTGATGTAGAGATATTACATTTGATGAAGACATGAAATGCACGTTCCAGATTAGAATATTCTCGCAAAACAAAAATGCACGAAATGCCACGATCTTTTACAAATATTTAGAAAAGGACTGTGAGCATCAAATTAAATGCGAACGGTGCCAAGCGTTAGGCCATGATACAGCACACATCGTTCAGTCATCACGATGGACATGCGCTGGTGCCGGCAAATTGGAGCACCGTTCACCCGTCGGCGGTGACGACTGGATGGCACGTACTACGCCGTCGGTAATGCTTGCGACCGTTTGTTCCATTCGACACCGGTGCGCCAGACGGCACAGCGTGGTGTGTCAAGGGGATCAGATGAATGCGTAAGACATCGGGCAAAGACGTGCAAATGCACGTCCTGGTTGGGCATGTCATAGCGGAAAAAGAAACATTTGAAACACTAGAATGCTTTTTCGCATGCAGCTACGCTCGAACCTATTGGTTCTCTCCCTGTGATGTCCCTTTGAGGTCTAGCTGCAGGAATGATAAAGTATGTCCAGTTCGTGGTTGTACATTTTTTTTTTTCATTTTGTCTGTGTCTTCAGAGTATTGAAGAGCAGCAACCAACCAATGCGACTACCCACGAAAAGTCTTCCAAGTCGAGTGAGCGCAGAAAAAAGACCCACAAGCCAAAATGCAGGAGAGCTCGAAAGGTGATCGTTCAGTTTCTCTCTCGAACCTCACATTGAAGGGATGTATCACCATGGACTTGTGTTTATCAATCAGCAGCACTCAAATTACTGCTTCTGAAATTGTTATAGTGATGCCACAGTACAATGACGCCAATGTAAAAATTACTGCGCATACCAGGGGAATAACTGTGCAACGTTTATGCCAATATTGCCACTTGATGGTATGTGTAATGAGTGTTGGATCTAAGGAATGTACTTTCGTGTTGGATGCCGCAAAACTCAAACCCCATTACAACAAAGTTGCATCTGACATGAAAATAAATTCGTTATATCCAAAATTTGTTATAAAGTATATTCCCAATAGTATAACAAAACTGTGCTTCATTTACTTCGTTCTATGCAGTCCAGTTTCGTTATATCAAGGTTTGAGTGTACTTTATTAGGAGGTTGGCCTAGTCTGGACTCACGTTCTGGCCCTGAGGTTTTTCTTTGATTGGCAGCAGATCGAAAGAGACACCAGAGAGAAAACTGTTTTTTTTCCATATTAGCAAATGACTATATCGCAATATCCGAAATTCGCCGTGGTTACCGTGAAAAGATGCTTGAAAGTCAGGTTACATTGCTACTATGAAGTTTCCACACCGACTGCCACAACGACGATAGGTTTTGACGGCGTCTACGACGACCTATGTAATTTGTGATTCATAAATACAAGGTCCTCTAGAAGGTGGGCCATAGACTGAGCATTACCAAGTGTCAGAAAATTTCGTTGGCTCAATGTTGCCACAATACTAAAAATGCACTTTCGAAAATCTATTACGTTGCGTGCGGAAATTATGGCACAGAACTTAGAAATGAGTCTTACAACTTGATTTTCTCTTCTATTCTGAAATTCATGGCAATGAAGTTGAGATTACAGGTCAAAGTTTTTCCTGTCTAAACTGATTCACTGTATTTCTTTTGTATCTCTTTGATGACTGGGATCTTTTCGTCTTGCGCGCTGCCAGAGCCTGTCGGAGGATGAACCGAGAGAAGTGCTTGGCGATGAAGGGAAGGAGCAAGTCCCCCCTCTGTCTGCGATTCCGGTCATCTGCGACGGAAACGTCGAGTGCCGCTTGTCGCCGGTGTCGCCCGGTCCGCCGACGCCTCCCGCGCCCCTCCCGCAAGCCAGCGACATCAGTGATGATGATGATGTGAGTGCTTTTTCGCGGCTTGCACATACGTTGCGCTAGCGGCTATGTGCAGCACTTGTTTTGGGGGTGCACGAGGCAAGTGTTGGAAACCTTGTCGGTCATGCTCACGAGTGCCTAAACCAGCATATTGGGTGTGCAATGTTTGTGAAAATATGTGAAATAAATTAGCACGAAACACGGGATGAATGACAGTGTAACTAGACTAGGGTTGAACTACTAACTGCAGTTGGTAGGGTAGGGTTGGTGAATCTTTAAATGAACTGCCAAGGTCAAGCACCTTGAACTTGGCAAATAGGGAAGTGCTCTCTGATATCACCATCTATGCAGTCTAGTCTTCAGCCATCTGATGTCGCGTTCATTGACGGAATAGCTATCGAGAGGATGACTCTGGCGGAATTTGTCCGAGGAATGCTCTTGACAGCAGATGGCTCACCTCTAGGCGGCGTGGATGGCAAGAATATATGGGCAGTCTGAATGCAAAAAGTGGGGCGCAGTGCGTAACAGGGACTAGAAAAAGTGGGGCCCAGTGCGTAACAGGGATCAGAAAAGAGCACGACGCAGGCGCACTTGGAATGAACCGTTACCAACTAGTCCTAATGGCTGTTTTGCTACAATACGGACTGCGATGGTCTGTATTCTTTCGGTTACGTCTGTACAATCATAGGCCAACTGGCCCAAAATGAAGTTTTATTGCTGTATCTACATGTTTCGGGCATTATCGGGCAGAAGAGAAGTGAACCTTTCTCTGTGAATGCTGCAGGAAACGGATCTCATGGAATTGCGACGCAAGGCTCTGGAAACTCTCAAAAATACGAAGCCACCTAAAGCGCAGGAAGAGAAAACCGAAGGTAATGGCCAACTTTTTAAATACGGTCCGCTTCGGTGGAATGGTGGCTAGGCTGCTCTGCTGCCGACCCGAAGGTCGCAGGTTTGATCCCGTTCGTGGTGGTTGCATCTCAGTAGAGGCAAGATGGTACAGGCCTGTGTAATGTGCGATGTGAGTGCGCGTTAAGGAACACCAGGTGGTCAAAATTTCCAGAGCTCTCCACTATAGCGTCACTCATAATCACATCATCATTCTGGGACTTGAAACCCCAGATATTATTATATTAACTTTTTAAAATACACTCTGACATTATTATAACGAAGTTGCATTTCACACGAAAATAAGTTTGTTATATCCAAAAATGTGTTATATTTTTCTAACACTTTTGCAAGTATTCTTCACTCTCTTTGTTATAAATGACATTTCTTTATAACCAGGTTCGTTATATCGAGTTTTGAGTGTTTTGAGTGAAGTTTTGTTTTGAAGTGAATTTTGAGTGAAGTTGGCTGTTCTAATAAGCACTCTTTCACTTAATTTTTATTCGTGCATCCATTGCAAAGCTTCTTTTAATTTCCACTCTACCCATGTGGGGGAGGTGTACTCAGAGAACCCTACACAGGTCTATACCTAACACAACCCTCTGCTTTCCATAGGCATGCACACGCAACATTACCTAACGCTAGTTTAAGGGAATCTACGTTACCCAACATTTAGCCACCATGTTTTATGACAAGACAAATAATTAATTAGCAAGTGTTTGTCCTGCCAGCATTGGCATTCTGGTTTACAACATGTTGATAAAAGGACCATGGTTTTGTGACATGCACGTCATGTCATTTGCACCATTCATCTCGCAATGTAGATGACATGAAGCGTGATATCCTGAATACACCGAAGTAATGAAACAATCGTGGCATCAATTAATCAATTCTATCTTTATTTACAACCAAATGGGCACTCAGACCTCGATATAAAAAACAGGGATATAACAAGTTATCAATTACAATAAAGTGAAGAATGGTTTTGCATAGTGTGTTACAAACATGTTTATAGGGAATTCTCAGATATAGCGAAGTACTTTTGTGGCAGGTGTGATTGCTGTGATGAGGTTTGAGTGGATATCACACAGGTTGAATGTAGTTAATGTTTAAGAGGGGACGGGGCTTGGGAATCGCGAGAAATGGCAAAAAAAAACAATTTTTTAAATCAAGTTTTCATTTTCTGGCACCCTTTTTCTGTCTTATTCTAAAATAACTACTCTGAAAACCATGCAGAAGTGCTTCAAAAAATTTGTTTCACCCTCCTAGGTAGCAAAAAGTTACAGTGGACTTTTAGTAATAGCAAATCTGATAACCGGAACTGCTGCTTAAATGGAACAGTTGGCTCTGATGCGATTGGTTTCATCCCTGCGCGCTGCACTCCAGTTCGCCTCTCAGTAAATGGAACTCCTGATAAACAGAATACATTTTCTCAGTCTCTTTATGTTCCGTTTATTGAGAGTTCACCTGTATTCTATAAATGGCGACAAAACAGCAGTTTAAAAAAAAATTATAGATTCGCGATGGCAGCGACCGAAAGCCAGCTTCTTGATTCATCGCAAAGAGCATTTCTTCGTGTTCTAATTCCCCACGTCAGCAGGCTTCTCCATTCAGAAATAACCGTGCAAAAAGCAAATACTTGACACACATTACGAGCCCTCTCATTGGCCGCGTTCCCCATGTTGCCATAGCTCCCTTGCCATTGGCCTGATGCTCGCTGCGGGAAATCATCTGCTGCTTGTGCGTCGCGAGGACACGGCTGTCGAAAATCGCTACCTCGTGATGTGCTTACAGCTTGACAATCACTTGGAATGTAATTACACTTTAGTTAGGAGCTGTAAGTGGATGCTTGATCAGATTACTATGATGCGTCGTGCTCATAGACCGAGCGGCATGCCATCGGAGTCGTCTTTAGGCTTAACTCTGCTGATGGGGAGACAAACCTCAAACTTTGCAGCCAAGAACGTGCTAGCGCACTCGTGGCAACGTGCTTCTTCGCAAACAACAAAGCACATCGTTTGCTGCCTCCTCATAATCGCGGATGGGCCATTACACATCGCCAGCGAACCTCACAGTCAAGCTCGTCAGGCCCCCCCTCTTGTTGTTGAGTAGCCTGTTCACTGCCAAGAATTGATCGGAACAGCACTTTCGGGCATTGGCACTCAAAAATGCGATACCAAGCGCAGTGAACGCTAATTTTTCATCACTGAACACTACCGCCAAGCGCATCACGTGCCAGCAGCACTGTCCCCGCGGGCACGCACTTCGCAGTCATATGGAGTGTTGTCAATAAGCTCTGGTGAAGCGATTTAGACTTGCTTGGAGCTGTGTTTGGTATCGCCGCAAGCCTCTATGAGTAGTCTAAAACAATGAAGGCCTCGTAGATTACCATTTCCACGACCGGCCGTATGATGATGCCTTTCACCGATAGAGTGGCAAAAGAACATGCACGAAGCATGGGTGCAAATTTTTTTCTGCCCGACTCATGTCATTAAATAATCTGTCAAATAATTCCTGTGCGACCAGTTTTCTGCCCATAACTGTTCATTAATTGGAAAGAAGGCATAGGCTGTCATGGTGTGAGCCATTTTCTGATGCAGTAAACCTCTCTATATAAACATGCTGGACTGATTATTTAAATCAAGAAGTACCTAATTATGCTAATGACAGCTTGAACAAGAAAGATGTGTAGTCATTTCAGTATATGGCCTTATTCAAGTACAATTTTTTTTGTCATGTCTATCGCACCACTCCTTGATACAGAGGAATTGGTTTGAAATCCAACTTGTTCTTTGTAGATAAAAAAAAATGAAGTTATGAAAAAAAAAAAGATAGGCAACAAAGGCACACTGCCCAGAGGCCACATGTCCGAGAAGTCAAACACCACAATACAAACCATGGGTCACAATTTGTATGAGTTTTAGAGACGTGAAGAGAAGATAAAATTTTAAACACAGTTTTCTCTATATTGTTCTTTTCTCTTTTTTTTTTTTTGGCATTATGGTCAGCTCGTGGAGCAGATATTTTGGCAGCCACTTCAGAGATTTTGATACTATTAGTTTTGTGACGCTCCTTGAACTGTGCTTCAACGGGCTGCGATCTTATTCTTTCATTTTACTCCTTCAAGAAGTTTTTGTAGGGCTTCTTGTTTGTAGTATAAATGCGCTCATTCCAGAATCACAGGAGAAAGCGTTAACTACAAGATTTAGTGTCGCAAGAAATATTGCTTTGGAAACGCAGCCCCCTTGAGCATACGTTTGGCTGTGCTCACAGTAACAGGTTGTGTACCAACCTGGAAAAGTCAGGTAATTTGAAACCTCCTGGAAAAGTCAGGGAAATTCTGAAAAACCTGTCTAGGTCATAGAAACTGATGGCAGTTTCGTGCAACCGTCACAAAATTAAGCATCACCATTGATCAAACCTTAAGAAGTCTCTTTCTCAGCTGAAACTATGGTAAGCTGTTAGAAGGTGTGTGAAAAAAAAAAAAAAAAAGCCGCCCTCATTTTCCCACTGGGGGAACTTCAGTGAATGTGTCGCCGAGTGGTAGAGGTATCTCGTGAATGTTGCATAATTGGTATGGTTTGGGACTCACCGGGTAGCGTTCATCTCAGGCAGCTTTGCGGGTCGTGGCAAGTAACGGTAACCCTAGGTCATGCTCATCGACGGCAGGTGCCCACGTACGGAGTCTTTACACAATGAGCACACCAAGTACAACTTGAACAGTTCCAGCAGTCTCGCCTCGTCATCGTTGTCGTTGTTAATGTCGTTGACGCCGCCACCCTTCAAGTTGACGTTGCCAAACTTGCTCCAAAGAAGCCGTAGCACGTTGGTTTGCTTCGCTTTGTTCTTGATGCTTCCGACCAGCGCAAGGTCGTTGTCGAGGGACAGTCAGTCGCACACCTTACAGCTGTGTGCGACTGACTGAAACTACTTCAGCTAAATTTTTCATTTTAATTTCTTGAGATCGTGTGAATAAATCTGCAATTATTTTTCAGTGTCACATTCGCAGCAGAGTACTTAAATCAAGCTAACGTGCTGACATTCGTGATTCTTCTGTGGAATCAGGGAAGCTGTTGCAGCTTGACAGATTCATTCTTGTAACCACATATTCAAACGTCGGCACAATAAACGCTGTCCCCAGCTTTCGTTGCACTTTAGGTATCAGAGCCCAGAGACGTAAAAGACAAACATGCATGTGCTCGTCGGAAAAAGAAAAGGAAAGAAAACTGTGCAGTACGGCTCTGTTTTTGAAATGTTGTCGTTACTTGTTGTCAAGACAAGGTACACAGAATACGCGAGTAGTAGTTATTCTTTTTTTCTTCACTGAGAAGTGTATTTTAGAGGTTCGCAAATCAGTCGGGGGACACAAAACAATAGTAAATACGGTCATCCAGTTCGAATCGGATCTAATCCAGTCCACATCCTAAATAGTTGAGTCAGTAAATACAGCAGTTCAGGTCGATCTAATTCAATCCAATACACTTCTTAAGAGGCGTAGGCTACAGCAATTATAGTAAAATAGATGTGGCAGAACCGGCCAGGCTTCCATGTCCTCGTATACACGGATGCTGCAAGATGGCACCACTTCTGCATTTCTTAGCAGCTTTGACTGCGATGTCGGACTATCGCACGCTCTTTCAAACTTTCATCCACCGTTACTTTTAACTTGTGTGTTTGCTTCCTGGCTCTTCCAAACATCAAACAGCTGACTTGCTCACTGCATGGCTCAAGAGTTTTATTTTGGCCAGATATACATGTTTTTCACATTTACCGCATGCGCTCAGAACAGTCTCAGTGCGTCTGGCAATTATGTTTACTTTATATTTGAGGGTTTGTTTACCATGCACAGTTTTCCATGCGGACGTGGCGGTTAAGAATTTACTTTAGTTAACATGGAAAACCTTAAAAAGTCAGGGAATTTAGAAAAATCTAATTGGTAGACATCCTGTGTAATTACCAGCTATTTACATCATTCTGTAAATCCTCCAGCCTCTCCACCAGGTTCAGTGAAGAAATAATTTGTTTCTCATCAAGTTTTTGTGTTACTGTCTCGAAAATTTTATGGAACCACATTGAGGCCATTCTTAGTGTCTGTGCGAATGTTCATCAAGATCCAACCCTGTTTATCAAGATCCAACCATAGACAAAAAAGTTGGTTCCTAAAGGCTTGTCTCCCCTTGAAGCCTTCATTGCCTGTAGTTGTTCATTGCCTGTGGTTATATTAGCATGTGAATGTATGCTTTTGTAGCACAGTGTAGCTTTAAACTCAAACCTCATTATAACAAGTTTGGATCTTACATGAAAGCAAGTTCATTATATCCAAAAATTTATTATAGAGGTTTGTTCTGAGCACTATATCTATTCCAAGACCCCTTTTCAATTACTTTCTTATAACGGAATATTTCTTTATATCTGGGTTCGTTATATTGAGGTTTGAGTGTATAAGAAAATATTTGCACTTTATTTACACACACACACACACATATGGTAACATCTTCGTTGACTGTTTCAACAGTCCCTCCGGACGACTCCGACAATGCATCGGTGCTTCCACTGGACGAGCTGCCCTCCGACTTGCTGGAGCCGGAGCGTCCCATTCAAGAAGTTCAAGAAAAGCAACAGGTGAGTCCACCTATTCTGGCTCTATTCTGATGTGAAGTACCTTAAAAGACTGCATGTAGCTCAGACCCGCTTATAGTCCTGGGTGTGATTTGGAGATAGCAAACACGAGAAAAAAAAAAAGTTTTCACCCGAATATAGCCCTAGTAAAACAGAAAAATGAGCTTATTGACACACTTCAATCATCGTCATCGTCGGATGCACTCTCTTCCGAAGCTCCCTTGTCAGAAATGTTCTCCCACAGCGCGTCATCCTCAGTGCCATCAAGCACGTTGGAAATGGAGCACTTTGAGATGTGCAAACAAGCGCCTCGGGACTGGTTCTCCGGACCTCATCCACTTCGCGTACAGGCGCTTGACATGGTCCTTATTAAGCGATGCCTGTTGTGGGTTAATGATTAAACCACATTCGCTACGAACTCAGCATTGTTTTGCAGAAGTGCGGTACCACCACGCGGAATCGGAGTCGGGCTCTTCCAGGGGAGCGCATGCATTCGTTCAACGAGATGACCCAGTCATATCGCGCCGAACGCCAGCTATACCCACCACCCCACCGATCCCCCAAAAATTTTCACCAAATATTATGGCGTCGCCTTTAGACCCGCACCCTTCCCTCCCCCTATTTTCTTTCCCGCATTTACCCGGGAGCGTACGCCCCGTCCTGTGCTCAATGCACTCACCCCCACGCTACCCTTACCCACATTCTCATGGAATTCCCGGCGGACCCTCCCCCGCGGGGCCCGGAGCCACTGACCACATGGGAGGAATGGGAGACCTTGCTGCGCTCGACGGACCCGGCCAAGCAGAAAATCGCCACTGACCGGGCCGCCCACGTCATGGAACTGCATGAACTCATGAACGCATAGCGCAGTGGGGTCGTGCGGGGACCCTGGGACGTAAGTGCCCAAATCCCTTGGTCTAATAAAGTTTTACCACCACCACCATCACGTGCGATCAACCATTCCCGGCTAGTTGTGCGCAGAACGAAATTTCGTTGCACAAAACATGCGGCTTTTACTGCGCATTATCGCTAACAAGTGACGAAATAGTCCCATGGTGTACTGTGCTATGCAACATTCACTACTTGCCGTATTTACTCGTGCAATTAATGCACTTTTTTTCTCAAAAAGTCGGAACGATATTGGGGGTGCGTTCATTGCGCGTACTAAATTTCATAAAAACTTTTTTGGGAGAAGGAAAAAAAATGCGGTAATGCAAAAAAAAAAAAGTTTGGTCGCTTAGCCTTTCACAAAATACATATGCGAACACTGTTTGGAAACAGCTTCTTTGTTGCACTTTACTCGTCTTCGGTGGTTGATGACGCTATCTTCTGCAAGCTGTCCCCCAGCCGGGCCGCTGCCCGCGCATGCCATAAAAACGCTTTGCGACTATATTTTCTCGCAATCGTTTAACTGCAACGGTGGTATCTGCTTGTAATCTCGAGGCACGCACAAAAGCGTGCACTCACGGGGGAACGGGGATTGAAATAAAAAGTAGGCTAAAAAAGGGGGAGGGGGAAGGTTCGCAGGAAGCCACCGACATCGGTTGGCCCGAGCAGTTTGGTGACCTTCGCTCCCTGTGTGTTTATCAGCTGCGATGTCTCTACACTCGCACCACTCCTGAACCCTGCTGTGGCGCGCAGAAAGCACAGATAGTACGAAAAGCAATAGGCACGCCACAATGGGCGAAGGAGTGGGAGGGAGCGAGCCGATGTGGGTGAGGGGGGGTGGCAAAGTAATCGAAAACGGAAGAGATCCAACAGGTGAGGAGGCGCCAGATGTCGGTTAGGGGGACTGCAGCGGATGAATGGAGGGGTTGTTTATTATGCTGGAAAAAAAAAATCCGAATTTTGATAACTTAAGTTGGGGGTGCATTTATTATGCGAGTGGGTTCATTAGGCGAGTAAATGCGGTACATGTGTCTTTTGTGAATGAAAAATCAGTTTAAACTCGACGCTTGTCTGTGTCGGTTCTTTTTGCGCATTTATGTTCATTTCATCGTTGAAAATTTTTTTGGTGATGAGCTATAACTCGCTCTAAAAACGCCAGGAAGGGGAAGATGTAAGCTTCCGATTTTAAAAAGTCCGTAACCTGGGGTTGTGTCGAGCGGACGCTTTAGCAAGCAGACTTGTCTTCGTGAAGCCTTGAGGAAGACAAGTCCGCTTGCCAAAGTCTCGGCTCGGCACTACCTCTGTTTACGAATTTTTTCAACTCACCCGAACGCTTTTATTAATCGCTCGTGACCACAGCATGGTTTTAGGACGTCAGACCCCAACAATTCACGTCTCTCCACAGCTGAAGAAAGGCCACCGGCACCCTTGGTACGACCGGGAGCTGATGCAGCAGATGCGGCGCAAGGACCGCGCCTACCACAAGTGGAAGCGCCACCCATGCTACGACAACTGGGAGGCCTTCAAGGCCACCAAGCGCGTCTACCTGCGCATGCTGAAGCGAAAGCGGGCGGCCTACGCGCAGGTCAACAAGGCTCAGGAAGACAGCTTAGCCACCAGCCAGGCTGCCGGAGCCGATTCTTCGCTGCCCGTTGACAACCATGTCATGGTACCCATGCTACCACTTGATGTGAGTTGATCCCATCATAACTCCTGTAATGGCATCACTTGTTTAGCTCTCATTGTCACTTGTGTTTGTGCGCTCAAGCTTCATTATAACAAAGTTGCATCTCACTCGAAAATAACTTCATTATATCTGAAAATTTGTTATAAAGATATGTTCTTAACACTGTTGATCACCTCGTTAAAACCAATAATTTATTACATCTTCATTAGATTAAAATTCATTATATCGAGGTTTGCATGTACCTTGTTATAACATAACAGGATATAATGAAATAATAGATATAACGAAGTAAATTAAGTTTCTAGGGGTGTGCGAATATTGGAAAGTTTCCAATATTCGTCGAATATTAAATTCGCACTATTCGTATTCGATTCGAAAAAAGTGTATTCGAAAAGTTCGAATATCGAATATTTGATTGGATTATCATGCGGAAAATAACTCTTTTTTAATATTTCCACTGGGTTCAGAAATATTAAAACGTTGCCCAGAGGGGCGATAAGCGTCAGAAGTGCACGGAGGCACTATGTCGGCCAGCGACGGTCAACAATCAGCAGCAAAGTTGACATTCGTGTAAACGTATTGCACGCTTTTCGTATGCCGCCGCAATGTGCTGCACTACCACACGTTCACTATGCGGGACCTCGTGTGCAGGAACGAAGCTTAACTGTTGCCGCGTTGTCTCATCAAAACATCGCTTGATAACGCACGACCGTGCACGCGCGTGCTAAAGCAGAAACTTCGTAACCGTTGGCAAACGCTTCGGTTAGAAAACATAATACCGTATTTACTCGATTCTACCGCGCCCTTGATTGTAACGCGCACCCGATTTCCACCGCTAAAAAAAAAAAAAAACGTAAGACATCGATTGCAACGCGCACCCATTTTTTTTTTTTGCTGGCCCGCACGATCACACCACTCGAAAAAACGATTCCTTTCGGGATTGTCTTCCATTTAAATATGAGGTACGGGCGAAGCTTGTGCCCATCTGACGTGTAACAGAGTATTGCCGTCACTGTAGTTTTACCGTGGACCGATGTCAGCACGCGAACTTGCTTCGCCCCCTTCTTCTCGACAGTTGTGGTGCCAGGCATGTCGAAGTAAAGAGGCGTCTGATCGGCATTCCAGATTTGCCCAAGCAGGTAGCCGTTGTTGCGCCGCAAGTTTAGGACGAACCTCTGAAAACTGTAAAGCTTTTCATCGTACTTCTCCGCAAAAGTTTTCGCATATGCATGTTCCCCTTCGGAGGGAAGAGCCTTTCCTCTTCATATAGTTAATTAGCCAGCACCTGCTCGCTTTAAACAGGCTCCGCATTAGACTTTTTTCTAAGACTAATTGCATAGCCCGCTCTTGGAGCAGTTCTGTCGTCATGGGCCGCTGTGCCACTCGCTCCTCAAGCACATACTCGCGGAGCAGCTCTTCAATTTGCGGAAACCGACCCTGCTGTGGTTCACTGAAGCCTTTGCGTGAAGCTTTGCTGTCGACAATCTTCTGCTTTTGTTTCCGCCGGTCCCGCACGCACGTTTCGAGAAGGACCGCGATGCGGCCCGATTTCCGTCCGTTTCTGCACACGCGATGACTTTTCTTTTAAAAGCGGCATCGTGGTGCACTCGAGTTTTTGGAGTCGGCCCTTCCACGTCGTCGATGCTAATCCACTACTAGATGACGAACTCCTCAGCACACGTACGAAGTGCCGCACATGGTAAACACATAGGCAGAAATAGCCGACGCACCATGCCGACGCACGTAGGGGGCGGCCATTTTGGATTTGCGATGACAATAGATTGACCGTAATTTTTTTGTTCGTACTCGATTCTAACGCGCATGCGATTTATGAACTCGCTTAACCGGAAAAAAGGTGCGCGTTAGATTCCGAGTAATTACGGTAAGTGACAAAAAGAGTTCTAGTGGTAATTTGTACCATGACGTCGCATTTATTTCCTTTTTCGAGGAAGTTCCGCACGTGAGCAGTCGCACAGTTATACAACATGCTCGAAAGCGGTTAGTCCCAACTCGGGATTTTATTGCTACCGTATTTACTCGATTCTACCACGCCCTCGATTGTAACGCGCACCCGATTTACACCGCGAAAAAAAAAAAAAACGTAAGACATCGATTGCAACGCGCACCCATTTTTCTCGCTGGCCCGCACAATCACACCACTCGAAAAAATGACTCCTTTCGTGAGCGTCTTTCATTTAAATATGAGGTACAGGCGAAACAGTGTAACAGAGCATTGCCGTCACTGTAGTTTTACCGTGGACCGATGTCAACCCATGAACTTGCTTCGCCCCCTTCTTCTCGACGGTTGTGGTGCCAGGCATGTCGAAGTAAAGAGGTGTCTGATCGGCATTCCCGATTTGCCCAAGCAGGTAGCCGTTGTTGCGCCGCAAGTTTAGGACGAACCTCTGAAAACTGTGAAGCTTTTCATCGTATTCCTCCGCAAAACATTTCGCATATGCATGTTCCCCTTCGGAGGAAAAAGCCTTTCCTCTTCATAAAGTTAGTTAGCCAGCACCTGCTCGCTTTAAACTGGCTCCGCATTAGACTTTTTTCTAAGACTAATTGCATAGCCTGCACTTGGAGCAGTTCTGTCGTCACGGGCCGCTGTGCCGCTCGCTGCTCAAGCACATACTCGCCGAGCAGCTCTTTAATTTGCGGAAACCGACCCTGCTCTGGTCCACTGAAGCCTTTGCGTGAAGCTTTGCTGTCGACAATCTTTTGCTTTTGTTTCCGCCGGTCCCGCACGCACGTTTCGGGAACTCCGAACGACCGCGATGCGGCCCGATTTCCGTCTGTTTCTGCACACGCGATGACTGTTCTTTTAAAAGCGGCATCGTGGTGCACTCGAGTTTTTGGAGTCGGCCCTTCCACGCCGTCGATGCTAATGCACTACTAGATGACGAATTCCTCAGCACACGTACGAAGTGCCGCACATAGGAAACACATAGGCAGAAATGGCCGACGCACGTAGGGGGCGGCCATTTTGGATTTGCCGATGGCAATAGATTGACCGGAATTTTTTTGTTCGTACTCGATTCTAACGCGCATGCGATTCAATGAACCCGCTTAACAGGAAAAAAGGTGCGTGTTAGATTCGAGTAATTACGGTAAGTTATATCGTATTCCCGGCAAGTATGCATTAAATAACTTGGACTGCATTCTAAACATATTGAATATATGAAACGGTAATCATGCGCCGACCTTTCAGTTTTATATATCTGTATATGCATATAAGTATTTTTCGTGCTGGCCACCAGAGCGCATGAGTAGTGGTAGTGCGCCATATAGTGCACAGTGCTACGTTGGTAGGGTCGGCGGCGTTGGCTAGTGCTGTCAGCTGCTACAATCAGTTCTGCTAGCTGCCATAAGTGCCATGGCAGATAGCGGAGGCTATGACGATTCGCCTGCGAAACGGAGGAACAATCAAGACACGGCGCCGAAACAAAGGGAAAGAAGCGCTATCTGGAAGCACTTTGTGAAGACATCGTCGTTGGCGCAGTGCAAGACATGCGGCGCAACACTTAAAACCGCGATGAAGGAGTACCGGATGACTGCAGCAGGTGCGCCAGAGAAAGACCAGTCAATGATATTTGATTTTGTGCACCGTACTGACCCTTTGTCGGAAAAGAAAACTCAAGCACTCAATGCCAAGGTGGCTGCTATGGTAGCGCTTGATTTGCAACCATATAGTTTTGTTGAAGACCGCGGATTTAAGGAACTCATGGCAGAGGCTGTGCCTAACTATCGCCTACCGTCGCGCACCACGCTTTCGCGTACCCTTGTTCCGCGCTTGTTTGATGACACACGGAAGAAAGTGAAAGGCGAGCTCAGCAGTGCTTTTGAAGGGGGAACATCTGCAGTCACCTTTACCAGCGACATGTGGACATCACGCGCCAACGAGAGTTATGTGAGCTTCACTTGCCACCTTCTCACTCCAAGTTTTAGGATGAAGTGGTTCACGCTTAACACTCGCCACATGGAACTTGCTAGCCACTCCGCCGAAAACATTGCGCAAATGCTTGTCAAGATGTGCGTGGAATGGGAAATACCGGATGGCTGCCGCAAATACATCGTCACAGATAACGGACGCAACATCCGTGCCGCTGTCAGAAGGCTCCCAAGGACTAAGCGTGCGTGTTTCGCCCACACCCTGCAGCTAGCAATTCACGATGCAAGAAAGCGGGGCACATCGTGGGCCACTATAAGCACAGCTCGTCTGCGCAAAAGAGGTTAGATGAGTACCAGAAGAAGATGGGCAAGGATCACTTCGTCTGGTGCAAGATGTAGATACGAGGTGGAACAGCCAATACCTAATGCTGTCCCGCCTCTTGGACTTGAAGGAGGCTGTCTCTGTTGAGCTGGCAACGTCAAATTGCAGCATTGATGGTCTCTGCTCAGCAGAATGGAAAGAGGCTCTTGAATATCTGGACGCACTGAAGCCCTTATATGATGCAACTGTGATAACTAGCGCAGACAAATACCCATCACTTTCCACTCAGATACCAATTATTTTTGCTATGCTAAGTTGCCTCAGCAACTTTAGCGGCAAAACAGGCTTTCATAAGGAACTGGCAAGGTCTCTCAATACCAGATTCCACTTATATACCGAGGACAAAGAAACATGCTTGGCTATGGTTTTGGACCCACGCTTCAAGTCAACGGTATTCAGAAACAACAAACAAAAGTTGGTGTGGCTGAAAGATCTGGTGTTTCAGGATGTTGCCCTATGCTTTGCTGTGGAAGTCGTGCAGCCAGCAGCAAAAGTGCAGGAGCCACAACAGTGTGTGCAGCCATCCTCTGATGTTTGGAGTGCACTTGATAATCTTGCAAACAGTCAAGTAGCAAGTACACCACTGTCTACTTCAGAATGGGAAATTAAAGCGTATTCTGAAGAAGCCCTACTGAAGAAAGACAGTGACCCATGTGACTGGTGGCGGACTGTGGGCACCTTCAGATACCCCAGTCTGGCAAAGCTTTGCCCCAAGTACTTGCCCATACCAGCCACTTCAGTTCCAAGCGCGCGTGCCTTTTCAGTGGTAGGGGAGGTTGTCTCTGTTCGGAGGGAGCGCCTCCTGCCTGATCATGTGGAGCAACTCATATTCCTCCATGATAACATGTAGTCATTATGTTTCATAATAACAGCTTGTCATTACTTGCATTGTGTTCCAAATAACAGTGTATGTTGTGTTAACAGACAGGCTGTTGTGTATTTTTTTAGATATATACATCTTAAATTATTGTTACTATAGAGGCATTTGTCCTTTGATATTCGATATTCGATTCGATATTCGAACATGAATATTCGTATTCGATTCGTATTCGAAAAATTTCATATTCGCACACCCCTATAAGTTTCCCTTGAAAGCTTTATTTAGAACCATGCATTTTAAACCTCGTTATAAATAAGTGAAATTGACCGGTAAATTGTATAATGAACTAAATTAGTCCATGAAATAGTCTATGAAAAAAAACCAAGCATAGTGTGTTAAGTATATCGTTTTCTGCGGAGTTTCGCGCTCATTCGGCGCGGCTCTTTCAAAACTCCCGCGCCAACCTTACAGCCACTACATGGGCGGCCGAGAGAGCCGTCCTCCTCAGATAGCCTGCGGAGAGGATTGAAGAAGTGCTCAGCAGGTCACATGTCCGAGAAGCGGCGCCGCGGTGCGAAGCGATTTTCCTTTTAAGAATACACAATTGGGAGGCTTCAGAAGACTTACATTTATTCACAAATCGGAGGACATCCGTCATTAATTGAAGTAATCGGTGATGCGCGTCTGCACGCGTTTGCCTTGCAGCGAGTCAATCAGTTTGGCACGAAGTTTGCGAAGCATAGTAGCGCGCAGCTAAGTCCAGCGCCAACACTCTTAAAGACGACGGCAATGACTGCGTCTCTGCTGCTACTCTCTGCACCGTGAAAGGACAAGTGTCTCCATGCAGAGAGAAGCAGATCCGCATTACAGATAAAGCCAACTCTCCGCGACAGCTTTCTTTTTTTTCCTCTCCCCATGCGGCCATGCGGCCTCATGCTGTGGTCCCCATGCGGACCACAGCATGAGTTCGAAATAACCGGAAGTTCGAATTAAGCATGTTCGAATTAATGAGATTCGACTGTGTTTATTTTCAGTCGCACGTGTAGCGGTACATGGGGCCGCGAAGCGGTTTCCTTTTTTGCATGCTTATAGGTGTGCGCCCACCTGAGCATACATTGCCACAAACTGTTATAATTGATATAACAAAATAATTGTAGCTCCCCTTTAACTTCGTTTTTAATGAGGTTTGAGTGTATTAAACCACGATATAAGGATTTCGAATATGAAGAATTATTGGTTGTAATAAAGTAAGTGACCAATAGCTTTGACATGAATACGATGTGATTGATTATAACGAATTTTTTTTATATAACAAAGTATTCTCGTGGCAGGTGTGACTGTTATAATGGGGTTTAACTGCGATGTCTTGTTTTCTGGATGTTGCATACCCTGCCTTTGTTACCTACTTGTGCAATGAAGGGTTTCCTTTTGTTGCATAGACATTTTGGGTATCATTCATGCATTGCACCCATACTGATTGTGTTTCTTTATGCGTCGAAATACTAGGGTAACGCTAGTTTGATCAGGCCATGCTCATAAACAATGAGTTTCCATATTTTGAAAAATACGGGACCGACTCTTTAGGGCTCTCGGGTGCATTATCGTAGTTCAATATTCACGAAGTTCAAAGAGTTCTTTGCTGCAAAATGTGTGCATCAGTGGGGTGAATCATTTTGGGAGACCTCATTTTGTGGATGTTCTACTTGCAGAGCATTCCACTGCCAAACGGGCAGATGAACGTTGACAACTACGAACCAGTCGAGATGGAGGTGGACAGTGATGATGGAACACAAACGTGCACTCTAGGTACTGTGGTGTCTCAATGCCTTGCCTGTTCATCTGCAAGAGTTTTCAGTGGTTGGCTGGGTAGTGCTGGTATATTTTTGTATATTGTAGTAAATAGCAGATCCGTAGTACAGCCGTATCTCGATAATTCGAACTCGAAGGGGCCCGAAAATTTGTTCAAGTTAAAAGAAGTTCGAATTAATAAAAGCTAAGTAAACAGAGGGCTTCCCATGCAGTGGCGCATGTGCATTGAGCTAACACACTAGGAGGAAGTTTCACAAGATTTACATTTATTCACAAATCACAGGACATCCGTCATTGGTTAGTAATCGCGCATTAGTAAAGTAAGCGCGCATTAGTAATCGGTGATGCGCTCCTGCACACATTTGCCTTGCAGGGAGTCAATCAATTTCACACGCAGATTCCAAAGCATGTCTACTTCGGCTTCAGCATGCTCCTAGCAATGGTGTTCCACACGGTGTATGTCTTTGAGTAGTACTAAATGTCTGTTTATATCTTTTACCCGCAAACGTTTGCCTGTGAGATCGGATTATCATTTGGACGATACATCACTTGAATGGGTACTGCATTACAAATACCTTGGCGTTTATTTTTCAGAAAATCTGTCATGGACTAGGCATATTGAACATGTTACATTAAGGGGGGATGCGGCTTTGGCATTGCGAAATTTGGCCAAAAAATCGATTTTCTGAAAATCTCATTTTCACATTCTGTGACCCCTTTTCTATCTAATTTCGAAGTTTCGTCCCTGAAAACAGCGTAGAAATGACGTAAAAATTTTTTATCGAAGCTAAGGTGGCGATGAATTTCACGGAAATTGCGAAAAAACGGCGTTTTTTCGAACCGCGATATCTCCGCAACCATGTAACCTAGCGCCGCCATCTTTGTCTCTATGGATAGCGCGATTCTTCCGTTTCAAATTTGCGAAATTTGGCCAAAAAATCGATTTTCTGAAAATCTCATTTTCACATTCTGTGACCCCTTTTCTATCTAATTTCGAAGTTTCGTCCCTGAAAACAGCGTAGAAATGACGTAAAAAATTTTTATCGAAGCTAGGGTGGCGATGAATTTCACGGAAATTGCGAAAAAACGGCGTTTTTCGAACCGCGATATCTCCGCAACCACGTAACCTAGCGCCGCCATCTTTGTCTCTATGGATAGCGCGATTCTTCCGTTTCAAATTTGCCGCCCCGGCCGGCTGAACCAGGCAAGAGCAAGCCCACAGCAAGCCAAAGTGTAAAGGTATCACAACAGTTTCCGATTGGCGACGCGCGTCACGTGACTGTACGGCGGCTCCGCATTGGTTGCCCGTGCGGTCGCTTGAAGCAATGGGCGCAAATGTCGTCTGCTCTACGCGCTGACGGGCCGCTTACTGCATTTGTTTTCAACGCGTCGCGGCGTGGTTTCGTGCGGTCGCTTGTAGCAATCGGCCCAAATGTCGTCTGCCCTACGCGCTGACGGGCCGCTTACTGCATTTGTTTTCAACTCGTCGCGGCGCGGTTTCGTGCGGTCGCTTGTAGTAATCGGCGCAAAGGTCGTCTGCTCTACGCGCTGACGGGCCGCTTACTGCATTTGGTTTCAACTCGTCGCGGCGTGGTTTCGAGATCGCATCGCGCTGCGATAAGACCGGCGCTCGTGAAAGGAGAAAAACGTTGTTATCCAGTTTGGCGCATTGCAGTTTTGTGATCAGTTCCCGCATGCGATCATGGACCGGCGATCGTTCAAGAAGAAACGCAAGACTGCGCAGCAATTTGGTGCTCGTAAGCCGAAGCCGCTGATCGTGAAAAAGAAATTCAGTCCGGCAACTTCTGCGAGCAGCGACGACGGCGTGTGGCACGACGAGGACTCGCAGCCGAGCACAAGCACGCACGGAGCATCGTCCGCGAGCATCGACGAAACTGTTCATATGCCTGTGGAGCAGTGCTTTGTGCTGTCTGAGGAAACATCCGTTCGTCGTTCCGCGCAGGTTGCAGACATCGCGGATGCTAAGCCTAGCACTTCGCGCGAGGATGTATTCATCACGGATGCCCAGCCAAGCACTTCGCGCGAGGATGTAGACGCCGCGGATGCTAAGCCTAGCACTTCGCGCGAGGATGTAGACATCGCGGATGCTCAGCCAAGTACTTCTCGCGAGGATGCGAGGTTGTCTACCAGCACCACCAGTAGCGCGATTCGGACACTAAGGACCGCACTGCAAAGGACACTAAGGACTACAACCCTGGTGCCTATTAGGCATGTAAACCATGGCTCAAGACTTTGAACCTCGTTTTCTCAATATTGTTTTTTTGGCATGTTGCTCAGCTCGTGGAGCAGATATCTTCGCAACTACTTGACAGATTTTGATTCTGTTCTTTTTGTAATGCTCCTTAAACTGTGCTTCAGGGGGCTGCGTTTTTATTTTTAAAATTTAGCCTTTTAAAAATTTTTGGTAGGGTTTCTTGTTTGTAGTGCAAATGTGCTCATTGAAGTATCAGTGGAGAAAACATGAACTACAAATTTTAGTGTTGCAAAAAAATTATTTTGGAGACGCAGCCCCCTAGAGCATACATTCACCTCTGCACACAGTGTTTACCAACTTTCTATGTCATTTTTTAAACTCTCCAGCCGCTCCACGAGGTCCAGTAATGAAATTATTTGTTTCACAGAAAGTTTTCATGATATCATCTTGAAATTTTTATGGAAGCATTATGAGGTCATTTTTAGTCTCTGTGCCAATTTTCATCAAGATCTAACAAGAAACAAGAAAGTTCGTTCCGAAAGGCACGTCCCCCCTTAAAATCTTCCCGAATGCTTAACCTCATTAGACGCAATTTTCACAAAGCCCCCAGGAGCGTTAAAGAATACCTTTATAATACGAACGTTCGTTCATTACTCGAGTACGCTTGCGCAGCATGGGACCCAGACACCATCTGTCTTGTAAATAAACTTGAGCATATCAAGAATCGCGCAGCCAGGTTTGTGTCTGGTAATTGCAACTATAAAAGCAGCATCTAATTAATTAAAGACAACCTTGGCTAGAAAACCCTAGCCCAACGCCGCTTAGCAACAAAATTGGAACTTTTTTTCTGTATTTACTGAGATCTCACTGGCATTAACAAAAACTTGTACAATTTTCCCCCTCACTTCATCTCTACGCGTTGTGATCATGACTGTAAGGTACTTGAAACGCGGTGCCGCACAAATGTGTTTCATTATTCATTCTTTCCTCACACCTCCACGCTTTCGAACAGACTTCCTAAAGGTATAGCAGATTGTAAAACACTTTCCCAGTTCCAGCTGTTTTTACATACAAATTTTCCATATGTCGCCTCTTTGTTGCAACATCGCTTTGTTATTAGCTCATTCTATTATCTTTGTCTTTGTGTAAACATATGTGCTTTTACGTGATTAATCATGTTACCCCCCTGCAATAATGCCCTCGTGGCAATGCAGGTAATTCTATAAATAAAAAATTAATAAATAAATAAATAGAAGTTGCACCCGGCAATGTCCAGCGCGGACACTCTCTAAAGATGACAACAACAACTGTATCTCCACTACTAACCTCTGCGCCAAAGCCGCAGTGTGGCCACCACGGGACAAGAAAGGAGGAAGCGTCTCCATGCGGAGAGAAGCAGATCGGCATTTGAGATAAGCCAACACTCCAGAGCAGCTTTTTTTTTTTCTTTTTTTCTCTCTCTTCGCGTGCATCGTTGAAAGGAGGAGAGTTACATGGCAGGGACGAGAAAGGGGGAAGGGTTGCGCAGGTGCATGAGAGAGAGCCACACTCTGCGACAGCTTTTGTTTGTTTTTTCTCTCTCTATTTTTGCGCATGGCATTGGAAGGAGAAAGGTTTTTACGTGGCAGAGGCGTAAAAGGCAAAAGCGTGGCAAAGGTGCATCACAGATCGGCATTTGAAAGAGAGCGAAAATTCCACTGCAGCCTTTGCTTTCCTTTTCTTTTCCTTTTTCGCGCAGCGTTGAGGCGTCGGAGGTGCCGCTGCGGGATTGGGCGGGGTGCAGAGAGCATTTTCAGAGCATGGTATGTTCGAATTAACCGTCCCAAGTGCTTGCGTGTTCTAATTACGGGCGTTTTCACCCATTGAAATACACATAGCTTTGAGGGTACCTCAACCTGAGTTCGAATTAAGCGTGTTCAAATTAATGAGATTCGACTGTACTAGCAAGCAGTTATCACTTCTCTTGTTTGAAGTTATTAATATTTTCTGATTAGTATTGAAATAATTCAGAAGTTAACGTGAATGTAAGTGCAAACCTGCCGATGCGTTTTTGAAGTGACCATGGGGAATAGACGTAGGAGCAGGAAATACAACAGCCGAAAAACAGCAAAAATGACAAAAGGTGTTTGGTGGTGCCGAAGTTTATCTTAATCCCCGCACTTGAAAAACAGTGCAACATCGTCTGGTTGGCCCTACGCACGCACGATCAGGATGAAAAGTTTTTCAAGCACCTGCAGTGTCGTATCTGTCTAATGAATGTAGTGCCATCACGGCCGACACCTGGCAAAAGATAACTTTTGGGGATACTTTTGCAGGGTTGTCACTGGATGCATTAGCGTCTCTGAGCAATAGTGTTGGCGCAGTGTTGGACTACCGTGGCTCGTAGTCGACAGTCAAATGCTTTTTGAAAGTTCTCCCGAAAGCGGTCATCGAAGGAAATGACCCCTGCTACATGAACTCCTATCTTTGTCGCTGGTGCATGCATTGGCACACTCGGCCACGATTTAGATGACTTTTTAGATGACTTACAGAAATGCGGAGCTGTCAGCAGTGTTACTCACAGAAGTGTAATTCTTGTTTGCAATTCTTTTGACACCGACAGCTGAAGGCATCAAAGGACTAAGCACATGCAACATGACCAGCACGATGAGTGTGATCGCAAATAGCACTGAACTCCAACGAAGGATAATGATGATGTGTCCTTGTCAGCGTCATGACACCAACTCCGATCTTGAAAGGCTTACTTTCAAATCAAATCTAAAACCAATTTCATAGGAGACTCTATGTTTGCAGTATGAACCTTGAAGGTAAAAATTAGACAGAAGTCGGTCTGCTTAGGTAAGTAAGCTAAAAAGAACTATTTTAACTCCAACCAAAGTAAATTCGGGAAGACACGTAAGAACACGACGTTTCTGATTCCTTCCTTAGTGAGGGACTGCGGTGAGGTTGCAGCGGCGTCTTGAAGGCACTTGCTTAATGACCCTGCGTTTTGTCGGGGAACGTAGTTTATGTGCATAGACCGCAACAAAACGAGCACATTGTTGAATATTTCGTTGTAGCCGCAGGAGACATTCACTGCAAATGAATGCACTGTACTTACCCTAGACAAATAACAGGCAAAATAGCATCTCGCCGAACGGTGTTGCGCAACAAAATAATTGCATTCCGCAAATAAGAAGGAAATGCCACGCAACTATTTTATTGCACTTCAAAATACACAGCTCGCATTTCAAACAGACTTAGCTGCAAAGAAGTTGGTAATAGGATGTTGGTGCATCTGCCTGATGCAAACAATGGCTCGCTCAGCTGTAGCCCCAACGTTCAAGCCATCTTTGCCGTCCTTGTGAGCACCGAAGTAGCGAAGCAGTACGTCCACCGCGCCTAATGCCTCCGACGTTGCCGGCACGTTGGTCTTACTCATGGTTGTCTCCTGTTTGTCGACGGAGTCATCGTCGCCGATCTCACCCAGTTCGTTGACAGCACGCATCATGTCGTCATCCGGGAGCTGTTTCGTTGTTACTATTTCAGAGTTCGCATTCACGTAGTGGCAAAACGACTCGCTGTTGGACGAGTCGCTATATCGCCCCCCACCCTGCCATTGCCTCAACTTTCTGTCAACAGCGCACAGACTCGAAGGCAAGAATTCCCATTGCTTACGATTTCGACATCTTATCAGCTTGTTAAATGGACCCTGAAACAGTTTTTTGAAGTTTTGTCAGTGTTTAGGCTAGAACATTGTGAAGCCATTCGCACCACAAGTTTAGCGACATTCCTTATATCTTAAGCCCCTATGGACAATTTTCTCATATCCTCCTCCTCATGTATGCCTTCCCTCCTCGACTCATGAGACACACTGGCGTCGCTGGCGATCGCTTTGCTCTCATGAGCGCGCTCGACGACTTGAGCTTCCCCAATTTTGACCCCCGAGATCGCACATCGACAAGTTGCGAGCAACTTCGGAGGCCATCACATGGTGCGCCCGGCAGCAAGTGCACGGTCTGGCTGTAGAGACGAAAATCTGGGAGGGGTTGACATCTGCTTTGACAGGTGCTTCCACTTTACAGCCAATCTTGCTTTTACACATTCTACAGTTAATCAGATCGGCAGCCTGGGTGACATCGCATTACCAGAGCATGTCGGTCTGTGAAAGGGCGGTTAAAAACGCATTTGGCTGAGTCGCAGTGACCTGCAGCAATTCGCAGCTTAAAAGGGCTATAATAAATTACACAGTTTACACAGAGAGCTCAAAACAGTCTGTAAACGACCCGTAGGACTCTGTCTACCAGCCCAATGTGTTTGTGCAAAATTCTAACAACCGTTTCAGGGGTCTCTATAAGGAAGACCATATGGTCACCATTTCCAACGCCCTCTGTTACAGCATCCTTTCGTAATCATATTATTATTCTTTTATGACACGTTTGTCTTCTTGCAGAAGTGGCGGCTGGGAGTGAAGACGAGGACGAAGACGCTTTGCGCGCTCAGCTGCTGCAGGCCGTGTTGCAAAAGCGAAGGCGCAAGTCCAAGCCACCCGAATCCCCACAGCAACAACAACAGCTTCAACAGGTTCAGCCGCAGTCATCACAACAGTCACCCCACCAACAGCAGCAGTATGCCGTTCACTGGAATCCTTTGCTACTGCCGAACGGTGCAACTACTCTAGCCATGGTTCGTCACTTTACTGTATCTTTTTTGCTTCCATTGCTGTTTTGTTTGAACGGGTATGGCTTTAATAGAGCTAACTGTTAAGAAAGTTGTTGGGCGAGTGTGTTTTGCGATAGAAATTATTGCGAGTTGCGCAGCAAAACGGGATGCACGAGAAGGAACACAAGTGCGCCTATGCTGCTCATGTATTCTTTCTTGCATGTCTTGTTTAGTTGCGCTGATTGCAGTGGGTTGTATATTTATGTGCTATACTGTCTTGTCGTTGTGACGAAGTACACTTTGCGCAAGGTGGTACAGACGAAGACCCCTTATTGGGGGAACTTGCACCGACTAAATGATAAGCATCAAGTCGTACTAGCTGTTCGGTGTTATTCGCGGGTTCAGGTGTCGAGCTTCAAGTGATCTGTTCATCTGTAGAACTCGTCGGGTTTTATCCATGCCTTATCGAACCTTCCAGCCACATCGCTGGGGGCTTGCATTAGATCTAGAATAAACTCATAAACTTGGTTACTCCTGTCCTGCGCGTACTCTTAAACAAATTTTTTGAAAATCCCCCTACAAATGTCCATATGGTTATTGTGAAAGTATTCACTACTGCGAATTTCAGAATCCCGAATATTTCAGAACATAATGTATCGAATTTTATTCCCTTATATCCCCACAAGGACCACAACACTTCAAAGTAACAAATAGCGATCTTAAAAGGTTACTCTCGTCAGTTAAAATAATGCCCAGCTTGATACCTGCAACACGAGTGGCCGATTGGATGAAGTCACCAATGATCAGCGTCCATGCTTCACTAACGCTCAAACACTGCGCACAGTGCGGCGACGAAGCGAGCACCTGAGTGTCGCTGACAACTGATATGATCCACACCACTTGTCGTGATAAAGAAATGTCGACGAGAGCCAAGACAACCTTGAAACAGTGCACGTGAACTGACGTGAAGAATCGATATTTAATGCTGATGGTTCACACTTCGTAAGAAGGATGCACACGCATAAGAGTTCGTCTTTCGGCAGTCGAGCTGTTGGCATCAGGATAGATCGTGCCCTTCCTGAAATGAATGCGCACTGGTTCCATAATAGCTAGTGTTATGTTCTTTCTCTCTTATCAGAGAATAACGCGGTTGCGAATACACTGAAACCTAATTATAGCAAAGCTGCATCTATAATGAAAATAAGTTTGTTATATATGGAAATTCGTTATAATGTTGTTTATTCTTAACACCATATCTATTGCAAGACTATTTTTCATTGCACTTCATTATAACCTGACGTTTCGTTATATCCGGGTTCGTAATATCGAGGTTTCAGTGTACATAAACAGCACAGGTCGGCAGCTCAATTGTTTGCGTTCAGAATTTTCGTACAAATTTTGAGTGCTTTCACTGCGACAACTTTTCAATGTAATGAATGGTTTTTGATATTCATTGTATACAGATTTCACTGTGTTTACAGATTAGTACTGAGATGCGAGAGCTGTGGCGAGGGCTCACCAGCTTTGCTGTGTTTCGTCATTTGTAGGTGCAGCCCCCAGCGGAGCCCAAAGAAATCAACAGGACTGCATCTCCCAACGGTTTCCCGCCAAAGGCAGCCACTCCGCCCAGCCCGTTTGTCACGCCAAAGGGAAGGCCAGTGCCAGACGCCCCATTTGTGGAAACTAAAGTGGTGGGTGCGCTCACTGTAAGCTTGGTTTTGCAATGTTGCTGTCTTGCTCATGTGCACGTCAGAGAACACACTGAAGACAGTTGCCCTATTAGGGGTCGATTTCTGTCGCACAATAAGATCGTCGGTATGGTACCTTGTATGCCATTTCTAGCCCGTAGTTCCAGACCAGCGTTCACTGTCAGTGAGCTTCTTCGATTTACACATTCTGGACGGTCCCTGATGGCCCCGGACACCCGCACCACATTCGTTTTTCTCAGAGACCAAGTGGAAGCTCCACTCACTGGCCTGCGGGCGGCCCAGGACTGTCTGATCGATTTCTTTCGGGCAGCTGGCAGACAATGGCGCGGTGCGCATGGTTGTGCGGCCATCTTAAGTGAGATGGTGAAAATGTTCTATGGGCTCCTGCTCTCTTTTCGCTTTTCTGTCTGCTTCTCGCACATTTTTGGATTCCACATTGTTTGCACACCCAGTTCTTGTCGTGGGCGTTCTGAGCCACGTCGAGCGCATGTGTATTCCCAAAGCTCAGGCCAACACGCATGGTGCTCGCCAGGAGAAACAGTGGTAGTACGACTACGCGGGTCTGCAATGCATGCGTGCTCGAGTAAAGTGCACTTCTTTTAAACGGAATTCGAAGGGACAAGAAAATTTTTTCCATTAATGAACAGTTTCATTTAAGCAAAGCTTACAAAATGAATGAAATAAGACTTTATTTCAAAAGCACCAACTGTCACTGACTGAACAAAAAGATTTTGAAGTATATAACACTACTATAATGATTAGAAAGAGAAATGTTGCTAATATTGCTGACTCGGAAAAAAGGAGGTGATAACAACTTGCTCGGCCTTGTTCGAGCACTTTCTCACATAGTAGGAGTGCATTGCTGAAAGGCAGGGCTAGAACTCTGTGCCACCATCGTGTTAAAAGTAGCACTGCAACAGGATGACAGCATCTTTTGCTGCACTGTCTGCCACTGAAATGAGCTCGGGATCGCACACCATTTCATCACCACATGAGCACAGGTCCTCATCTTTAACTTCAGCTATAGGTTCCTCAAGGCTGTCCTCAGGTTCACGACGAGACATCAATTGCTGCTCAGCGTGGGCGGACATGTGCAATCGCTAGATTGGCTTGGCTTGGCTAGGCTAGGCCTAGGCTAACTTTGGCATTTGCTTCATGATTGATAGACTGCCATGGCCAATTCCGCCGTTCATGGATTTTGCCCGTTTTAGTTCCATTTAATCGACGTGAGTGAAAAAAAAGACGTTCCGATTACTCGAAACTTTTTGTCAATAAATATATAGGAGACCAACCAAATGTGCCTGGATAGTTTCGTTTATGCGGCTTTTTCGTTGAACCGAGTTTCGTTTAATGTGAATCCACTGTAGTTCGCTTACAGCAAGTTGCATCACAACGAAAATAGGTATAATTCATTATATAACTACTGTTAAAGTTGGAATTGGGTCGGCGTTGTGGCCTGGGTCACTGCTATAAATGGAGCATACTAGAGAAGACAGCATAGCAGACGCCACAGCAGCGGACGCAAACAGGATCAAGCGCGCAGATGGCCTGAGGCCTCTCGGATTGGCCTGGGGCTTTTGGATCACATGCATGTGACGGAGCCGCCTATCAGCCGTGGTGTCCGCAGGCCGCCTGCGAGTGGTCTGCGACTTGTTGAATCCACGAAGCTCAGTGGTGACAGCACTTATGCGGCCACACCACCCTGGGAACGAGAAGTTGTCGAGTTGCTTACGGAATTTCGCGGTAGCCTGGGCAAGCTGCTTTTCTTTATGTGGTAGCACTCGCGGAAACTTCGTTGAAACGGAAGCATCCAGAAAGAGTATTTGTTGTGGCGAGAAATTTTTTGGCATCATTTACTAGAGGCAGTTGATGGGGAATCAAAAACTATTTGTTTGGGTGGGAATTTTCTTGTGGTATAAGTTATAGTGGGATTCGACTGAACATGTTACATTGAAGCGAGAAAAAAACCCGTTAACTAAAGTTGTTTGCTCAAGCTGCCGTTTCAATCAACAAGTGGAATTATATTCTTCAAGGCCGCGGTGATCTAGTGGTTATGGCACTCGACTGCTAAACTGAAGATCGCTGGATCGAATCCCGGCTGCGGCGGCTGCACTTTCGAAGGAGGCGGAAATGTTTTAGGCGTGCACTATAGATTTAGGTGCACGTTAAAGAACCCCACGTGATCTAAACATCTGGAGTCCTCCACTAAGGCGTTTTTCATAATCATATTGTGGTTTTAGGAGGTTAAACATCACTATTATTATTAATAATAATGTTATTAATATTATCCAAGGCTTGAACCTCAAAAGCAAGTCCACTTGTTGAAATGTCTGCTTAGGCACACAATTCCTCTCTACGTATTTTTTCATCGCAAGCGTTCATCTTCCCCTTACTGCTGTTTTTTTTTTTTAATTTATAATGAAACATGTCATTCGTGCGTCAAAACTTAAGTAGCATGCACGCTGTGTTACAATGTGTTGCATCAACCTTGACTGTTTTTGCGGTCTTTGGCCATAACGTACTCTTGCATCCATGAACACCACACATTGCCGTTAGCCTTGTAGCCAGCAGTCTACGGTAGTGTAGCGTGTTGGCTGATTGTAAGCTTGGGAATCACTTTTGAGACCACATTCTGAAAAAACAATCACCTGTTGTCTTCCAGAGTGAACCAGTGGTCATCAATCTTGGCATGGATGACACGACTTCCGAGGAAGAAGATGGAGAGAGCGAGGCTGAGCAGGAGCCGTTGCCAGCCGTCGAGAACAGTTTCTCGCTTGGCCTCGACAAACTCCTCAAGGAGGCTCGTCAGCAGTCTCAGGTGTGGCACATTTGAACATAAGAGTTCTGCCTAGCTAAGCATAGCCATAGCAGGATGTTAGGCTTAGCTGCCCAAGAGTGCTAGGCCTAGCTGTCTGATAATTCTAGGCCGAGTCATCTAAAGCCGTACCAGCCTTTTTCCAACATTGAAGTGACACTGAACTGGTCTGGATTGGTTGACAACGTAGAAGGTAAATAAAACATACAGTAGATTCGTTCAACAGGCGTCTGAAGGGACCAGGAAACTATTTGCCTTTTAACAGAAGTTCTGTTTACTAGTAAAGGAACAGGGGTGCAAAATGTAAGTGCAAAGCAAATCGTAATAGCAGTTTATCCATTTAACGAATTGAGTGTTTTTGCCGTACTCATACGGCAGCAGTTTTTTTTCTCGCAGCCTCCTTGTCGTACGAATGCACTTGTAACCCTCCCTTTAAAATTTCGAGCCGTAATCATGACGCGTGCTCACTTGGAGTTGCTGCCACCTTCTAGGACACACAATAGACATTGATTCTGTTGTCTTTTTGCTTAGATAAACTGAACTGATTCCCAGTGTCACGCTAGTGCGTCGCATGGTCTTTTTATTACGAGCACATATGCACAAGTACAGAAGGAGCATACTTTATTCTTGCAGTTGATCACCAAGAGAACGTGATAAATAAATGCAATTCAGCTAGAAAAAAAAAAAGGGACGAATTCTCGCAGGTTCCACCCCCTCCTAGCGTGGCAGAGGTCGCACCGCTGGCAGCCACACCGGTCTCGGTGATGAAGCTCTCCCAAGCCCAACAGTTGGAGTACCGTCGCCTCAAGGCCGAAATCGCTCGCCGGGAGTTGCGCTCCGTCATGGGGGCCAAGATAGACAGCGCCACACAGCAGGAGCTCAACCGGGCCCGGCGTCTGAAACAGCAAGCGTCAGCCAAGCGGTCACTCGAGGCACTAGAGAACACGCTGCACACTGAACGGTAAGTCTTACGCCGTTAGAACTTCGTTAGACCATTTGGGAGTTGGACAGGTAATTCTTTGATCCTGCTTCAAAGAAGAATGTTTCCTTCCTGTGTAATGCTCTTGAGGCATGAATAGTGATGGAGTGTCAAAAGAATGCGTCATATTCATATAACATAATTCCAAGACATTTGATATTATATACCTAGAAAGAAATTCGCACAACACAGTTGAACCTCTTTATAAGAGACACTGATGTAACAGACTTTTAAGATGTGAGGCACAAGTGTACTGCGTAAAAGTTTGGAGTTAATAAGAAAATGCATAACGTGATACCCTAATTGTAAGAGACCTCTCATTTGAAGGACAAGAATTGCCCCCCTCCCACCGTGCATGCCGTTTCTAAAGGGGCTCATCTGGACGTGGTTTTTGCGCAGCTTTCGATAATTAATGTCGATTAGCATTGAATCAAATACATCACTATTAATGCGATCAATTCTTGCGTGACAGGAATCGGTCAATAGGCTCTAAATGCATTCCCAGTCTGTTTTCTGGATGTACAGTAAAATCTCGGTATAACGAACTTCAGAGGACCGGGGCAATTCGTTCGTTATTTTGAAGGGTCGTTACAGTGAAAGCCCGATAATTAACCATAAATACTTATTTTTCACAGACCAAAACGACTTAACTTTACAACGGTGGTTCCTTGAACTCGTTTTTCACGATAAAAACAAATGCGCAAGTGAACACCAAAAAATGCACGTTTCCTTAACTCTTTTGATACCCCACGAAAACGGTTGTTTTTCATATGTCTCGAGAAGTTTACTCTGTCCAATTTAAAAAGTACTCCAGCAAGCATTGCTGCATACAAAATGTTACACAAGAAAATGCTCTTTCCAAAAATATTGTAACGAACAAATACAGCGCCGGAAGCTAAAACAGCTATTTATTTATGGCGAACTTGTGCCCGTCAACTAAATACACAAAGGTTGTCCTGAGCTCACTAGAGAAAACCTTGTAAATCTCTTCTTTTGCGTCACGCCACGTGCCGCTCCTTCGAAAAACCGCCAGCCTTCTTTTTCCAGGGCGTGGTGAGGTGACACGTCCAGCCAGCGTTGCATGGCGCGTTTAGCTTGGCGCGTTTGGCTTGTCAGTTGGTGTGGCAGAAATCATAAGAGCAGGAAGCAGCGCAAGACTTCGGTAGGGGCCTAACAACATGCAGCAATATATAGGTATCTTGTAGAGCAACAAAATATTTTGAGAGGAATAAAACTATGATAACTGTGGAATTTTCGATCGCCAGCTGCTAAACAGTGCAATAAAAACACTATAAATGCAAAAATATTCAAAACAAAGAATTTGGAACATAATTTTGTAGATAAATGAAGTAGCAATAGTATGAACAGTAATTAATATTGTACACAATGTTTGTTTCCACATAGACAAAATCGGAACCGAGGTGCTATTCGTTGCCCATGCCCTGCGGTGAAGCATTGCATCGTTTTTCGTGAGACACAAGTGTACTCATACACTCTTCTCATTAAATTTTTGTTGCCTTGCGATAAGAGTCCCCAGCTATTCCAATATAGATGGATACCCGTGATGTGAATAATCTCTCTGTAAATGAGACTCACGACCCTTAGTCCCCAGCGGCGGCTGCGAAGCAACTGACCATGGCAGCAGTAAGATCTGCAACGCAGCAGAGGGTGCTAAAAATTTCTGGATCCGGACAGGCCACCATTGGAACCTGAACTTGGCAACGTTTAACGCTAGAACCTTATCTAGTGAGGCAAGTCGAGCTGTACTATTCGAGGAGCTAGCGGGCATCAAATGGGATATAATAGGGCTCAGTGAGGTTAAGAGGACAGATGAGGCCTATACAGTGCTACAGAATGGGCACATTCTTTGCTATCTTTGCTATCTTGGCTGACAGAAGAGACCTGGGAGTAGGGTTCCTAATTCACAGAAACATAGCTGGCAACATAGAGAAATACTATAGCATTAATGAAAGGGTGGAAGGTATCGTAATTAAACTCAATAAGAGATAAAAAATGAAGGTGGTACAGGCTTACGCGCCTACATTCAGCCATGATGACGCTTCACTAGAAAGCTTCTATGGAGTTGTGGAATCGGCAATGAGTAAAGTAAAAACACATTATACTATACTGATGGGAGACTTTAATGCAAAGGTAGGGAAGAAGCAGGCTGGAGACCAGGCAGTAGGAGATTATGGCATTGGTACTAGAAATGCCAGAGGAGAGCTACTAGTAGAATTCGCAGAACGCAATAATTTACGCATTTTGAATACCTTCGACCGAAAACGAGCAAACCGCAAGTGGACACGGAGGAGCCCTAATGGTGAAAATAAGAACGAAATAGACTTTATGATGAGTGCACACCCAGGCATCGTGCAGGATGTGGAAGTGCTTGGCAAAGTACGATGTAGTCACCATAGAATGGTACGGTATCAAATTCGCCTAAGCTTGAAGAAGGAACGACAGAAACTGATACGCAAGAAGCCAATCAATGAGCTAGCCTTGAGAGGGAAAGTACAGGAATTCAGAGTCTCGCTTCAGAACAGGTACTCGGCTCTTAGTGAGGAAACCAACCTTAGCATAGATAGAATTAATGGTAATCTGACGGGTATCATTACGGAGTGTGCAGTGAAAGTTGGAGGCAGGGTAGTTAGACAGGACACTGGCGAGCTGTCCCAGGACACAAAGAATCTCATTACGAAGTGTCAAAGCATGAAAGTCTCAAGTAAACAGACAAACTAGAATTGGCAGAGCTTTTGAAGTTGATTAATAGGTGTAAAGTATTCGATGTAAAAAGGTGTAACATAGGGAGAGTTGAACACGCTCTGAGGAATGAAGAGAGCGTCAAAGCAGTGAAGAGAAAACTTGGCATAGACGAAAACCATTTATATGCACTAAGGGACAAAGAAGGCAAAATAACTACCAATATGGATAGGATAGTTAAAATAGCAGAGGAGTTTTACAGAGATCTGTACAGTAGCCAGCACAACCACGACCTTAATGTAAGAACTAGCAGTAACCCAGATGACACCCCACCAGTAATGATAGAAGAAGTCAGAAAAGCTTTGGACAGCATGCAAAGAGGCAAAGCTGCTGGTGAGGTTCAGGTAATGTCAGATCTGCTGAAAGATGGAGGACAGATTGTGTTAGAAAAACTAGAAACCCTGTTTACGAGGTGTCTCCTGACGGGAAGAGTACCAGAGTCTTGGAAGAATGCTAACATCATTTTAATACATATGAAAGGAGATGACAAGGACTTGAATTACAGGCCGATCTGCTTGCTCTCCGTAGTATACAAGTTATATACAAAGGTAATTGCCAACAGAATTAAGACAACATTAGAATTCAATCAATTAAAGATACAAGCAGGATTTCGAACAGGCTACTCAACAATCGACCGCATTCATGCTATCAATCAGGTAATGGAAGAAATGCTCAGAATATAGCCAACCACTATACATATCTTTCATATGTTACGAGAAGGCATTTGATTCAGTAGAAATATCAGCAGTCATGCAGACATTGCGGAATCAGGGCGTTGACAAGGCATATACAAACAACCTGGAAGAAATCTGCAGGGGATCAACTGCTACCATAGTGCTTCATAAAGAAAACAACAGAATACCAATCAAGAAGGGTGTAAGGCAGGGGGACACAATCTCCCCAATGCTATTTACCGCGTGCTTACAGGAGGTTTTCAGAAGCCTAGGATGGGAACAGCTAGGGATAAGAGTTAATGGAGAGTACCTTAGTAACCTGCACTTCGCCGATTACGTTGCATTGCTGAGTAACTCGGAGACGAATTGCAACTCATTATTACGGAGTTAGACAAGGAGAGCAGAAAGGTGGGTCTCAAAATGAATCTGCAGAAAACGAAAGTATTGTACAACAACCTTGGAAGAGAACAGCGCTTCGAGATAGGTAATAGTACACTTGAAGTTGTAAAAGACTATGTCTACTTAGGACAGGTAATAACCGCGTAGCCAAACCACAAGACTGAAGTAACTAGAAGAATAAGAACGGGGTGAAGCACGTTTGGCTAGCACTCTCAGATCATGACAGGTAGATTGCCACTATCCCTCAAGAGGAAAGTATATAACAGCTGCATCTTACTGGTACTTAGCTGCGGAACAGAAACCTGGAGACTTACAAAGAGGGTTCAGCTTAAATTGAGGACGACGCAGCGAGCAATGGAAAGGAAAATGGTAGATGTAACCTTAAGAGACAAGAAGAGAGCAGAGTGGATTAGGGGACAAGCGGGGGTTAAGGATATTATAGTTGAAATCAAGAAGAAGAAATGGACATGGGCCGGGCATGTAGCGCGTAGACAGGATAACCGCTGGTCATTAAGGGTAACTAACTGGATTCCCAGAGAAGGGAAGCGGGTTAGGGGAAGACAGAAGGTTAGGTGGGCAGATGAGATTAAGAAGTTTGCGGGTATAAATTGGCAGCAGCAAGCACAGGACTGAGTTGACTGGCAGAACATGGGAGAGGCCTTTGTGCTGCAGTGGATGTAGTCAGGCTGATGATGATGAAATGAGATGTCCAATGAACTTCGCTATTTTATCTAGCGTCACCTCTTTCCATAAGCCACCTCACTCTGCATAGGTCGGTGTTCCAATACATGCATCCGAGCATATTTCTTTGCGTTTTTGTGCTTATCGTATTATAAAGGGACAATATCGCACGCAGTTCTAGAACATTTCGCACTGTTCTGTAGTTAGGGCCAAGATGTGCTCTGAGGGCCTTCTTGTCGTTAGAAGCAGCTCTGCAGCCAGCACCAGTTACCCCACCCCACCCCAGTAGTGAAGGGTGGACCACGCATGTAACCAGAATAGCTATAAGATGGTGCACCAAGGTCAGAAGCCATACGCACTTGCGATGGAGGAGACAACCTTAGGATGTAAAGAAAACAAGCTCGTTAACAACTGTGGATGCCTCAGGCTGACTCAAAATATCGTCGCCATAAAACTTGAAGCTGAGGTGCTGTCATCCTCGAACTCTAAGCCCGTCTTCACTCAGTTCCAGTGAGGTTTCAAGAGAGTTTCGAACAGCGCAGGTGCGCACCCATGCGCCCGTGACAACGTTGTCGTAAGAGCGACGAGTGACACTAGGTGCGACCCTGTGTCTGATATAACAATGAAAGCAAAAGCAAAGCTGCTGGAAACTGTCAGAGAAGGCCACCTCAATATTTTAAACACGCAGCGGACCTTCGTAAATTATTTTCGTAGAACAAGTTTTTCCTAACTTCTAGGAACAGCTCTCTATTGAATTACTTGCATAAACCTTTAGCAAATATTACTGCTCAACATAGCCAAATTGCAAAGCTGACCCTTTAATTCGATATTTCTCTTGCAAAAGTTCTTTTCAATACAGAATTTTGATGTTACTGAAGCATAATCACGAGGGGCACGCACTTCTGCCGGGTTCGCCAGCCTAGTGCACTTTTTTAACATTACATGCACATTGGTTTGTGCAAAGGCCTGTCAAAAATCACAATGTTGCCAAAACGAACAATTTCAAATTGATTCTAAAAGTTGAGTGACTGGACTAACCACTAGTAAGTGCTGGTTGCACGAGAAACAAATTTAACCTGCCAAAATGGATGATCCAAAAGCATCGATCACCGGTGATCAATTTGAATAGACATGGTAACGAAAGAGTTACAAGAAATCTGTGTTTTTCTTTTTCTTCTTTTGACATAGCACAAACTTTGCAGCACAGAGGCCTCCAGCTCATCCAGATTCTTCACTTTCTCCTTAGCAAAAACTGCTTTCGCTTCTTCGTCGCAAGCAGAAATGAACTTATTGTAGTAGCACAGCAGCGCGAACGCCGACTTGCTTTGTGGACTCGATAAGTAATCGGCAAAAAGGTGAACACGACTGACAAGGCCTCCTCAGAGAACACCTATACTACCCCTTTGGCCTCCTAGATCACTTGTAGAAGTGAAAAAGATAAGAAAAACCCGAAGTTTCGTGGCTTTCATTGCCTCTTCCAAATAAAAGAAAGAGCTAAAAAAGAAAATTCCTCGCGTTTCGTTTTATGCTCTCTCGATGTCTCAGGATTTCCGCACCCATGCTTCCTGCTCCGCAACTCCCACTCTGCCCTCTGCCTCGCTGACCTTGCCCTCCCGTGTTGCCCTTGCTCCTCGCATCTGCGCTTGTAAACCTGCAGCATCAGCGTTTCAAAAAAGAAAAAAGAAAGAAAAGAAAGTCGTCCTTTCGTGTGGTTTTTTTTTCTCGTTTGCTGTGTTGTCTGCTTAGGTACCGCTCCTGTGGTCACGACGGATTGCAGAACATGAGTTCGTAGTACTGAGGCGGTGTTAATATAATGCGGAACTAAATTAGCGCTCGTTATTCTCAAAAGTTCAGTGTTCTAAAATACGTAGTAGTGAAATAATTTTACATTGAAGCTATAACAGTGTGCACGGAATTTTTCAAAAGTTTGCTAATCTGAAAAGGTTGATAAAGTGGTGTTTTTTTCTACTGAGATTTTACTGTATTCATCTCAAGTAAAGGAAAAATTGTACTCGGGATGTTGGTCCGACAGTGTGGCACGTTGAACAATTGTCAAGCATGGTAGTGTCTAGAGCAAACGGATCCTCTGCAGCAGCGCACCACACAATGAAGTTAAAGGGATGCTGGATGAAATTTTTGCTGCCAGGGTTTTCAAATAAATTGAAAGACAGGGACAATAAATCAATAGAGGCAACCTTAATTCCAAACAGAAACTACAGGAAAATAATGAAACTACAGGAAAATAATGAATATATAGTTGGTCATTCGCAAACTGCCACTTCTAGCGAACGCTCCAAGTACTATAGCGGGCAATTTCACATACGCCTGAAATGGGCAAGGCAACAATGCTCGCCGTCACCCGTGTCTTTAGACCTGCTCAGCTCCCCCTTTGGTTCTGGCAGCAAACATGCAGCTCCCGGCTTGGGTAAAGCAACAGCACTTTTGTGAAAAGAAGAGAGTGAGATGAAAGGAAAAGGACAGAAACGTGTGCATTCTGCATGCGCCTCGATTTGCCTTGTGCTGATACAGTCAAACACGGAAATATCGAACTCGAAGGAGATCAGGAATTAGTTAGATAAATGAAAAATTCAATATAAAAAAATTGGCCCCGTATCTGCATTTAATCTGCGAATGTCGTCGAAAGACGATAGTCTTGTGTGTGGAGAGAGTGAACAAAACATTTATTTGATGTTCTTTGCAATACAATTGGTGAATGGTATTCTGGAGGCGCTGCGTTAGAGTGCCTCGAGTGTGCAGCGGAGGCGAACGAGCCCATTAAATCACGTCACCCGTGAGACACGACCGCCATCTGGCAGTTTTTTTTTTTTCGAAAACAAAGCGTGGGGCTCGGAGACGGGTGTGCGCGCCCGCCTCAGAGGTGATAAGGTGTTGAACGCAAGGCCACGGATAGGTGCCACCACCGTCTCGTTTTAGCAAAGCATTGGAAACACTCGCCTTTCTGTGCAAGCGTTGGATGGTCAGCGCAGCGTGATAAGCGCATCGGTCCTTAAAATTTTTTATGTATGTCTTTTCTAGTAAAAGGCGCACATGCAGAATATATACGTGGTGTTATAGTGCCCCATACACGCGCAACAATTGCTTTTTAATCGACAATTGCACAAGTATGAATGCTGAATTTTTAGCAACATAGGTGGGTGCTGTGGATGGGGTCGGCTGTTTCAAATACCTGATGCTGTCAAGAGTGTACAAACAGACAAATGTACAGACAGACCAACATTTTTGCGTCGAAAGTCCCCAAGAAAGACTATAGTCTTTAAAAATAATTAATATAAATAAAGGGCCCGAGAGCTTACCTGTAGCGGATCATCGCCTGCAATAGGTGCATTCAAGAATGACAACTTATTCCACACACACGCTGCAACTGAATGATTTATTTGCATAAAAAAACATCACTAATCTTGTCCTGCTTCTTGATTTTTGAAATGTTGACGCTAGTCTCGATTTTATTAAGACTGTCCAGGTGCGACAGCTCTGTTTCCTCCATGTGGCCGATACAATGTTTCACCACATGGCATGAGCAACAAACCAGCACCTCAGTTCCGATTTTCCTTGTCTATGGGAACAGGAACATTTTGTACAACATTCATTACTTTTATACTATTCTTAGGTCATCTATCTACAAAATGTATTTCTGAATTTTCTTTGTTTTAAATATTTTTGCATGGTGTTTTTTTATTCTATGGTTTACCAGCTGGCGACAAAAAATCACATATTTCACGTTTTTATTCATTGTAAATCATTTTTTTGCTCTACAACATATATTCTTCAGAAAGAGCATTTCATTTTGCCAAGTTTTGGTACGCAGCAATACATGATGGAGTATTTTTCAAGCTGGCAATAAAGATCTTCCCGAGATATATGGAAAACAAGCATTTTCCCGCGGTGACAAAAGAGTTAATCCTAGAACAAACAAAAAAGAAAGCTTGGTGATGAAACCTTTACTTATCCATCTCTCTTGCTACTGTGTTTACAGGAAAGCGCTGCGTCTCGAAGGCAAGCGCATGGACATGCTGAAGTCTGAGGTGCTGACCAAGAAGTCTGCCGTGCGTGGCACCCACGTCCGGATTCAGCGGCTGCGAGAGCAGCTGGCAACCCTGGAGCGCCTGGCGGCTGGACACGATGCGGGCATTCGCAAGGCTAACCTGCAGGTATAGAGCGAGTCGCTTTCTAGCCACTAAATGTGTTCGTCTTTGTAGGCATGCGACAGTTGCTCAGATTATTTGAAATTTGGTTAGTTTCACAGCGGTGGTGCCAGTAGGGCACAAGGGAAGCTGTAGCCCCTCCCACCTCCCCGCTTAATTCTGTGACCCTGCCAAGAGCAAACATCACCAAAACATATTGCCTTGCCTAACTTTCCTGGCTCCCGCCCCTCGCTGTGTGCTTATCAGCTGGGATGTCTCTACACTTGCACTGTTTGTGAACCCCGCTGTGGCACACAGATAAAAAAGACAGGGAATGTGCCGCGCACAGATAGAAAGAAAAACAATACGCTATGCGGCAGCAGGTGAGGCGGGGGGAGCTGAGGTGGTCAAGGGGGTTGGCATAAGAAGAAAAAATGAAAGAGATCAAAAAGGTTAGGAGGCACCAGGTGTCGGTTAGCGGGACTGCAGCGAATGAATGTAGGGGGTGCGTTTATTTTACGGGGAAAAAAATTCAAATTTTGATGACTGAAGTTGGGGGTGCGTTTATTATGCGAGTGCGTTCATTATGTGAGTAAATATGGTATTTTCATTTAATTCGTTATAGCAGATATTTCGTTATATCCATGCTCGTTATATTTAGGTTTGAGTGTAGTTTATAGTTTTAGTTGAGTTCTAGTTATATTTAGGTTTGAGTGTTTATTTTGAGGAAGGCAAGTTCACTTTTAATCGTTAGAAGCACGGCGTTGCATGTTTTACGTAATTTATTATGTTACTTGTGTACTTGTGTACTCGCTCACCTTGCCATGTCACTCCTGTCGTTCTTGTAGCTGCAGGCACTGCAGATGGCCATCGACAAACGGAAAGGCCACATTGAGAAGCTGGAAAGCCAGTGCAATCAGCACGGCAAGATTGTGTACGGCGACAAGTACCAGCTTCCTGTGACAACCGAGGGCGCGGCCACGTCCTCAACAAAGCGCAGGATCTCGATCTCATCGCTGCAACAGGTATGCCACATCATTTAGCTGTGCTTGGGGTTCTGTGGCATTGTTTTGACTAGGCTTGTTTGAATATCGCTCTTTTTTTTTTTTTTAACAAAGCAATGTCGAGGAGTTCAGTCGGTGCTGGTGGCAAGTCACCTTTTCGTCCAGTTTTCTTTTTTGACACTTACAGTTCACTTACTTCTTAGGAAATCCCCTACACTTTCTTTGGCATCATTGTCTGTTAGTTCACATTGATATTGTGCCTAACTAAGATAACGAGCCCCGAAATATACACCTATTTCTTGTGCATATGATTACCGTTACACGTGAATGTCGACACTACATAAGGAAAGAAAAAAGCGCTGAGGCACCCGTTAACGTCGTTTGAACCGCGTAGTTTCAATGCTCAAGGGCATCGATTGCTAGCGCTCCGTGTCCTCTGTCGTACTGAGTCTGGGAATGATGCAAATTTTGTGGCGTTCACTAAACGATGTACTCTTTTAGCTGCTACCACGTAGGCATCTTGCTACCCGTAGATGTCTAATATGCAGATGCGTCGTGTGAAGCCTTCGTTAAATCCAAAATGCAGTGCAAATTTGCTTGTCTAAATAAATGAATTAGTTGATAACGGGGAAGAACTGGAGCGGGTTGCATTCGTTGTGACCGCTCGAAGAACCGCAAGACGTGCGTCATGGAACCTGCGGGTTCTGCGGACTGTTTGAGAAGTCATGCCTTGAAATTTCTGATATAATATTTGTTGCGGGAGCAAATTCAAATACTGTAATACTTCTTTAAATTTTCAAAGCCCTCGAGTATTCACACAGTGCTAGTTGAAAGGCATTTATTAGTAACTTCTTTACTAGTCCTTGTCATGTCCATGACTGTACAGTTGTTTAAATAGTAACGTAAAATCACGAGATGTGGGTTCACACATTTTTGTGCATTTGCAGGGTCTCATAATTCTTAGTCATAAAAGACTATGTTATTGCTGAAATTGTGATGGCTTCTGAGGTGAAAGTGCAGACTGTGCGTGAAAAAATACGATAAAGTGCATGTTGGCATTGGGCCAAGCGTCAATTCCTCGTTCATCTCGTTCAACGCGCCTGTTCAACTCGCCTGTTCCTTCTTGTGTGTCTGCTTTAGTAGTGCAACTCATAATGGTTTCTATGTCCTCACACATGACCGTCTTCTCGATTGCTTTCAACTTTCAGGCGCCTAAGAGAACCCGTATTACAGGCCCTGACTCAGAAAACAGAACGGCAGCGCCCAAGCGGACCGTCGCGGCCATTCTCGCTGAGAAGATTCGCCTGCAGAAGCTCGAGCTTGAAATGCGGCTGCGTCTGCAGGAGCTGAAGCAGAAATCGCTTGCAAAGTCTTCCTCGACGACGGCTCCACCAGCGGCTGCCACGATGACCGCGCAGCCCGGGACTTCCGAGGCTCCATCAAAGACAGTGGTAGCGCCCGCTGCCTCCTCACCGAGGCCGGAGTCACCTCTGTCATCGCCGTCCAGAGCAGCGCCGTCAAGGACCGTCGTGGTCTCGAAGGCCGCCACGAAGGCTGCACTGGCGACCTCGGCAAAGACAAGTGGCCAAGACCGAGCTGCTACTGTTGATGCAGAAGCAACAGTTGCAGCTGTACCAACTGTTACTGTCACAATCACTGTGGGCAACAATGTAAGTCATAGCGCTCCTGCACCACTTTCTTTGAGGGGGGACACGGGTCTTAGAAGGCCAAAAATCGCAAAAAAATCGACTTTTTGAAGCCGACAGTTTCGGAAACTGTACTTATTTTTGCACCTATCTGGGAAGTTTCTAGCTTCTCGCGTCATTGTTTCTGGCACAAAATAATTTATAACAACCCTATGAGATGAATGTGAGCGCAAACTGACGCTAAAATTGCGCTTTTTCCGTGCCGAACTGTCGCCATTACACACGAGCTATCGTGTTCATCTTGATCTCGTTTGGAAGGGTCGCTCTTCATCTTCAGTTTCCCGCCACCGCTGGCTCGCCTTGCTTATTAGTTTTTTAGCAAAAACGCGTCATCGAGAAGCACTAGCGCGCGATTCAATAGGCTGCTTAGGACACGTCACAAAACCTAGGCATCCGGTTGGCCAAGGGGCGCTTTTGGCGTCTGCTTCACCATCCTGACTCGCACGGACATGCGCCATTTCGTCATGGTGCTGCTGGCTGCCTGCGGCAGTAAAGAAGTTCCGCGCTATAGTAATTTCTGAAGCGGGTGTGGCGGTCGTTCATTCGCTGTGAACTTCACAAGGAGCCCCGCTATGGCTCAGGACAACGAGGATAACGAACTCGATGCGGTCAACGGCAGTCGCCGAGTCACCGATGTAGGCCTAACTCACGTACGAGCCCGTTGGTTGCCGACAACGTTACTGAGAACGGCTGTGTTTTGCAGCCTCATCAGTTAGAAAACGCCAAGTAAAAAGCAGCAGTGAAGCCAGAAGGGATATCAATCTTTGTTGTGCCGGAACGGAAGCGCAGTCTTATCGCTAAACGCGCCGATGCCGCGGTTCCCCCCGCCTGACGAAAGGACCTTGAACTGCGCGACGGGTCGTCAGAGTGGAGTACGCCGCGCGTCGACGAACAACAGGAAGTCAATCCGTTCGCGGTGAAAATGCTCGCCGCCCCCGCAATAGAGGCTACTGGCAACTAGTAGACTGCTTTTAACGACGTGTTCGCAACGTTGTCGCGATCTCCGCTTGAAAATGCGGCAGTCTTACGTGAAAAGGAAACTAGCACCTCGGCACTCGCGTAGCCTCGAAATTGATGAGCGAGGGAGCAACTTTGGTTCGCGACATTCACGGGTAACTCAGTCTGGACAAGCCGGAAAACATCGCCATGCTATTCGTCGTATCCCGGATGACGCACGCACATTTGTCGCACGTCGCCGTCACTACAGTTACCGAACTGATAAGCGGCCTCGCAGCAGACGAGCACATGGCGACAACTTGCTACAGGACTAGAAGAAACTACACGCTCGTGCAAACAATCAGTCCTGTTAATTCCCAGTGCATATTAACCGACTAAAAGTATGTGTGCCATGATATTTTTTTCCCTCGGAACGGCAAAATAAAGTTTTCACAGCATTATTCTTGAAGCACAGATTTTGACCACTTTCTTTTGCTTTTTCGGTAGAAGTGGACCAAGGACAGCTAGAGCTGTAATTGTTTTTTGCGCAATGTAGCTAAATGTGCACAAAAAACAATGCTGGAAGCCTATTTTTAATGGGCAGCTTCATTTTTTTATTTTAATATAAAAATTTCTGTATTTAGTTACATGCAATGAACATTTTTTTATTTTAATATAAAAATTTCTGTATTTAGTTACATGCAATGAACTGTGCTATAATGCAATGCAATGACCTGTGCTGTAATTCGAGAAGTACTCGTTCAATTTTCGATCAGCTTGCAGCGTTGCACTCCTTAGGCTTTCTAGCATTCATTTATATGTCAATGGCCATGTAATTCTAAGTACATACATTTTTGCAGTTAAACATGTTCGAATATGATGTTTTCTTCATTTTCTCAAAATGGCAATTATGCACACCCTGCATGAAAATTACTGCAATATATCGGAAACTATTACAGATAGCAGAATTTTTTTTTTTTGCAGCATAAAGCTATATGCTTGGAGCACACAACATAGGAAGCAGATTTTGATTTATCTTGATGCAGGTTTTTTAAACTAATCTTTTGTGTGACCACACAATGGCCACATTCAGAGCTGTGAAGTTTAGTGTACTGTAAAGTAAGAAATAATGCCCCAATCAAAAAAGTGCTTTCTACGTTGTATGTCTTATGCTTTCTAATGTCAATCCCTATGTCATTTATAAATTTTTGATGGGTGGTTATTTTTACATTGTGGTAAGAAGAATAGAAATTGTTATCTTGATTATTTAATTAACTAATGAAGCTACAGAAAAAATCACTACATTTTTAGAATCAGAAGAACAAACTAAATAAGCATGCCAACTTTTGTCACATTTGGTTCATAAAATTAATGAGAGAGCCATGTCCCCCCTTAAAGGTACCAGTTCATTCAAACCTCATTATAACAAGGTTCCATGTTACAGGAAAAGAAGTTCATTACAACTGATATTTTGTTATATCCCGGTTTGTTATATTGAGGTTTGAGTGTACCTAACTTTTATTGTTTAGAATGGAGCTGCAAGAGACTTGAAAACGGAAACCTCTTAGACCCAACTGCTCCTTTCAAACCTTTGGAATTCAACTGCTGCCGGTTTCTCTGCTGCAAGTCAGTAAATGTCCGCCTGTCATATGTTGAAGACTCATATGTTGATGAAGGAGCAATATCTCAATAACGTGTGCAGCTAGACAAGGCTGACTGGAGTGACTTATTTGTACTTGTATTTCCACATAATGCCACTTCGTGCACTTATCTTTTTGTGCATCTGCGAGACTACTCAGACGTTTATTTCAGTGTATAATTCTTTAACAGTCGTATAGGTTTTCATTTATTTGTTTTAATTGTCTTGCTGTGACGAATACAGTCAAACCTTATTATAACAAACTTGCATCTTACGTGAAATTAAGTTCGTCATATCTGAAAATTTGTTATAAATGCGTATTTCTAACCCTGTATCTGTTCCAAGGCTGTTCATTTACTTTTTTAGAACAGATATTTTGTTACATCCAGATTTATTTCATCTAAGTTTGATTGTAGATTTTTCAAACCTCATTATAACAAACTTCCATCTTACACGAAATTAAATTCATCGTATCCGAAAATAATTCAGCAGTAAAAAAAAAATAATGCACGTGTCGCATAGCGGCTGCCTGCCTTGTGCTGTTGTGAATGTTTTTGACCTTCTCGGCTGTACTTCCTTGCCTTTGCAGAGCGAAGCCAACAGCAACGAGCCGGCAGTTTGCCGATACCGGACTGCCATGGAGGCCTTGTTCTTGGAACACTGCCAGCGGCAGCTGCAGACTTCCCATCCTTACGTCGGACTCTCATCCTCGGAGTTCTCTTTGCCCCAGAAAGATGCCCTAAAGGTTTGTCTTCTAGTGCTTCCTCTGTGGTAGGAAAAACCATTAATGTATGTCCAGCATTGTAACTTCGATGCGTATAGCTCTCTGTATCTTGTTTATTTCTGCATAGTGCTACTTGTTTGGTCCATTTTGCCTGGTCGATGTGACGAACTGATGTGCCACTGCATCGTCTGCTTGTCTGCTATGGATTGTGTGGGTTTGAGCGTGCGATTTCCTTTTCCATGTTGGTGGGCGTGCGATAGGTGTCAAGTGGTGTTGCGGTGTGAGCCACACACGATTCGACATATATTCACCATAACAGCATAAGCGTTTTAGCCGATCGCCGCCGACAGCGTGGACTGATAGTGCCATCTGGCAGGCATTATGTGCAATCAGGCAGGTTCCGGCAGCGTCAGGCAAATCTTAACGTCACACGTAGAAGCACACTCGGTTGGGTTTAGGTTTCGGTATTGCGGTTTTTGGGTAATTAAAAATTATTTTAGGATTTTTTTAGCATTTATGTTATCGGGCATGTGAAAAGAGTACCTAAGGAACATAAAAGCACCATTATCCTAACACAGTCGAAAAATCGCCAGAGTTGGCCTCTAAACCTGGTATCTTTATGTACCAGCACAGCTAGTTGTGGCGACATTGCGTACCAAAACATGTAATTCTCAATTGCACGTCACCAGCCGAGCAACAGAGTGAAGTGCCTGAAGAAATGTTGCAATGTCTTCCAAAAGCACATGAGTAACTGATATGCGAGGTTTAACGTCCCAAAACCAGCGTATGATGAGAGACGCAAAAAGCACATGAGCAAAAGTTCATATTGCGCCGTGACATAGGGGTAGGCTGGAAACGGAAATTAGCATTTTGAGACATCAAGTAATACATTTTAAAGGGTGCACTAACTCTTTATAGCACATTTTTGGGGATTCTAAATGCTTGGCATTTCACTTGATCTTAAAAAAAGAAATCGCAATCGGTAATTTTGGTGTCACTCCCCCTTCAAGGCAGGGGAGGGAAAGAAAGTGTCTAAATTTTCATGCACTTCAAAAACTATATAATTGGCTTTACATGTGATGCAGTCAAAACCACTTTAAGTGGGGAGGCTTCCATGGAAGGGTAACTTTTTGTTTGTTGAGATATTATAATGAAATTTTTAGGGTAGGCTAATGATCAAGTCATTTAAATGGCCACAAAATTTCATGAATTTAGGTTCACTTCTAAAGTTGCAGCCATTTATCAGGATAGTCCACATAGGTTTCCGAGTCAGGTTCTGGTGAATTTAATAAATGTGCTAGCACTGTGAAATTCACTGTGATAATTCCTGGAAGGGTGCTTTACACTAGGACAGAGCCTTGTTTTGTTTTTTTAAATTTCCTTGCTGAAAATTTTCAGCAGAGCACTAGTTTGGTGTTTGCCATTGAGCATTTATTAATAAAGTTTTAATTATATACCACAAATTACAGATGCAATAAATTTAAAAATGGCTCTGTCAGTGTGTGGGCTATTTATTAGGGTACATATTAAAACAAATCTTATAGAAATTAGATGAGCCCTTGCAGAGATATCACCAGACTAAACAGCCTTACTGGCCAAAAAGTCATTCTGTGAAAACGGACTTTGAAAGCTTTGAACACATATTTTGGTCTAAAATGACCCTGAAAAGTAGCTAGAAATGTTCTTAAGGACTTTTTTCCTTTTCCACTTTTCCTGCTTGTGTTGCAGCTGTTCTTGAGCCTTTTTCACACAGAAAGGGTCTTTCTCCGCTCCCCGTTGGTTGCCGGCATAGCGCCGAGCTTTGGCTGCACAGCAACAAGTTCGCTATCCTCCGCGGCTAACTCCTCGCACTTCTAAAACGTGTTGACAAATGCACAGTCGACGACACAGTCGCACTTTTCGGGGCCGTAATCCCTGCAGTTAGCGAGCGCAACGTACCAGGTGCACTTGAGCACGAAACACCAACACCAGCCTCACTTGTGACGATGGAGCGTTGCACCGATTCTCAATGTCACGATAGCATCAATGCAGTCGTCGTCTTGAAGAGACAAACGAGAATCTACTCAGCATCGATGCAACTGTCTCCCAAGCGTTTGACGCATGAACGAGCCCCACCATGCGCTAGAGCTTCATTGGAAGCTTTGTTAAACAGAACCCGTGTCGAGTCCCAAACTTTGCCCTTCCCAATCGGCGTTCTGTGAACACGGCGAAAGATCGTCTCGTAAAAGCGGTAAAAGATTGAAGAGCACGCGTGAGAACCTAGAGGAATGATGGCAAACGGGAAAACAACGCACTCCAAGAGAACACCGGCGCTTGCAAGGCTGACGCCGGAGCAGATGGCAAGCCGGGGAACAGATGCGTCATCGTGCGCAGCAGCCAATAGGAGCTGCGTGATCACCCACTCTCGAGAGAGACGCGCGCTTTCTCCAATTGCGGCTTCACATCCGAGCCGTGGGAGATTTCAAAACTTCGAGAGCCCCCCAATCATGAGCGATTACAGCCCAGCCATGCCACTGCTGCTACCGTGGGTGGCAAAAAAAAAGAAAGAGCAAGAATTCACGAGCAAAACAAGACCAAGATGGCGGCGCTGGGCCCCGTGGTTCGGTGATTGCAAACGCGCGAAGTTGGGGTATTTTCAGCGCTTGCTGGCCACTCGCCGGCTGCCGCGGCATGTTATATAGTTTATTTGACGTACTTCCGCGATGAATTAAACATTGATATATTCAGAAAAGATAGTTTATAAGACATACTACCCGAATATGTGGTTTTCAAAAAATCGACTTTTTCACGATTTTTTGGTTTTCAAAGGATATGGGTTCCCCCTTAAAGGCCAACTCCGGCAATTTTTCGAGGTCAGTAAATCTCAATGAAATTCACTGGGTACATTCATTTGCACGTTTGCGCCATTTATGCCAAATCGCAGGCTTGAGAGTTTTACAGATTCTTTTCAAATGAATTTTACAGCTTGCCTCGAAATCCTCACTTTGGTTGCCAGAAGCAATGGCAACATTGTGTGTGAGACGTTGAGTTTTGCCTGGCGGAAATGACGAACTTACGTGCCACTGCAGCGTCTACTTGTCTGCTCTGGATTGTGTGGGTTTGGCCAGAGCTTTCTTTTTCATGTTGGTGGGCGTGCGGGTGAACAAGTAGGGCCATCTGGCGGGCATGATGTGTAATTAGGCAGGTTCCGGCAGCATCAGGCAAATATTTACGTCACACATATAAGCGCATTCGGTTGGGTTTCGATTTCGGTATTGTGCTTTTTTTAGTAATTAAAAATTATTTCCTAATTTTTTGGGCATTTCAGCTATCGAACGCGTGAGAAGAGTGTCTAAGGAACATAAAAGCACCATTATCCTGACATGGTCAAGAAATCGCCGAAGTTGGCCTTTCAGGATACCGATTTTTACAATATAACGGTTACAACAATGAGAGGTTCTCGCACTAACAACTTCTGTATGTTTTTATGGTGAAATGAACCACTTACAGCAATGCCCACATGGCACATTCTCAGTAATGACAATGAATCTCGGCTGTCCGTGCCGGAACGTAATGGAGCAGGATATCCTTGAAAAGGAAAACGAGAAATTGAAGCTGCTGCAGCTCTGTTGACAACCCCAATGTCCCCAAGCGCCTGTTTGTACCGTAATTACTCGAATCTAACGCGCACCTTTTTTCCGGTTAAGCGAGTTCATAAATCGTATGCGCGTTAGAATCGAGTACGAACAAAAAAATTACGGTCAATCTATTGCCATCGGCAAATTCAAAATGGCCGCCCCCTATGTGCGTCGGCATGGCGCGTCGGCCATTTCTGCCTATGTGTTTCCCATGTGCGGCACTTCGTACGTGTGCTGAGGAGTTCGTCATCTAGTGTGCATTAGCATCGACGGCGTGGAAGGGCCGACTCCAAAAACTCGAGTGCACCACGATGCCGCTTTTAAAAGAAAAGTCATCGCATGTGCAGAAACGGACGGAAATCGGGCCACATCGCGGTCGTTCGGTGTTCCCGAAACGTGCGTGCGGGACCGGCGGAAACAAAAGCAGAAGATTGTCGACAGCAAAGCTTCACGCAAAGGCTTCAGTGGACCACAGCAGGGTCGGTTTCCGCAAATTAAAGAGCTGCTCGGCGAGTATGTGCTTGAGCAGCGAGCGGCACAGCGGCCGTGACGACAGAACTGCTCCAAGTGTGGGCTATGCAATTAGTCTTAGAAAAAGGTCTAATGCGGAGCCAGTTTAAAGCGAGCAGGTGCTGGCTGACTAACTTTATGAAGAGGAAAGGCTTTTCCCTCCGAAGAGGAACATGCATATGCAAAAAGTTTTGCGGAGGAGTGCGATGAAAAGCTTCACAGTTTTCAGAGGTTCGTCCTAAACTTGCGGCGCAACAACGGCTACCTGCTTGGACAAATCGGGAATGCCGATCAGACGCCTCTTTACTTCGACATGCCTGGCACCACAACCGTCGAGAAGAAGGGGGCGAAGCAAGTTCGCGGGCTGACATCGGTCCACGGTAAAACTACAGTGACGGCAATGCTGTGTTACACGTCAGATGGGCACAAGCTTCGCCCGTACCTCATATTTAAATGGAAGGCGCTCCCGAAAGGAGTCATTTCGTCGAGTGGTGTGATCGTGCGGGCCAGCGAGAAAAATGGGTGCGCGTTGCAATCGATGTCTTACTTTTTTTTTTTTTTTTCCGCGGTGGAAATCAGGGTGCGCGTTACAATCGAGGGCGGGGTAGAATCGAGTAAATACGGTATTTGCGGTATGCGTCACCGCATAGCAGTGTGCCACCGCGGCAAAGCTGACTTTTGAGATCCACTACAACGCAGGAATTACGGTGGCGTCTGTTAATGCACTCTCGGACATGCAGTTCGAGTGATATATTAAACCTGGAAAAGTTACGGCATCCAAAATGTTTGACGAAGGCTCCGTGTGGCTTGTGGTTGCTCTGTGAAATTTTTCTGAATTTTCAAGCATGTCTGAAAAATCAGTAGCTTTGTCATCCTTATCCCTGTAGATATGTAATATCCTATCCTATATTAGTTATCTCACAACAGCCTGGCATTTTTTTTTGTTCAACCTGTTCTGAGTAACTATTGGCTATAATAATTTGCTGTAATTGTCACGATAGTGCGGATTTAACAAACTATTTAGCTCTTTGTGCCTAATAAAATAGGTTTCATATGCACTCATTGTAACAAAGTTGCTTCTTACATGAAAACAAGTTTGTTGTAACCGAAAATTTTTTATGAAGGTACATTCTTAACACTATATTTACTGCAAGACTGTTTTTAATTTACTTTGCTATAACGAATATTTCGTTATATTGAATTTTGAGTGTAGTGATCCAGTCATGCCTTACAAGCTCTCAACGTATTTTTTATTTGTTCTTGTTTTTTCCCGCGTGTTCTCGTGCAGAAGTTGGAACTGTGCCTACTTCGGCCACCGAAAGACACCGCCATGTCTTCCGCGTCAGCACAACACCCCGTGGACGTTGCTGTGCCTTACGCGAGCCCACTTCTGTGCTTCCGCGGCTACCGGCTCAACCCAAACTACCTGAAGCAGCCGGGTTGCTCGCTCGACAGTACTTCCTACGCGCACAAGATGCACAGCCGAACCCACCTGTGCCGCTACGAACTCAACGGAGAGTGCTACGACGAACGATGCGGAGGGTAGGTGCACGTTTCTTCGTTGCTGTTCCGCGAAGTGCTGTCGACCTTGTTGGCTTGTCCGTCTCGGTGGTGCAGTGGTTACTGTGCCCAACTGCTGACCTGAGGGTCGCGGGTTGGATCCTGGCCCCTGTGGTCTCATTTTTGATGGAGATGAAATGCTAAATGCCCATGTACTGTGCGATGTCAGTGCACGTTAAAGAGCACCGGATGGTCTAAATTTTCCTGAGCCAATCTACTACAGTATCTCATCGTCATATCGGGGTCTGGGACACGAAACCCTAGCTGGTAATATTATTCAGTCGCCGGCCGATTTTTCAGACCTGGCGAGGACTGAAAAAAAGTCCGAAAAATTGAACAGTCCGAGAAATTTGTTTTTGTCAGAACTTTATTGCATCAGGCATGCTTAAAAAAGTCCATAATTCTGCCTTGCCTCATACTACGCTTGGAAGCAATTTGGTTCTCTCCGTAAATATTTGACAAAAGCGTCACCCCGGCGGCGATCTCCGCTGCCGACAGCTGCGGGCGATCATCGTCGTCACCATCCGAACCGCTCTCCGGCTGCTGCACAACCTGGCGAAAAATTTCTTCATCTGTGGGCTCCGTGCACAAAATTGTCATCGTCCACATGAGCGAAGTTTTTAAATAGGGAGCTTTAGAATAGCGTTTGCAGGTGCTGCGGGCATTGCCGGTATAGCAAACGCATTATGAGTTCTGGAATAGCGTTTGCTCCCTCTAGGGAAAGGTGTAGGGACATTCGCCCTGACCGCAAACTCAAATACATGGAAGCTACACAAGGCGTTGCTACGCACAACACTTCGCAGGCCTCGCGGGCCGCGAACGGCGACTGGCGTTACCACACATGCGCAGTGGCAGCGACCGCACCACAAGGACTCGCAATGCGCTATTCTAAAACTCGCTAATGTCATTGTGGCAGGCACATTCACTCTACTACTGCGCAGCTCCGCCTCCTCCTTGTACGGTGCGATGACGACAGTGCTGACCACTGCGGCTGACCCAAGACGAGAAAATGGTCCCGTGCCGTGTTTTCTAAAGCAGACACGGCCTCTGAAACTTGAAATATGACATTTGTGTTTTCTAATCTTGGAGGCAGGAAAGCTATTTTAAAATTAAGCCACTAAGCTTAGTCAAGCCGGCAGAAAATCCAACATGGCGGCGTCCATACAGGTTCGTGGCGCGGCTCCAAACAAGCGGTTTAGTCCGGAAAATCCAACTTTAGGGGGTGAATTTGTCTGAAAAATCGGTTCGAAAAAATGCATTAGCTCTATGGAAACCCTTACGGTACACTTTTGAAGTCCAAAATATCCAACAAGTCCGAATTTTTAGAGTCCGAAAAATCGGTCGGCGACTGGAGTCTGGTTTCATGAGCACTTAACATGGACACCGCACGTAAATAGTCTCTTGGTAGAGCTAGATCTACCAAGAGACTATTTACGTGCGGTGTCCATGTTAAGTGCTCATGAAACCAGACTCCAAGGAATTTTTGTGTGCTGACTTGTTCGAGTCGCTGATTGTCATACCAACTCTGTCGGGATGTCTGAAAATTTGAGGTTGTTTGGGGCCATTCAATGAGGGGTTCATCATTAGCATTAAAACGACATTGCAGGCAATTTTTTAATTTTCAGAGCCACGCTATTGTTGTCGGTACACGAGGATTCAAAACAAAACTACCATCTGTCGCAGCTGCCGCACACAAAACTGCTGTCGCTGCAACGTGATAAGGATTTACGTGCTCCGAGGGCATGCGATTAACGCAACGTTTTATTAAAGGCAATAAAGACGTAAAAAAGGCTAGAAGCATTTTTTGAGGTTCCTATCCGAAGAATCTGGTAGCTTGGCAAAGCTCTGACCCGCGCTTTTACGACAGCTAGCTGCGTCGTCCTGTTCGTTCACGTGTCTCCAGGAAGACAGACACGAGTTGTTTCAACAGAAGTAAATTTTCGCTAGTTGTTTTAATGGCGCAAAATTCCAGTTGACGTCCGATTTCCCGGACCCTCTAGGGACCACGAAAATGTCCAGAAAATCGGGCACTCCGGAAAAACGAATGCAAGCGAAAATACACATTTTAATATAATTTTTTGCTGATGGAGAGGGTCACAGCAGGAGTACAGTGTTCTCATTGCAATTCAGCAAATGTGTTGCTTAGGTGGCTTTAAGAAGAGCCGAAAGCACGAAAGAAAAGAAAAAAGTCCAGTGTAGCTGGGGCTACCGCATTTGTAAGCACTTACGCACAAATAAAATGTCGTTTATTTTAGTTTGCACCACATTTCACTTGCCCCCGATGATAGCTTCATGCTGTCACTGTACACCAATAAGTGTCAGTGCTCGCGTCAACTCTGAGCTTGTTGGCAGTGTAGGCGCTGCCTCTTCGATCTCGGTGTCAGAGTTAGCGGAATCCACTGTAATTCGATGAATGATTTTTTTGTCAGTCAATTCCGCACACAGCTTCAGGTCTTCGTTAGCGCGGTGAAGCCCTCAAAGGTTATGCCGGCTGGAATCAAAACGCCGTCAGCGTGCAGATCGTCGAAGGCAGGTCCGCGAGTGGATGTTCATCACACACGCTGTCCACTCTAGGCTTCGGCATCCAGTATGAAGCTCGAAGGGCAAGAACAGTTTCAGAGGGTCTGTTGCGGACCCACCTTCCACAAGTCTGCAAGCATGCTGACGGCAGACCATAGGTCAACAGCGGAGCTTTTTTTACTATCGGAGCACAGCACCGACAGTAAAACACGACAGCGGCCTAAGGGACGGCTGGCGACGAATTGGCGCGCGCTGGATTGCAACATTTTCGGTTTCACAGGGTACGGCAGTTGCGGTGGCCGCAGCGCAGTGGTTTCAAGAATCCGAAAATAACCAATATGGCGACAATGATAGTGACTTTGATTCTGCACTTAGTGATGAAGAGTTCGCAAAGTCAAATGTCGAAAACTATCAACATCCGGAATTTCGGACTTTGTAACACATTGACTGTTTGGGGAACTTGAGGGTGCCACAGATGAGTCCGGGAAATCAGGTAAGTACGGAATTTCGGGCATCCGAGAAATCGGACATCGACTGTTGCCCTTTGAGACTCGTGCCTTAGTTGGGAAACCCTACCCTCGTGTGTTCAGGCACCCCCAGCCATTGTAAGACCACAATGATGATGTTTACAGTTGTGGGGCGTGGTCGTTGGGACCCCCCTCCCCCCCCCTCTTGTTTCTCGCGATGTTCTTTGTTCTCTTTTCGTGCAGGGGGGGGGGGGGGGGCAGATGAATCAGCGCAATCCCCGCTTCTTCTTGCGAAATACTCGTGGATTCAAAATCTTCGAACTTGGCACGTATGCAGTACTCATGAATTCAAATAAGACACTTTTTTCAGTATAATGACAAGTACATGCAATTCCTCGAGATAACCATTGATGAATCTGGTCTCTAAAAATAATGTCGAAAAATAGCTCTGGTCTAGGTGTGCAAGGCGAAATTGTGTCAATATGGGCCAAACTGATGGTGAAAACAAAAGTATGTTCGTTACTCATCCTTGAATGGTCCCGTTTCTATCCAAGAGTGCTGTACAGTACGCAAGATTTGAAACAATAATTTAGGGCTAAGTAACAAACATACTTGACAGTCTGTCAGCCTATGGAAGTGTAGAAAACCATGCATTGCAACCTATTTGGCAGTGATGGTAGAAAATGTTGCAGAGACCCAGCGATTGTAGTTGTTTGTGGAGAATAAATGCTGTGGACTACCACTTCTGCCGGTCGTGTAGACCGAGATGTGTGGCTGTGCCTCACCTACTGCGCTTTGCTTTTACAGGCAGCATAAGAAAGACTACATGTGCACTGCCGATGAAGTCCTTGCGGACTTGGCTCTGTACTCGCCAACACTTCTGGGTATCTTGCCATCTGACTCTCCTCAGCAGTGGAAACAGAAGGCCGGTGGGTATCCTCATGCTCTTGCTGCATCTTAATTAGTTTGAGTATTTAAGTTAGCTGCATTCTAATTAGTAAGACTATTTAATTAAATTATAGCACTACACTCAAACCTCGATACAGTGAACCTGGATACACCAAAATATGAGTTATAATAAAGTGAAAGAGTCTCGCTATAGATATAGTGATAAGAATAAACCTTTATAACGAATCTTCAGATATAACGAACTTATTTTTGTGTAAGATGCAACTTGGTTATAATGAGGTTTGGGTGTATAGCATTAAGCAGTAGTAATTTCACGGGATGCTATTCTGATGCCTCAAAGGAAGAAAATCCCAGAACATCGGTGATGGCGCTCGTAAAAGTCGATGAATGTCATTCGAGCGCAAACAATTTCCACTGTTAGTTATGCGCAATTGCGAGAGACACGTACATCTTGGATGCGATGCGAAACAGTCAGTTCGGAACGACTGCAAGTTTGTCGCTTTTGTACACGTGTACAGCCGTGAGGCGCTACTGTGAATGGAGACTTTAAAATAATGCGGGACAAGGTGCTTTCTCTTTTCTTCTTCGAAAGTTTTCGAGCTTAGTAGCGCTTGACCACCATGAAAAACGCATTCCACTGCGAGTTAACCCTGCATTTGTTAGTCTGCTATGGCGGTGCAGTCCGCTGGCGACCCAAAGGTCATGGTTTTGATCCTGGTCCCGGCGGTCTCGTTTCAGTGAAGGCAAAAGGCTAGTCTCTTAATCTGTGGTGTTAGTGCTCGTTGAAGGGCACCAGATGATCATGACTTCCAGAGCCTTCCGCTGCGGTGCGCCTTCCAATCTTATTGTGGTTTTGGCATGTAAGATTTCAGGCATTATTATGACTGGTATTGCTATTACTACATTTGGTAGGGCCACGCAATCAACGTATGGAAAATCTTCAGGCCGTCCCCTTTTTGTCTGCCGTTGCTCAACACAACAACAGGCGATGTTGGTGCTACCTGGGAAGTTTTTAATATTGCACCGTAAGAGAAAAAAAAAAAAGAAATGTGACGAACTGATGCTTGCAACGTGCTGCACGCAGAGATCTATGTGGCCAACATGAAGCGGAAACACAAGGGCCTGGACACCCAAGCCCTGTGCTTACTCATTGTCACCGAGGTGAACCGAAGTCTCAACAAAGGTGGGCCTTTCACTTGTCGCTCGATATTCATTGTGCGATGCGTAGTGTGGTTTGTGGACAAGCGCACAATCGGGGGTCTTGAAGTAACAACTGTCGGAGGGGCTTCTTAATAAGACATAAAAAATGGTTACTGCAATTGTCATGAACATTGGAATTCTGATATACAGTCGAGCCCACATATAACAGCCCCACCTAAAACGAACAATATCCGCGTGACCCTGAAAATATACATTGGTTCAATGGCACAAAATCGCACTTACAACGAACGTCTCCGAGCGCCGCTGATTGGTTACAGCGAACAAAGTCAGCGGTCTGCTGACTTCCCAGGAAACCAATTTCGACCACCGATCAGGCATCGGCGAGGTGCCTATACATTCTTATTGTTAAACAAACCTCCGCGCCCCTCTAGTTACCGCTCTCCCCGACCGCTTTTGTTACGCACCCCTCCATCCTTTGTCCCCCCGCTACTCTGAGCACACCGCATCGCCAGACGAAACCCGTGTTTTCCCACTGCCACCGATCTTTCGAAGACCGGTCGGCCATCTACCCCGTTTTTGATCGCTGGTACTGTCGTTGACGTCGCCGGCCTGGAGTGACCAGACCATTTGCCAACGTCACCGACCACTGCCTGTATCCAATAGTCTGTGTCTAGTGCACGCGCGTACGCTACCCCACCGACTCTGATAGTTTGCGATTCTTTTTGTGTTTAGGACTTGTTCTCGCTCACTTCGCACTCAACTCAGCATGCCTTCCGCATGTGTGCGAAAGCGCGAAAACAGCTGCTAATTTGCGCGGAATCAATCGCGAAATATCAAAGTTCGTGAGGCCACGCAAACCCGCCGGCACAACAAAACGATTTTCTGACCATGGCCGCCGATTCTTCGAACACCGCCGCGGTACCGATTCAGGCGGCCATTTCCATGTTTCTACGTGCGAGTTTCGTCGACCTTTCAAGCAAGCTACCCAACCTGCCTCCTTCCCATGTGTTTTGGTTTTCAAGGTCGCCCTCCCGCCGCATACTCCCCTCTCTTTATCGCAACTCCTTGCCCTTCTCTCGCAAGTCTACTCTCCTCTCTTGATCACAACCCCTTTGTCCGTCTACATCGCTCCCCGACGACCGCCACCCTGGCTCAAATTAGTTTCGTTTCCGACTGGAAACGGGCCCAGAGCTGTTCCACGCGTTTTGGCATGTGTGTCGCATGTGCGCGTCTTGCTCGCTCTTGCTGTGCGTTTGTGGTCATGATGGCCGACGTGAGGACTAGCACACTTTTTCCTGCCAGCTCAACAAAACGTCGGAAGTGTGACCGCTTGGCTTGAGCGTAATCCGCGCGTTAGGTGCCGCGTTGCGAAGCTCTTGCTTATAGCTGTTGGCCACTTGGCATCCAACTTGCCGTTTCGGGCGTCCCGGTATTCAGCTATGGAGATGGTGAATATTTCGTAGGCAGCGATGACGACTACATGCGCGCGAAACTATTTTCCTGAGGCCGACTTCATCGATGTCGGGCCCGACCCCGAGCCTGAAGCTTCTGAACTGTGGCGGCCATTTGTGGCAGCGCATCGTCGACTTCAACCTTCGGGTTTGTTATAAGCAGGCTTGACTGTATTAATTAATTGCTGGATAAAAAGCAACAATAAGTAGGACTAAAAAAGAAAACACGATAATAACTCACAACTTTAAAAGAAAATCGATAACATGTTTTATAGGTTGGACGATTTCTTTCACTTTGAGTGTGCCCCACCGCGGTGATCTATTAACTGAGGTACTCTACTGTTGACCAGCCGCAGTTCGGGGGATCGAATCCCGGCTGCGGCGGCCGCATTTTTGGTGGAGGTGAAAATGCTGTAGGCCCATGGGCTCAGATTTAGGTGCACATTAAAGAACACCAGGTGATCGAAATCTCCGGAGCCCTCCACTACAGCATCTCTTATGGCCTACGGCGTCTCTCTTGACCATAAGGAAGAATTTATGTGACTGTAATATTTTCATTTAACATTGAAGTAGGGCTTTGTGGCAGTGCATTTAAATTTTTTTTTTTCTAAAAAGGTGTACTCAGGGTATTGCATCCTTCCACTGCAGTGAAGCCACATTTACATGCGGTTGCATGCGGACTAATGGACCCTTATTCGTTCATTTTGAATACTTTGAAGTTTTCTGTAATTTAAATTCGAATTGAAGTAAATTATATATAATACACTAAAACCTGGGTATAATGAACACAAATATAATGAAATATCAATTATAATGTACTAAATGAAAAATTGTAATACAGTGTTAGGAATACACCTTTTTAACGAATTTTTGGATATACAATACTCTCTTAAATGAAATTGCTGCTTAAATGGAATAACTGCTTCTAATATGTTTGGTTTCATACTTGAATATTGTACCCCTGTTTACCTCTCAATAAATGAAACTCCTCTTAAAGGAAACACATTTTCCTGGTCTCCTCAGGTTTCACTTAAAAGGAGTCTACTGTAATGAACTTATTCTCTTGTAAGATGCAACTTTGTTATAATTACGTTTGAGTGTATTTGTTTGAATATTTGAAGTGCTCAAACATTTGCACAGGCGTAGCTTTAATCTTTTGTGCCCTAAAGTACTTTGGAAGTTGGCAGTTGAATTGATTATTGGTACTATGCATTGCTTATGTTTTATGTTTTATGTGCCTGTATTTGTTACTGTGTAGTAATTGCTACTGATGACTTGAAAAACATTTTTTTCTTTTCTTTTTTTTCTAATGTCTTTCAGTTGCGCCGCATTACACGGCCCTCCAGAGACGAGGTTGTGTCTTCCAGCCTTCGCCAGAACCGTCCGTAGCACTGAAGTCACTGGGCGCTGCAGACAAGCCAGCTCAGTTAACCACCCAAAAAGGTAAATGTCTTTTTCTTTTTTTTTTTGTTCATTGTTGATGATCGTGGTTAGATATGTGCACTGTTGGACAATTTGGCTACGAAAAATTTTTGGGCATTCTCAGTGGTATTTGACGTTTCAGGTGCCATTGTACTTCTTTGGGGCACATGAATGGGCCACGAAGATATCGGAATTAGAATGAGATTGGTTGGTAACTGTCCCTTCAAGGTCGTCTTTTCCTTTGGTGCCTAGTTGACAGTGATTCGCCAGAAGTCTGAGGTGTTCCACACACCAAGCAGGACAACAAATGTTGCACAGGCCATGCAAAATATAGTGCTGCACGCAACTTGCGGCACTTTTTTTTTTACCCTTGTTAGTTGTATTAAGGCTCTGAGTGCACCAACCAGCTCAGTTTGCCAGGTATTTTGTAACGCATGTGTTGCCTTTGTTCAGTTTATTCTTTGCACGCATACTGTGGCACTCGCATGCTTACTTCACGTGTGTTCAAGTGGCTTGAACAACACGTGAAGTTGTCGTGCAGTTGTCGTTCTACGATGAGATTTCTGCTCTACACTGCTTGCTTTGTTTGTGCAAAATGGGTTGCTAAGAACCTGGAAACCAGAATGTTGGTCTCATTCCTTGTTATCACGTTGTAGTTACCCATAGCAAAATTCTCAATGTGCCAGGTCAAATAGCGCAAAATGAAGTGGTTGTCGAACCTAAGCAGCATTTCGGTTCATGTACAAATGTTGTATTTCTCTTAGTGCATTACATTTGACACTTGCGTGGCGGCGTTTGCATCTGGCACTTTCACCTGTGTTCGTACAATTGGACTTGATCGTGGAAGAATCATTCGCGTAACGTGTAACGCGATCCAGATGGCTTTGTGAGCATTCACATGTCAATGGAAAATGCGGAAGCCTAGGGAAGATTGTAGTATTTCTAGTGTAAGGTGTAAACTGTTATTTAGGTCTCCATCGTTTCATGAACTGATTTTCGGAAATCAAAGGAACGTTGCGGGAACAGTTGACATGCAGTCAAATGTTACACAATCACGGTTTGGTCTGCCGTGTGCATATGGTTTTATTCGTTCCTCCAAAATAAGTTCGATATGCTTGTGCTGACTCTTGATATTATCTTGGGTTTTAAGTCCGAAAACCATGATGTGATTGTGAGGGACGTCATAGTGGAGAGCTCCAGAATTTTCAACCATCCGGCATCGCACAGTACCTGAGCCTACACTATTTTGCCAGCATCGAAATGTGATCGCTGCGGCCAGGGTTCAAAGCGCGGCCTTCGAGATGGCAGCCGAGCGCCGTGACCACTACACCACCGCCGCAGGCTACGCTGACTTTTGTGCATCCGTTAACCAGGTTGCCCCAGCCTCAACTTTAGCAAGTAATGAAAGAGCTTGGGGCAGAAACAGTCTTGCTCTTCACCTCTTTCACAGTGCAGCAAGCTAATGTTTACATGTACCAGTTGTGACAGAAACCGAGTTGAGTAATTAACCGACAGCCGAACGGTCGAAATAGTGACGTGCAGTGCTTGTGTTTTTGAGCATGCCAAAATGAATGTGGTAAACACAAGCCTGGTTTTGAGTGGCACGGCCTAGCAGAAAGCAGCACATCCTAAATCTAGCATTCTAGGTGATAGTTGCGATTTTGATACTTTGATTGTTAGTCGCGTGTGCCAAGGTTCTCCTGTCGTAGTGTGCCACTTGATGCGACCTCACGTGTTTCATTCTACCTCGCGTGCCGCGACGACTGAATGCACTTTGGTGCATTGGCACCGTTTGTGTAGTTGAGGCGCACTAGATGCGTTATGCGAGGCGCGACTTGTTCCATTCGTGCGAAGTGCTCTCTTAGACTTGGTACACTCTGGCGCAGATTGGAAGTGCCTGCTGCAGCAGCAGATCACGGAGGCCGACGACCCTGAACTTCTTGACTTGGAGCAGGATTTCCGGTACTTCGACTCATCGTATCTCGGCACGGCCGCTTTGGAACAACTCGTCATCGAGCAGCCCCACAACGTCGAGCTCTGGTTGCGACTGGCCTATCGACACCTATACGGCAAGCACAACAGGTAACTACGATGCTAGTAAGGGGCACATAGTGAGGAAAGTCAAGTTGGTTGGTATGTTCGAGCTGTTGTACTGTGATATCAATCTTGTGGCAAAGAGTTTCCTAAGATTAACCAGAGGGGTCTTTGACACTGCGAATATTCAGCCACCATAGGAATGACGGGTAGGACAAACATTTGCCCAGTCTTCACGCTTGCGGGCTTCAAACCCGCTTGCGGCTTCGTTTATTGTTGCGTTTTAATTTTGTTTGGAACGAAAGCACGGTTTACTGTGAACTTCGTGACCCGATTTCAATTGGTGGGCCTAAACAGTTTAAGGTAGCGAAGTGCAACTGCTGAACATTTGCTGATTTTCTTTTCACGTGACAAAGCAGCTCCAAGCTATGCAAACCCAAACGTGGTCGAAACTACAAAGATTAGACAAGTTTGTGTACAACCCATCGTCCCCACGCTGGCGGCAGCGTCGTGCATTGCAGCTCTCATAGACACTAGCACTTGCATGAGAATTCTATTTTCTGTATTAAGGGGGGACGCGGGTCTTAGAATGGTGAAAAATGGCCAAAAAGTCGATTTTGAGAAAATGCGAGATTTGAAATTTTTAGACCTATAAGCACGTGTCCTTACATTGTGAACGGTGAATTCGATCAGTAAACGGATTAAAATTGATTATGAAGTCATCACGGGACCCGCAAAACAACCCACGGCAAATCAAATTTGTTCAAACTTCCCGCGCGCGCCGCCGGCTAGGCAGTCGGCCGATCGCCACCATCTTGGGCTTGTTTTGAAGCTGATTCTTTTGTGCGCATTTTGCCACCCTTCAAAATGGCGTCGCTTAAACAGAACGGCTGCCCTCGCCCATTTTCCGGAGCCCCCTTCCGGGCCGCTGATTGGCCGGAGCGCACGCGCACCAGGCGAGCCCCCTGTTCCTCGCTTCCCATTGGCTGATGCAACCAAAGTTGCCTGTACTTTTTTTTTTTTTTTTTTATTGTTCGTCGGCCGCCGGTTCCCGTTCGCACACGTTGTTCGTCTCCTTCCCGCACATGCCTGCTTGTGCTACGCGACCGACGCACCGACTTCTCATCTTTTGCTGGCATGATTGGAGGCACTCGTCGAAAGAAAAAGACGCGCCAAGCGTACGGTAAAAAACGGGGGCGCCCGTGGAACGCCCGCCAGAATGCGCCGTCAGAACGCCCGCCAGAACGCCCGTCGGAATGCGCCGCTTCGTCGGAATGCCGCCGAAGCGGCGCATTCCGACGACGGCGCGCAGCCGCGGCCGCTTGTGTCCGAAGCGGTGCACTCTCCTGTGCCTTGCAGCAGCACCTCATCGGATTGTGTCGTCCTCGTATCGTCATCTTGCACTTCCAGCAGCATCCTAGACCGTATTGACACGGCGTTTTATTCGGCGGACGAGTTTGCTGAGTGCGCGAGAAATGCAGCGGGCTTGAAGGCATCACTCGCATCGCAGTGCTTGACGGCACGCAAGTTCGAGTTATTCGATATTGATCTGGAGGATGGTGGCTAAGAAAACAGGACAGAATTTGTTATTGTTGATCTGGCGGCGATACGCTCGTTATTTGGACTTGTCGCGTGCCCAGAATGCGGTGAAAGAAGCGTCACTATTTCAAAAGCCAAGAAAGAGTACGGGCTGTGTTCGAAGCTCATAGTCACGTGCGGCAGTTGTGACTTTCGGGAAGAGCGTTTCTTGTCCCCACGTATAGCCGACGAGACCGATGCCAAAATAGGGCCGTTTGCAGTTAATATGCGTGCCATGAAGGCCATCAATAGTATTAGCAAGGGGGCAACGGCTCTGTCGGACTTCTTCGCCGGGATGAATATTTCGCATCGAGGGCTTCACCACAAGAGTTACCAAAGCCGCATGAATATAATGAAAGAAGCCTGCTGTGCGACTGTTGCCGAATGCGAAGCGGCGAGCGTTGCTTGCGTCAAGGAGCTCTATGCGGAGTTCGGCAACGCGCCCGGAAACGTCGACGTCATTTATGACTGCACCTGGCTTACGCGTGGACATAGCTCGCATGTATGTGTTGGCTGCATTGTTGAGATGTATAGTGGCCTCGTGGTAGACCATATCATGCTATCGAACTTTTGCCTGGCTTGCACCACAGGACCCAAGGAAGGAGAAGCAGGACATTCTGCCTGGCTCATTCAGCATGCCCCTCTGTGCCAGAAGAATGTTGATTGTAATGCTGGCCAGATGGAAGTGGATGCAGCACTACGCTTGTTTGAGCGGTCACTTGAAAAGCACAAGCTTCGTTATACGACAATGCTGTCGGACGGCACCAGCAGTACATTCCATGCACTCACAGAAAAAGAGGTGTACGGCTTCATAAAAGTGGCCAAAAAGGACTGCATAAATCACGTACACAAGCATATGGTAGCTGCCTTATGTACCCTTGTAGAGAAAAAAAAAGCTCAAGGTGGCTCACTTGGTGGAAAGGGCAGACTTACGCAACAAAAGATAAGAAGATCACCTCATACTATGGCTACGCATTGAGAAGCCACAGGAACGATTTTCCAGGTATGCAGAAGGCTGTTCTAGCAACTTTGAACTGCATGTCTTCAACTGACGAGGCACCAAAGCATGACCTTTGCCCTGAAGGCCCTGAATCCTGGTGCGAATTTCAGAGAGCTCTTGCGAAAGATGAGAATACGCCACCACACAAGGACAGCCAGCCTGATTTCGTAACTGAGGCATTGGAGCCTGTGTTTAGGCGGCTGAGCGACAATGCCCTTTTGGAAAGGTGCAGCGATGGGATCACCCAGAACCCAAGTGAGAGCCTGCACGCTATGATTTGGCAGCAGGCCCCCAAAACTCAGCATGCATCCTTGCGGAGCATTGAAAGGGCAGTTGCCGAAGCCATCAGCCGCTTCAACCAAGGCGCAACCAAGAGCAACATGGAAATTGCCGAGAAGCAGGGCTACAGCACTGGCAATAACTTGGTGCGTCGCAGCCTTGAGAAGGAGAAGGGCAGGCTGCTAAAATCGCGAAGAGAGCATCTCGACATCAGTTCAATAAAGGAAAGACTTTCAAAGCGTCACAAGCCAGCAGGGGACTCTGCTTACAGCCCTGGTCTGCTGTAAACAGTCATGATGGCAAATAGTGAGAATTTTTGCAAAAATAAATATTCTTGGTTTTAGACCTAAACATTGTATAAATCTATTGTCTATTGAAGGACAACATTATAACATGATTTTTTTGTGTTCCTTTCACTTGCAAGGCACTGGAACGACCACAAAGTAAAAAGATAATAATTCTCATGCTGAGTCAATGACTATTTTATCGTTCTATAACAACCTGCGAGCAGTATTCTGGGTGGGTACAGTGAAATTTAGCGTGGCCATTCATCCTATAATATAGAGCTACAGAATGATGTCATTAATATCGCTGTAGCTTCACTTTAGCAAAAGTTCAAGTTGCTATAAACTTCAAACGCATTTTTCTCGGTTCGATATTTTTGCACATTGCACTCGGCCTTACTATGTTAAACTTGAGTGAATGCGACAAAGTTGGTATCATTTTATTCGTCTTGACATGATTTAGGGGGTGATGCTATTTCTATTTCTCTAGCATCACTTGAAAAATTATCATTGGAGATTTTAGTGAGAGAAATTTATTATAATATAGTGACCATAAGTGTTCGTCCGTTTTCTTGCTTATAAAATGCCTTCAAATGGATAAAAATAGCATCACCCCCTACAGCAAGTCTCCAGCATTGGGATTATGCATTCACTTTTTGGATTTAGCAAGAATAAATTGCCAAGAAGTCCCGTAAGAAGTACGCAAATAATTAAGATTCAGACCTTCATATTTTCTAAACCACTTGAAATATTAAGAAACAAATTAGAGATTTGAAATCAGCATGAAAAACTAGCTTAGGTAGTGATGTTTGGTTAAGATTGAGCAAAAAAAAAAAAATTAGAACCCACGTTCCCCCTTAAAGAAAACTCACTCACAAAAAATGCACGAAAAATGCCACATCAGTATGCTAATGTTCGTGTAGTATGTGACGAAATAAAACTGGTGTACATTTTTCTTATTCTTTCTCACTCCATGGGTGCAGCAACATCATAGGCTGCTCTGAAAGACTGCCAACTATATTTTCAGGCACCACTGATCTTACAGGCACTTGTAATTGTACGGTCCATGCACGCATGAGCCTCCAAATTTTTATGCGTCATCTCTGGGGTTATTTATGACAAAAGATGCGCAGTGCCGACAGTCAGCCAAAGCAGCGGGGCGGCGAATGTGCCCGAGCTAGGGCTCTTTGTGCCCTTCGAGCGATTGCCAGGTCTTCCATTGATGCGCGGCCAGCACCTGTTTGTATCTGCCGGCCAGTGTACCATTGTATCGAACATTGCAGAGTAAAAAATCCATTCGCAACAATCGTGCGCATATCAGGCGAATTTGCTTTGGCTGGAATGACAACATAATAGGCTTGTGCTAATAGTGTATTTTAGGTTCAAAGTTACCGTAATTGCTCGAATCGAACGCGCCCCTTTTCTCCGGTTAAGCGAGTTCATAAATCGCATGCGCGTTATAGTCGAGTACGAAAAAAAAAAAATGAATACGGTCAATCTATTGCCATCGGCGTTTCCAAACTGGCCGCCCCCTACGTGCGTCGGCATGGCGCGTCAGCCATTTCTGCCTATGTGTTTCCCATGTGCGGCACTTCGTACGTGTGCTGAGGAGTTCGTCATCTTGTAGTGCATTAGCATCGACGGCGTGGAAGGGCCGACTCCAAAAACTCGAGTGCACCATGGTGCCGCTTTTAAAAGAAAAGTCATCGCATGTGCAGAAACGGACGGAAATCGGGCCGCATCGCGGTCGTTCGGAGTTCCCGAAACGTGCGAGCGGGACCGGCGGAAACAAAAGCAGAAGATTGTCGACAGCAAAGCTTCACGCAAAGGCTTCAGTGGACCACAGCAGGGTCGGTTTCCGCAAATTAAAGAGCTGCTCGGCGAGTATGTGCTTGAGCAGCGAGCGGCACAGCGGCCCGTGACGACAGAACTGCTCCAAGTGCGGGCTATGCAATTAGCTTTAGAAAAAGGTCTAATGCGGAGCCAGTTTAAAGCGAGCAGGTGCTGGTTAACTAACTTTATGAAGAGGAAAGGCTTTTCCCTCTGAAGGGGAACGGGCACATGCGAAAAGTTTTGCGGAGGAGTACGATGAAAAGCTTCACAGTTTTCAGAGGTTCGTCTCAAACTTGCGGCACAACAACGGCTACCTGCTTGGGCAAATCGGGAATGCCGATCAGACACCTCTTTACTTCGACATGCCTGGCACCACAACCGTCGAGAAGAACGGGGCGAAGCAAGTTCCCGTGCTGACATCGGTCCACGGTAAAACTAGTGACGGCAATGCTCTGTTACACGTCAGATGGGCACAAGCTTCGCCCGTACCTCATATTTAAATGGAAGACGCTCCCGAAAGTAGTAGTTTTTTTGAGTGGTGTGATCGTGTGGGCCAGCGAGAAAAATGGGTGCGCGTTGCAATCGGTGTCTTACTTTTTTTTTTTTTTTCGACGTGGAAATCAGGTGCGCGTTACAATCGAATGCGCGCTAGAATCGAGTAAATACGGTAATTCGAATTGAATAGTGATTTCGGCTGAATAATTTATAATCGATAGTACATATCGTACTTGCTCGCACAATAGGTGCACTGGCATAATAGGTAATAACACTTGGTTAGGTGCTTTCACGACTTAGCACTCTTTCAATGCAGTTAGACATCCTTTGCAAAGGTTACTGTTGTGTTTTGGAGGTTGGCTGAGATGCTAAACGCGTTACAGCCAGACACATGAGATGTGATTGCACTTGTCAGCGTCACAAAACCAACTGCTTTATTCAAAGACGTCCCAGTTCCCGACACGGGCTGTGCCACTGGACAGGTGGCACCACAACAGTTACTTGTGGACTAATATACATACATCTATTCATTCGTTTCAAATGCTTTGAAATTTTTAATAATTTAAATTTCATTCAATGAGAATTCAAATGCTGTATTGTTCATTCAAAAATTCGCCCAAGCATACAAAATAGTTCATATCACCCTGAAAATCATGCAATTCATGCCCGTATCACTAGGATTCTACTGCATTTGCAAGCTTGTCATACCAACTTGGCCCAGCATTGGCTTGTCATGTGTTTCTGACTACTTGTGTTTCTGTTGCACTCACGAGGTGTTTGTCGTTTCAGTGACGAGGGTGACCCTGAAGCCAGGCTAGACCAAGCACTGAATGTGTTCTCGCAAGCGCTGGAAAATAACCGGTCAAGCCCGGAGGTGTGGCGTCTTTACCTGGGGTGGTACGCAGCGCACCCGACCTGCTCCGATCTGGAGTACCTGTGCCATAAGGCGCTGGACTACTGCAGCCACAACTCCGTCTGGTGGAAGGTGAGCATTCGGAATAACGCGAAGTCTCACCATAAAGCTGTGCATTTGGTTTTCAGAGGTTGGAAAGCTGAACTTGCAGGATTAAAAAAAAAAAAAAAAAGGGCCTACCGTAAGATTTCAAGAAGGCTCGACTACCTGATCGGCACCATGAAAAAAAGCGTTGCAGGGCCCCCAGAACATGCTCTCGCTAGCCCATCATATGAACTAATGCACTCCCCTAACCAGGCATGATCACACCAGCCAAAAGCATAGACTTGCGCATATCAACTTCACCTAATTTGAGATGAGTAAACCTTATGTGTTTGACACCACCATGGAGCATACCGCGTACAAGAAACGTAGGCATGAACTCAACCGTGCATGGAAACATTTCCGTGCCATAGACACAGCCCTGCTAACTCGAAAAGCGACTTTGTCTGATCCAAGATGGTAAAGATCTCGTGTGGCCCACACTTCCAAGGCGCACGCTGCCGGCTTTCAGCATAAAACTCCGTATACGATGACTTCGCCATTCGACCATCTTTGCATAGTAGATGGTCTAGTTTTTACTGTGCAGCTATTACGCTATAATTTAGATGTGAGAAAGGATGATACACGCAGACAAAAAGAAAGAGTACAGTCAACTGCCGATTTTTCGGACACCCGAATTTTCGAACATCTTCACGGCACCGCCACGAGCCCCCATAGAATCAATGTATAAGGAAGTCTGAAATTTCGGATGCTCGAACCACCCGGAGTCCAATTTTCCGGACTTTTTGATGCGACGGAAGGTCGGAAACCGCCACTGACCTCCAGTGGAAACCACCACAACTGCGTCACACGCGATTACGATCGCATAAATGAGCGCGCCGGTCTACTGTGGCGGCATCTGTTGCTTGGACTCGTTGATCGTTAGCGGAGAAACACACACGGCCTCCGAGATTCCTAACACCGGCCGTGTTTATCGTGCAAAAGTGCTTCGTTGACAATTGAAACTATCCACCCGGAAATTATTTGGCACCAGTAATGTTCCCTTCACTTTAGTGCTTGTGCTCGTGCGTGCCACTCTGGCTTCCCACGCAGCACTTTCGCGAAGCGTTTCACCACTTCGAACGAGAACTAACCGTCACACACCGATTTTGTCTGGCCACGCTGTCTATCTTGAATGTTTACCAGCGCCCCCTCTGGAGTACCCGAGGCACCGTCCCCTACCGTCGCGCCTTTTTGTTTACGCAGCCCTCATGGTGTTTGGCTTGCCTAGTGCGTGGTTGTGCGATCGTGTGAAGTGTTCTCTGCAACGCTAAGCCTAGGTGCTTCGACGCTCGTCAGCAAACTCCTTTGTTCACATTGTGAGGATTTCGGTCGCCTGAAGATTTCGCACAGCACCATACTCAACCATACTCAACCAAAAGACAGGGCAGGAGAGGACAGGAGAAGAAACGAGACAGAGCGCTCTGTCTCGTCTCTTCTCCTCGCCCCTCCTGCCCTGTCTTTTGCGCTGGTAAGCACCCTTTATGATGTTATACCAACACGCCCAATCCCACTGTCTCTTTTAACTTCTTTTTCTCCCTGGCATTTTGCTGTGACACAGTGCGTGACGCTGGTGGACAGCCTTCCCTCTAAGTGCCAGCTGTGCTCGGAAAACGGGAAAGGCTACAGCGTTGACCTTCGGTCTGCTGTCGGAATGCTTGCAGATGCATGGAAGGCAGTAACACAAGACACGCTTCGCAACTGCTTTCGCCACGCAGGCTTCGTATTCGACACAGAGGCAGCAGACTTGCCTGAAGAAAGCGACAGCGTGACTGACTTGTGCCCTCTTATGGACGATATTATCAATGACCTCCACTCTGCTGGTGCTTCCATGCCCACGGAAATAACTTTTGAGCGGTTTGTTGACGCTGATAACGAGCTCGACTTCTGCGCAGACCTAACCGACGACGAAATAGTCAGATTATGGCGGATTCAGACGACTCCGATGTCGAAAAAGAGGAACAAAACGCCTGCGCTACCTACGACCGCCGAATTGATGCGAGCATTGATGACGCTGTCATCGGTGTACAGTGATGACATGACCCTTGCTCCGATCGAGGCGAATGTGATCACATGCAAGCGGAACGCCGTTCAAACAAGAATCAACAAGTTTTTCAAGCCACTGCAGCTCTAACACCGGCTGTCCTGACGGCACCCGCTGTCGGCTGCATGCATTTTTTTTTTAACGGCTCTTTTCAGAGCCACCCCACTGATGCTTTGGCAGAGTTCCGGAAGTCTGGTACTTTGACCTTGACCCTCTTGGTTCGAGAAATATCAATGAAATGGTGCGTTTTTTGCTTGCATTGAGAAATATTAGCAAAAGGTGCATTTTTTTTGCTTGCAGTCATTTTTTTCGGCCTGCCCGAATTTTCGGACGGTTTTTCGCTCCCTAGAGGGTCCGAAAAATCGGCAGTTCATTGTAATTCTTGGCAGGAAGGGTTCTTTAGCGAGGCGTGATTTCCGCTTGCCAACCCAAAGTTTGAGGGCGAGCGTATTCACCACTTGGTCATCCAGGCACACTAGCAGGATGTGGTATAGCCTGTTATAGTTTAGTGTTTAAATAAGGTGGGAATGAGAAGTAGGGGCAAAGATAAAATATGAGGGTAGAGAGACAAGAAAGTGAAAGCGAAAGAGAAAGAAGCACAGAAAGGGAGCGTCAAAAAAAGAGGGAGAGAAATAAAGAGAAGGATAGAAAGGAGCAAGAAAATGAAAAACAAATAGAATGAAACAAAGAGAACAAAAGGCAGAAAACGGGGAGAACAAAAGGCAGAAAACGGGGAGAAAGAAAGAAAGAGGGAAAAAAGAATACACTCAAACTTCATCTTACTCAAAAATAAGTTCGTTATATCCAAAAATTTGTTATAAAGGTATATTTCTAGCACTGCATCTATTGCAAGACTATTCTTCATTTGCATCAATATAACCGTTATTTCGTTATAACCTGGTTCGTTATATAAAGGCCTGGGTGTGTAATGTGAATCTCCGCGCTTCTTTCGAGTTTCGCGTCCCTACTGCGAAGCTGACCTTTTAACTTCATAAAGGGTGCTTACCAGCGCAAACGACAGGGCAGGAGAGGACAGGAGAAGAAACGAGACAGAGCGCTCTGTCTCGTCTCTTCTCCTCGCCCCTCCTGCCCTGTCTTTTGCGCTGGTAAGCACCTTTATGATGTTATACCAACACGCCCAATCCCACTGTCTCTTTTAACTTCTTTTTCTCCCTGGCATTTTGCTGTGACACAGTGCGTGACGCTGGTGGACAGCCTTCCCTCTAAGTGCCAGCTGTGCTCGGAAAACGGGAAAGGCTACAGCGTTGACCTTCGGTCTGCTGTCGGAATGCTTGCAGACGCATGGAAGGCAGTAACACAAGACACGCTTCGCAACTGCTTTCGCCACGCAGGCTTCGTACTCGACACAGAGGCAGCAGACTTGCCTGAAGAAAGCGACAGCGTGACTGACTTGTGCCCTCTTATGGACGATATTATCAATGACCTCCACTCTGCTGGTGCTTCCATGCCCACGGAAATAACTTTTGAGCGGTTTGTTGACGCTGATAACGAGCTCGACTTCTGCGCAGACCTAACCGACGACGAAATAGTCAGATTATGGCGGATTCAGACGACTCCGATGACGAAAAAGAGGAACAAACGCCTGCGCTACCTACGACCGCTGAATTGATGCGAGCATTGATGACGCTGTCATCGGTGTACAGTGATGACATGACCCTTGCTCCGATCGAGGCGAATGTGATCACATGCAAGCGGAACGCCGTTCAAACAAGAATCGACAAGTTTTTCAAGCCACTGCAGCTCTAACACCGGCTGTCCTGACGGCACCCGCTGTCGGCTGCATGCATTTTTTTTTTTTAACGGCTCTTTTCAGAGCCACCCCACTGATGCTTTGGCAGAGTTCCGGAAGTCTGGTACTTTGACCTTGACCCTCTTGATTCGAGAAATATCAATGAAATGGTGCGTTTTTTGCTTGCATTGAGAAATATTAGCAAAAGGTGCATTTTTTTTGCTTGCAGTCATTTTTTCGGCCTGCCCGAATTTTCGGACGGTTTTCGCTCCCTAGAGGGTCCGAAAAATCGGCAGTTCATTGTAATTCTTGGCAGGAAGGGTTTTTTAGCGAGGCGTGATTTCCGCTTGCCAACCCAAAGTTTGAGGGCGAGCGTATTCACCACTTGGTCATCCAGGCACACTAGCAGGATGTGGTATAGCCTGTTATAGTTTAGTGTTTAAATAAGGTGGGAATGAGAAGTAGGGGCAAAGATAAAATATGAGGGTAGAGAGACAAGAAAGTGAAAGCGAAAGAGAAAGAAGCACAGAAAGGGAGCGTCAAAAAAAGAGGGAGAGAAATAAAGAGAAGGATAGAAAGGAGCAAGAAAATGAAAAACAAATAGAATGAAACAGAGAGAACAAAAGGCAGAAAACGGGGAGAAAGAAAGAAAGAGGAAAAAAGAATACACTCAAACTTCATCTTACTCAAAAATAAGTTTGTTATATCCAAAAATTTGTTATAAAGGTATATTTCTAGCACTGCATCTATTGCAAGACTATTCTTCATTTGCATCAATATAACCGTTATTTCGTTATAACCTGGTTCGTTATATAAAGGCCTGGGTGTGTAATGTGAATCTCCGCGCTTCTTTCGAGTTTCGCGTCCCTACTGCGAAGCTGACCTTTTAACTTCATAAAGGGTGCTTACCAGCGCAAACGACAGGGCAGGAGAGGACAGGAGAAGAAACGAGACAGAGCGCTCTGTCTCGTCTCTTCTCCTCGCCCCTCCTGCCCTGTCTTTTGCGCTGGTAAGCACCCTTTATGATGTTATACCAACACGCCCAATCCCACTGTCTCTTTTAACTTCTTTTTCTCCCTGGCATTTTGCTGCGACACAGTGCGTGACGCTGGTGGACAGCCTTCCTTCCAAGTGCCAGCTGTGCCAGCAGCAGTTGTACAATTTGACCCAGGGTGTGTCAGACGGCAGGCAGCCGGACTCGCAGTGCGTGCTTGAGGTGGTGCTGTACTGGGCGCAGCTGTGCGCCGTTGCCGGCAACATGCCGCTCGCCTACCTCATCCTCAAGGTGAGCGGTTGCGCAACCTTTTTCGGCGTGAACTAAACAGTTGTGTGTGGGAACAGTCACGTCTCAAATTTTCTTGCTCCCATCATTTTTTTTTTTTCATATTTTAGTTCAGTATCTCTTCAAGTACAGCAGAATCTTGATAGATGTCAGTCACTTAAAGCAGTGGTTCTCAAATGGGGGTCTGCGAAGCCATTTCCATGATCCACGATACCCTCATCCGCATTTTCCTTTAAACGTGACTGTGCCATGTATTGATAAACTGTCCAAAATGAAGTGATGTGGCACGCTTGTTTGATGCTTTTGGTAGCAATAAAAGGCACCTGTGTCACACTCCAGTTGTGTTAATTTTCTTATGTACCCCTTCTCCCTCCCCTCCGCTGCAAGGGGTCCCCCATTACTTCCGCCAGTTCATAAGCGGTCCCCGCCACATCCATGGCTGAGAACCGCCGACTTAAAGAATAATGTTGCTCTAAGAGAGTGGTGGTAGAAAATTCGCGCACCTCGGTTTCTTGCTCTTAATCTGTGGCTACTGACTCGTGAATAGCAGCAATGAAACTGATTTGTTTCAGTGCTACATGGATGCTTAATTATATGCTCCTATGTTACCACTGGAAGCAGTTTCAGTTTCGAAGGGCACTCCGAGGCGGGGTCTTCATGACGTACTGTATTTTCGCATAATCTTTGAATCTTCTCTCCCCCCCCACCGCCCCAAAACATGTCCCAACAAGAATAAGATTTTTTTTTATGCTAATAATTATTTCACTCCCAAAAATTGCAGCTGTAATGTCGCCTGGTTCTTCCAACCACTGACGATGATAGCAAACGACTTCGTTATACAGCTTAACCTGCTTATAACGAACCTCCATATAATGAATTCCTCGATATAACGAAGTTTTTCTATTCCCCGCCGTTGCTCTATAGAAGCACATGTATTTTCGACCTCTATGTAACAAAGTAATAGCTCAAGATAACCTTGATATAACGAATTTTCCCCACAGACAATCCAGAAATTTTACTTCGCATTTTGGCATTTTGGTACGAGCATGCATATTCCGCGGCTGCCCCGCCGCCGACAAAGCGCGAAGCAGCCGCGGCGCACACGGCACTCTAGGCGAAAGCAAAAACTCGTTCCTGAGTGTGCGCGTGTCAGAGCCCGCCTCGCGAGAACGGCGTTGCCGCCGCAGTGGCTGCATGCGCAAGTGTGCCCCTTCTCCACTCCAAACCAAAATACAGTCGACTCCCGTTAATACGAAGTTCACGGGAACCGCAAAAAACTTCGAATTAAGCAAAAAGCACTAAAAACGATACATTTATTAGTTTAAAAGCGCGACAGTTTTGAGGAAAAATAGTCTGTCATCTTCTTCTGCTTGCCGAATCTGGCTGCGGCTAGCAAGTTTTGTAAGGAATACACGTGTCGAAGTGCTTCTTCGGCGTTGTGTTCTCCAACAAAAAACCGCTGCGCAAGAGCAAGACCCGCAGCTACATCGGCAGCCCTCGGTGGTGGCTCATTTCCGTTGTCGTCGTCATCATCGTCATTTTCAGGAATGCAGTCATGGGGCCGAAGCATCTGCACGATTTCGCTGTCCGTTAGTGGACCGCATGTTTCGACGTTGCTGTCCACAGAGACATACTCGTCAAAACGGACGTCACCGAGAGCGGCGCGAAAGCTACCGTCGTCGAGCTCATTTGTTTGCACTTCCACTGGCGCACAAGGAGAAGCATCCCCCGAGTTTTCCATGAAACCACAGGCCCGGAAACAATTGGCGATGGTTTCTTCTTTCACGGGGGTCCAAGCTCGCGCTAGCATGTTGATGGCACTAAGCAAACTCACCTCGTATTGCGACGAGTTGTCCATGCACAAAAGCATGCGCTCGACGAGATGCTGCCTATACAATACCTTCACATTTTTTATTACGCCCTGGTCCATGGGCTGCAACACGGACGCCGTGTTCGCAGGCAAGTACACAAGACGGATGGCACTCAAGGCAGGTACGTTCGTGTGGGCACTACATTGGTCCACAAGGAACAACACCTTACGGCTTGATTGCGCGAACTTGCGGTCGAGTTTGGTGATCCAGTCCTTAAATATATCGGATGTCATCCATGCCTTTCTGTTCGAGGCATAATCCACAGGAAGCGTCTTCACGCCTTTAAAGCACCTAGGCTTGGCAGCCTTCCCGATCACAAGCAGGCGACACCGTTCTGTGCCAATCATGTTCGCCGCGACTAGCACTGACACTCTCTCTTTGCTTCTTTTGCCTCCAGAACAGTCGTCGTCTTTAAATGTCAGGGTCTTGTCCGGTAGCAGCCGATAAAAAAGCGCAGTCTCGTCTGCATTAAAAATGTCTGCCGGCTGGTATTCTTCGAAGTACTCGCAAAGCTTGCCCGCTTTCCATGTCAGGCACGTTTCCTCATCGACTGACGCCTTCTCCCCACACACGCTTTTAAAAATCAAGTCGTGGCGATGTTTGAAACGCGTAAGCCACCCATCCGAAGCAGCGAAGTCGTTGATGCCCAACATTTCAGCAAGCGATTACGCTTTTGCCGTGACGACTTCACACCACTGAGAGGAAGTTTGTTGTTTCGTGCCTCTCTGATCCAAATCAGCAGTGCTTCCTCCAACTCGGGGTAGGCGCCGGTGCGCATCCGCTTCCGCGATGTCTTGAATTTTTCACTTTCAAACGCATCCAATATTGAGCGCTTATTCTTTATGAAAGTCGACAGCGTGTTAGGCTTAATGCCGTACTTTCTTGCAATGTCTTGTTTGGCGCTGCCTCCCTGGTCAACTTCCTTCAAGACTTCGACTTTCGTCGCTAGGTCTAGCGTTCGGTAAGGGCCACGAGTTGCCATTATCAAACGTACGTCACCACCACAACACTCAAAATCAGAAGCGCGGAAACACGTGTAGAATAAACCCAGCGCGCGGGTGACGCAGTGACACACTCGAGTCTCGACAAAAGTTAACTAAAGAGTCAGTCGATGCCGCCGATGCGATTCGCCAGCGTTAAAAAGATTGCCGCTTCAAGATCTGTGGCGCTGCGGACAGTAGTGATGGCGAAGACACCAGCGCGGTCCGGCAGATGTTTTGGCATATGAAAAGTTCCCCATTTTACTGTAAAATTACGGTCGCGACGAGACTGTCAATTGAAAAAACTTCTAATTAACCAATATTATGGGTTTTTAACTTCGAATCGTCGAGCATTTTTTTCTATACGATTGCATGCAAAACTGATGGGACCACTTGCTCATTTCTAATTAACCGAAACTTCCAATTAAGCGACTTCGAATTACCGGGAGTCGACTGTATAAAAAAGAATACTTTTGCGCGTTGGCAATGCCACGCTTTTAGTTAGCGTCACATATGTGAGGCCGCGCTGCATATAGAGGGTGCTTTATTGAATAGTTTTCCGCGGTATCTGTGTTTATTGTCTGTGTCGTTCGCTCTTTCTTTTTGATGCCCTGTGCGCATGCATCGTTTCACTGCACACGCATGATGTGGCCCCCCGACTACTTTCAGTTTTGCTTTTTTTTGTGTGTGTGTGATAGCAACAATAGGGACAGTCTCAGCTTGTTTCTTGTCGCGGCTGTCATTTGTAGTGTGAGGGTGGCCGAGAGAGGGCGTTACGTGACGGCGTCATCATCATCATCGGGAATTGGCCGAGAGAGGGCACTACGTGACGATGTCATCATCATCATTGGGACTAGAGTGGTGGGGGCTGTGTGTGTGGGGAAGGGGGAGTTCGGCCTGGTTGGGAAGTGTGGCAAGACGTAGCGGTGTGTGGTGTGCGACTTAGGGTTAGCGCGTGACAAATGGGGGCTCGTCCGGTATGGCTTCAGGCCCGACAACATCAGCGGACGACATGCCTAGGCCAAGGTGTCGTTGAAGAGCTGTTGCTGGACACCGACGGCTCCGCCATAAAGCACGAACGAATCGCGGCGGTTGTGCGCGATCGAGTGATGGCGACGCCGCTGCCCACGGTTCCGCACGTGGGAGCATGGACTGTGATCGCTAACACTGGCGCGGTCCCTCAAGCCACCGACGACACTGCGCCTCGGCTCGCCGCTGCGCACCTCCCCCGCTACTCCGGTGCTAGAGACTTGCAGTCGCCGGAGGAGTTTCTTGAACGTTTGTAAAACTTCTGCCTCGTGACGGGGGTCGCCGCCGATAAGCAACTGACACACGTGGTACCGGCTGCCCTCGAGGGTGGCGCGAAGTTGTTGTGGCAGTTCGTGCGTGGGTTCGACTCGTGGGAGCAATTCACTGCCGCCTTCCGCTCCGAGTTCTCGTCGATTGACGCGAAGCCTCGTCTGAAGGCGGAGCTCGAACAGCGCACGCAGCACCTGGAAGAAAATTTGAAAGAGTTTATATATGCGATCGCTACGTTTTACGACCGCATCGGGGAAGAGGTCTTTGAAGCCGAGAAGGTGCAGCGCGTACTGAGGCAGATGCACCCTCAGTTGCAAGATTTGGCGGAGGGGCATGCCTACAACGACCTCGCCGAGTTGGTGAAGGCAGCCAACGGCCTAATGGAGCGGGCTTGGCATCACCTCCAGTACAGACCAACGTTTTTAGAACAATTCAGTTTCACAGCTTCCCATAGGCGCCCACTATCCGGCGCGGCCGCATAGCGTGTCGCGGCCGCTAGGGGCGCTGTAGGCATGCTTTGCTCCGCACTCTGCACGTCGTCTGCTACACCGGAGGAAACGCGGTGCGGCGCGGCCGTGTTACCGCTCGCATTTCAAAGCGTTTCGCTTTGCTGGCGGAACAGTTCGTGCCAAAGCAGCAGTTTCTTCGTATACATGCATTTCACTGTTGCTGCGCCCATTTTCATCTGGTGGAATTACGTGTCTGGGCTCCATCTATAGCTACCGTCGCCAGTACATTCTTATGTGGGCATAGGCGGCCTCGCGCGAGCATAACTGTAAAAAAAAAAGACACCCTTCAAAGAAAGCGTAGATGCAGTAAAACTTTTTAAAAGCATAGTGCTCGTTTCTGATGC